TATCTAATAAAGATATTACTATACTAGCTAAGTAGAATAATAACGCTTACTACTTAGATTTAAGTATAGACTATAATAAACTAGAAAACCTAGTTTATAAAGTAGATTCTAGTATTAAGAATCTTAATATAGATTTACTATATAAGAGGTTAAATTATATAAATAAAGATTATCTTATTAAGACTATAGAAAACACTATAGGCTATAAACTAGATAAAACTAGTAAAACCGAATTAGATAACTATAATTCGTATATACTAGGTAAAATAACTAAGAATATTAGTTATAAACCTCTAGATAGTAATAAGGAACTACTAAGTTATTTTGACTTAGATATAGCCGGTCCTTTTAGAATATAAAGTTTACTAGGTAAAAAGTACTTTATAACCTTTACCTATAGACGTACTAGGGCTGTCTTTATATACGCCTTAAAATATAAGTCGGAGGCTATAGATAAGTTAATAGAACTAAATAACTTACTAAGAAACTAACTTAATATATCTATTAAAGGTTTACACTCCGATAACGCTCTAGAATTTAAGAGTAATAAATAGACTAGTTATTATACTAATAACGGTATATATAACAATTATAATAGTCCTTATAGTCCCGAATAAATAGGAATAGCCGAAAGGCTAAATAGATATATTATAGAAAGGTAAATTACTTTATATAACGAAAAGAATATACCTCTATTCTTATAGCCTTACTTAATTAAATCTATAGTATATATTAAAAATCGTACTTATAATAGTACTACTAAGACTATCCCTTATACCTCTATCTTTAATACTAAGCCAGATATTAGTAGTATTAAAATCCTAGGTTCTCTTACTTATACTTTAATATCTAAAGAAGTAAGAAATAAACAAGAACTAGGTAAGTTAGCTAACAAAGCTAATATAGGTATACTAGTAGGGTAGAAGGTATAATAAAAGCGGTCTTCTATTTATAACCTTCTTTAATCTATATTAGGTTAAAGGCGTTCTTCTAGTCGACTTTAGTAAATATCCTTACTTTAGCTAGCTTGTCCTATAAGTACTAGGTATTAGGTAATAGATATTAGTCTCTAATAGTAATTTTATTTACTCTTTAGAAGTCTCTATAAGGTCTTTCTTTATTATCGCTAGGTTTATTAGCGACTAGTATATTAGATACTATTAGCGATTTAGATACTTTAATCTAGCCTTTCTTAAGTACTATTTTAATATATTTCTCTAGTATTCTAGCGGTATCTAAATAGTAGCGTCTTAAGGTTTCTAAGAGATACTTTACCCCTTCTTTAAAGTTAATTTTATAGTCCTATAGTTAATATTTAAGTAAGGCTTAAAAGTCTTCCGGGTTTTTAAATAATTTCCTAAATTCTCTATACTATATAAGTATCTATTACTTACCTTAGTTATCGACTTTCTATAGAGGACCCTCTATTTCTTTAAGATATTCGGACGCTTTAGAGAAGGTAGTATAAACCTCTCTCTAGCCTTCTAGTTACTATAAACCCTTATAGTAGTATTATATAAAACTTAACGTTTTCTTAACTTAGTCGATATCTAGGTTATACTTTATAATCTAGGGTATCCTAAGAATAGCCTTATAATTACCGATAATAGCGATATTAAACTAGACGTTTTCTATATATTCTTCTTCTAGTATTAGGGTAGAAGGCGCTATTACTTAGGTAATAATTCTATTATTATAAGTAATCTTAGTTTTATCTATAACCTCTAGCGAATAAGGTTAGATATTAACTAAGAGTACGTTTATTCTAGCCTTTACTCTTAGAGATATAAAGTTCTTAGTAGTATCTAAGTCTAGTAGAACCCGGATATCTTAGCCTTTAAATTTTACTTAAAATTCGAGTTTCTCTTATCTATTAGTAGTAGCTATAATATTATTTATAGTATATAGTCTCGTTTTCTCGAATATAGTTTCGCTAGTATACTAGTATTCCTAGACCTATTCTATTTAAGTAAAACTAATAAGCTAGTAAGAAACCCTTACTTTAATAATGTTATTAAAGGTTCTATATACTACTTCTAAGGCTTGCTCGTTAGGTTACTAAGGCTCGGTAATTATTCGTTTTTAAAGGCGGTAATCTCGCTACTAGTAAACGATTTTCTAGATATTACTAAACTTAATAACGTCTATAAACTTCTCGACTTTCTCGGCCGGTTACTTATACTTAACGACGTAGTCTAGGCTAGTATAGAAGGTAGTCCGGTAGTAGTCGGTATAGACTACCTAATAAGTTATACTAATAAGAGGTTCGGTACCCTCTAAGTAGGTAGAGACTTTAAAGATTTTCCTATTATCTCTATTCTTATAGGTTCGATAGTCCTCTAGGGCCCTAGTAAATTCCTAAAACTTACTCTTAGTAGGTTATCTCTAGCCTAAGGTATAGTCGCTAGTATCTAACGACGAAGAGGAGAAAGAAGATATAGTAGTATTATTATTTAGATTCTCTTCTATCTCTTAGCTACCGCTAGCCTATCTATTAAGGGCTTAATCGAAAGAATCGGCGTCGAGCTCCGTTATCTCTAGTTATTAGTAGATATCTAGTACGTTAAGCTTAGTTTTAGTAAGTTCTCGGTAGCTTATAGGATATAAGGTATATCTAATAGTTATATTAATAGACTTATTCTTTCTCTTCTAAGGCTAGAATTTCCTATAAGAGCTAGCTAGATAGCCCGATAGTCTATACTTAAAATAAAGTCCCTTGTCCTAGCGTTATTACCTTTTCTTATTAAAGAGCTATCCTTATTATAGGGCTTTCCTAAGGGCTACGTTTACTTACTTAGTATTACTACGTTACTTATAGTACCCTTTATAGTAATGTTAATTTTATATATAATATATAGTAATAAATACTTATATTATTCTCTTTCTATACTTAATTAGGTTAAGGCTTAGTAGTACTATAGTTTAAACTAAGTCTACGTATTCTTATTATTTCTATTCGTTAGAGATAAGAATAATAATATAGTAAGCCTTAGTAATTTAACCGGCATATAGGTGTGTATAGCGCTATTTAATCTAATAGGCTACTTTATATAGTATAGATATCGGCACTTATACTATAGGCTAGTTAGATATCTAAAGATATCGGTAGTTATACTATAGGTTAATTAAATCCCTTAAGATATCGGCAATTATACTATAGGTTAATAGTTTAGCTTTAAAGCTTACTAATAACTTATTCTAAAGTTTATATATAGTTATAAATCCCCTCTATAGTTTTAAGTTCTTTAAGTAAAATATATACTTTTTATATATTATTAAGTTATCTAGTCTTTATTACGCTTTATCCCAAATTTTACCTTTTACACTTTTCTAGTTATAAACTAAAAGTATTCGGTTTATCTCTTTAATATTATACGATTTTCTAGTAGAAGTATAGGTACTATAGCGACTATACTTTAAGTCTTAAGAGACTATATACTCTTTTCCTACCTTTTTGTAATAAGAATAAGATACTATCTTCTTTCTAGTTAGATTAATTTATTTACTAAGGGCTATAATATTAGAACGTTTAGTTATATAATTAGATAGTATATTAGAAGAAAGAGAAGTCTATAGTCTTTAACCGACGTATTTCTTAGTCGTACTTAAGCGTATAGACTTACTAGTCTAAATAGGGGATAGTATTATAAGTAGCGTCGTCCTTAGTATTATAATACTCTTAAGACTAAAAGTCTTAGGATTAAACAAGGTTATAAGAATTAAGTAGTTTCTAGAACTACTATTTAGTAGTTTTATTTAGTTAATATTAGCTATATTTAGGTTAGCGGGTAGGCCCTAATTTAGGGTACTATTACGTAATAATAAAAGCTCGATAGATTTACTAAGTAAACTTATTAAACTTAAAGAAAGAAAGTTCTATATAATAATTATAATTTTCTTAGATAGAAGCTTTATACTTAACTTACTATAGTAATAGTATCTTATTTATTTAACTTACTCTTATTATAACGAATACACCTTCGAGTATATAACCTAATAGTCTTATATATACTTACTTATATACTAATCCGACAAAACCTCTATCTACTATATATAGAATACCTAAATTGTTATAATACTTACGTTTAATACTTATTAAGCCTCGCTAAAGCCCTAACTCTAAGTCCGCCTCTTTAGTAGTACTTATATATACTTAAATATTAAAGTCTAAATTAACTTCTACTTTCTTCTTTATTAAACTTATTATATTCTTTAAGAAACCTTATGTAACGAGTTAGACTCGAAGGTAGTACTTAGTATAGTCTACACTAAAGTTATATATATATACGTAACTTATCTTACTTACCTTATTTATATATAAGAAGCTACGGCTCTATCTCTCTTTCTTTTTTAGTAATTATAAACTATTATAAATAACTCTACTACTTTAACTAAAGGCTTAGCCTATAATACCTTAGTATATATACTACTTTCCTATAATATTATAGTAGTTAAAATATAGACTATACTAATTATAGTACTAATATTAATTACTATAATAATAAAAAGACTTTTACTAAAAATAAAGTATTATAAATAAAATATAGTATAGTTAAAGGAAACTATTTTAATATAAGTAAAAAAGATTAGTTTAGTAATTACTTATATAGTAAAAATATTAGTTTTAGTAATTTTAAAGTATAAAGTACTATAGATTTTAAGTTAAACTCTAAAACTTCTAACTTTTCTAGTAGTAATATTACTTATTTAAGTAATATTATATTAAAAGAAGAAGAGACTACTATTAACTCTTTTTTACCTAGTTACTTTAATAATAATAGATTACTTAGTACTATATTAGATAATAATAAAATAATCTATATAGATAACTTAGAATCTAGAGTTATAAGTAACTTATTAGACGAAAATAGTAACTTGGAGTTAAACGAGCTCGGGACGCTAACACAACTAGCGCACTGCAGGCGCCTGCGCGGTAGCATGGGTAGGTAGTAGGCCAGGCCCTAAAGATCCCCTCCTCCGCACATCCATATGGCTCAACAATGCGACGCGTGGTAGTAACAGGTCTGGGTGCGATCACTCCATTAGGAGTAGGTGTGCGGCAGACTTGGACCCGTTTGATAGCTGGCCATAGTGGTATTGTCAGCGTTGCTGATCTCGAACCTCAAGAGCGATGGCAGCCACTTCCCAGCACAATTGCAGGCACCATTCCGGGCAATGGCAACAAGGACGAATATAGATGGCAAGTGCTGGACTGGTTGTCAAAAGGCGAAGAGCGACGGATGGCAAAATTCAGCCAGTATGCGATCGCTGCGACAGAGATGGCTCTTCAAGACGCCGACTGGAGACCGGCCACAGAAGCACAGAAGGAATCGACCGGAGTTTGTCTCGGCAGCGGCATTGGGAACTTGGAAGAACTGTACGATACCAGTATTGCCTACGAAAAAGCAGTGAGCATTGTTGACGCTGGGGTAGGGCTATTTGCTGAGAGATTTGCTGAAAGATTGCGTAGGGCTACAAAAAAGTATCGCCATTATTTGTGCCCCAATTACTTATAAACCTGGGGGCGGGACACATATCCATCAAGTATGGTCTTCAGGGGCCCAATCATGCCGTTACAACAGCGTGTACTACTGGCGCTCATGCCATTGGCGATGCGTCGCGCTTTATCGCCTTGGGAGACGCCGATGTGATGGTTGCTGGAGGGTCAGAGTCGTGTATCCACCCACTTGCACTTGCTGGCTTTGCAAGATCGAGGTCACTTGCTACATCCTTTAATCATGATCCTAAGTCGGCTTCCCGTCCTTTCGACAAAGCAAGAGAGGGCTTTGTCATTGCTGAAGGTGCCGGAGTTATCATATTAGAGGAGTTAGAACACGCCAAAGCTCGTGGTGCCCAGATATATGCAGAAGTTCGCGGCTATGGCTGCAGCGGGGATGCACATCATATAACTGCTCCTCGAGCGGACGGACATGGCGCTTTCCTGGCTATGAAACGGGCTTTGCGGAATGCAAATATTCCTCCGAAAAATGTCGACTACATTAATGCACATGCAACAAGTACGCCACTTGGAGATGCGGCCGAAAATAGTGCAATCCAACACCTGATGCTTGGGGAGGACGGCAAGGAGAGCGCGTATCAGATCGCGGTCAGTAGTACCAAGGGTGCAATCGGTCATCTTCTGGGGGCTGCTGGTGCAGTTGAAGCTATATTTTCAATTCTTGCCACGAAAGAGGTATGTCTGTATGGGGCTGCATGAGCTAGACACTGACACGTATAGGATGTCCTGCCACCCACCCTCAATCTAGAGAGTCTTGATACTGGCTTCAGGTGCAATTACATTCCTGGTTCTGCACAGCATAAAATTGTCAATGTTTCTATGTCAAATAGCTTTGGATTCGGAGGCACCAACGCCTCGCTCGTCTTCTCAAAATACCCATGATATTTTACGTCGAAATTCTCAGCCCAAGCAATAATCCTCCAACCGCCGTAGCGAATACATGTTGATACATATTTGAAGCAGGCGATGCATGTGGGATGCAGGCTTGTTGCTTGCCTTTGCAGGGCCGCTGACATTGGTTTTATTGCGGCCAGAATTTTAACAGAAAAACTTCCCCAAATGTGCTCTTACATGCTGCCAATGTTTCCCCACTCAGCTCCTCTCTCACTGTACCAACGTCGAAAAACGTCCCAGTCGCGGCATGTGTGTGCCATCGGGGTTCCAATGAGTTGAACATTGTCTGCGTCTCCATATGGACGGAGTGGTACGGGGGTCAAATCGCCCGCGCATTGTATTGTTTGGCGTAGCTGTTCGATGCAGTGAATAACATGCATTTTTTGTAACCCTTCCGGAAACTTGTGGCTACTGTGCCTTTCATAATATTCTGGATTCAGGGCCTTCCGAATGGCGTTCAAGCAATGCAATGAATGCATTACTTCAACTCTAGGCTCTGGTTAGCACTCCGCATATTTTTTCGTAGCTCATCACTTACTCTGCTAGATACGTGTCACTGATGGGGACTGGGTCATCCATTTTCATCGCGATCTCTGGAGGCACTACAAGATATTGACCTGACTAATTTAGCACTTGAAGCAATATATCAACGTAAACGTACCACTTAAAAGCTTTCCCCACGCTTCATCGATTGCTGGCGAAGGGTCTCCTGCGTATTGCGGTGCTGCGGGATCGAAGTCGCGATAAATTTCACCGGATGTGTCATTATATCGCAACGCACTCGTGTAGATTACATCTCTTTTGATCCCGAGAACCGACCTAGCAGGGGCTATCATGTTTAACATAGGTCTTTGAAATTTCAAATGTGACTTACACCATTCCGTCGGATAACTATATTGATACTGTGTTTCACAGCTGTTGTGGCTCCAGAAGTAGATGCAGCTGATGCCGAGGACCACAGACAGCAGCGACGAAAGAGTTAAAGGCAAAACTTGAACCTGAGTGCGTTGAGTACTAGAGTTGTGACCCTCTACAGATGAGAATGAATCTCCAGACAGGATTTCCTCGTATATTGGCTCTTTGGTTGACATGTTTAAGGTATAACGTAATGTCTAAGTTAGAACCTACGTTCCTTTCCAAAAGAGAAAATGGAAATTGATGGCGGCGATTCCGGTCCAACCCGTGACCAATATTTGTTGGAATTGTCTTTCGGGTGAATTGAGCTATGTCCTGCGGCACGGCAATTTTGGTTCAGAGGATATTCTTTCTAAATCTAGTCCAACGGAAATGCCGATAGCTCGGCTTGCAATCATTTTTCTTTGTTCTCCCTATCAATGTCTTACAATTATGTTTCCTTTGCTTGAAGACCTTTTGGCGTCCACACGTACAGATACTGAGTGGCAACCTGTTACAAGACTCGTCATAAAGAATCAAGTGAAGGAAGCAGATCCTCGGTGAATTCGCGATGGAGTTGGAAGAAAGCCCAGAAAATGGGTTTGGCAATCGCTTCGTCTCACGTCAACTGGTTTGACAAGTCGGCAATCGTAGGCACCGAATCCAAATGATGAGCGTACTGATCTCGTACACCGATTCACAAAGCACGTCTGTTGAGCCCAAAAGTGTCGTTCCAAATCTTCGATACCATGCAATCTACGACTTTTGTAATTGATTCACTACCAGGGACTGCTTTGAGGTATAAGTTAGCCGTTCGTCCTCTCTTATAGATGCTTCCTGGGATCTTCATCACAGTCTCGGGCAGAACAGCATCCGGGGATACAAATCCCATTACACTCTTCGTGATCTGTTAAACCGCTACTAGTTATCCGCTCTCTTTCCATATTCTGGGCATTAGACATGTATCTAAATGCAGGTTTCATGCTTGGCGTTTTCTCAGTCGCTCTGGGTGCACCACTATTCGTAAGTGTTCCGGCATCGCTGTTAGCCATCATCACTTTTCACTCAGAAGCATCACACGAACAAAGCCTTGTATAACGTATTTAACTTGTGATGTAGACCACAAACTCACCGTCTGTCATCAACGGTCTGGAAAAGAGACAACCCAACGGATTTCCGTTCACTCTTCTGGCATCAGTCATCGCTTCGTTGACTGATGGTGCAGCAATCGCGCTTCTTGGTGCTCCAAAGGTGGCCGGTGGTCCAGCAGATCCTTTGGCTTTCCTTCAGAACTTACTAGGCCAAAAAGACGCAAACAAAAAGCGTCAAATCTTTGACGATATCACCAACCCTACGGCGCTGGTGTCTCAGGTTACGGCAGCAGCTACGGATGGAGTTGCTCTATCAGTTCTTGGAGCAAAGCCCGTTGCAGGGGGTGGAAGCAATCTCTTGAATTTGCTGCCAAATACAAATGGCGAGCTCATTCCCCTAGGCTTGCTAGACGTCCTTGCTGCTCGGCATGCTGTAACCAAGCAACCAACAATGAGCTCGTTCGTGACTCCTCACGCCGAAACATTCATAGACATCTCATACCCAATAAGCCATGCTGATCACGACGACTTTCCCATCAGCAAGCGAGCCGTATCCATGAATGTCGTCCATCCTCGACAGTTGAGTCAGCTCCCTACTTTATTGGATGGTCTCTCGTCTGAATTAACAGATCCTCTCGCCAATGTAATAAATCAAAGCCTGTAATTTCCGCGAGCCCAGCCATCTGCTGTGTATTCGCTATGGGGAAATGGTTTAATCATTTGATCATCGTTTTACTGTCAACATTTCGCTCAAGTTATTTGGGATTCGTTATTTACAGGGCATATGGCCGGGGCCGTTGATTTTTTTTCTCTTCTTTTCTTTTCTTTTCTTTTCTGGGTTTAGAAATTCCTACGCTCTCCTGTTGGTGTTGATTTAATTTTCCCTAATGTTTTGTTTGTTACAGCTAGTATTATTGTCTTGTTATGGAATTTATCTGGTTCTAAAAAGGTCATCTGACTGACATATATGGTTGCCGAGTCTTCTACCTCGACTTCAGTCACAGAGGCGTACTTTTGACATGTGTACCTAGGTCACAACACCATTCTATATGAGCATGGTTGCCCCCACAATTTGTCTGATATAAATTCTAGCCTGGTGGCTAGTATGATTTTTCGATAGGCATAGCCGATCGGCTTTGTAGATAAACGTAGTATGCTCACGGGGTAGAGTTATACTCACACTCCCTACGTATGGTGACAGTGTGAATTACGACCTATGTGAGATGCCTAAAATTTGCTTCTGATGCTGCCCCGAATGGTGCCAATCGTCCTGAAACGGCTTTCTGACTTTCAAACTACCAACGTTGTGGCAGCCTGAGTGATAAGTAAGGACCTTCACTACAAGATGATTGTTGACACTTTTTCATCTAGATCTCCTCAGATCAAGTACAATGATTTAAAGTAGGTCCATATATCAGTCCAGAAGAGGAAAAGATAAGTATCTGACTGCCACTTTAACCTATGAAGTTGGGTACATGAAATATGAATCATTATTCCTGGATGTGTTGACACTCGGTTATACATGGTGCTGAAAACGCCATCCGACTTCTATTACAACTACAGTGGTGTAACTTTACATTGCAATGGGACTAAAAGTTTACCTCACTCTGTCTGAATTCGATGGTTGCAATTCAACCCTACCACGGATTTAATACGGACATTAGTAAACAAACTGCTAAGGTAATTAAGAGTGTTAATGCTTGTCTGAAAATAATATTCTACATACATTGTTTGTATTGACTATCTTGTTTAAGCTAACTCTGTACTAATTATGGTCACTCCTGTATGGGTTTTTTTTTAACTATCTAATACCAAATGAGCACGAGCTTATTTTCAGAGAGATAATTATCCGTTTTGCAATTTCGTTGAAAATGATGTCTGAATAGACAGCATTGTTTTCCTGGAGGAAACTCTTGTTACTAGACCACGGTGCAGCTAGAAAGGGGTCCAAGATGCTTGATTGTACCTTTGCTACCGCTCGTCTCTTCTCGATCTGATGAAATTGTGAATATATAACCTACCTGCATAAGGCAAAAAGCTCGATATGAATATGGATGGCATCCCAGATGTATATTGAATATCTGTAAGCAAGACTTCGTAATCTAGCGGCTCATCGGTTTCAAAACCCCAAAGTTTGAATTAGAGAATCAATCATATTAGCTCGGGAGTGGAAAGACTGCAATCCCCTGCGACAGTTCGATTTGCAGATGTGAGGATCTGCGCATGGTTTTGGTTCGGCCAAAGCATTTTACTTATGCCAACTGAAAACCGTGAGAATTCAGTTCTAATGATATATCAAAGGAAGTGTTGCAGAATGCTAGGTAGCACTAGAGAAACGTCTAAGAACAATCTAGTGACAACATAGGTAGCCCAGCCGGATGCAGCCTAGGTGTTGGATTTGAACGTAGAATTTATGGAAAAGCTCGGCGCTGTCTTAATTTATTCCATGTGAGATATCTTCCACCGACAGGGAACCTCTCGGCAGCGATGGCGGCTCGGATCAAAAGAGGAGTTCCATTGTGTTAGCCTAGCGGCATCGCAAGTTAAAAGAAATTAATTCAAGTTCTTGATCATTGAATACGCGATTATCACAGCAGGGCTTGGCGAAATAATGGTGTGCGAGGAATCCTGAGAGGTCGAGTATGACATGGGTTGTAGGTTACCATCGAAGGAAAAGTATGGAACTGGTGCTCGACGTGCAACATGATTTTTTGTTTCCATTTATTTTCGAAACCCTTAACACAAAGAATGCAAAATATTCAAGTATTTGTGCAGATTTGGCGTTCGCGGTGTGAACAATATGGAGCCCGTTGCTGCTTGGCTATGGAACACTGGGACGAAATTCGAAGACATCGTTGAGAACTCCAAAATCATTACCTTCGGGCAAAAGATCAGCTCGAACTTCTATAGGCTGCCCTCCATGGCTCATGAAAAAGTTGCCTTGTGACAATGGCAGTTTGGAGCGCAGAGTATGATTTGGGTACCATTGCGCCTGTGTGGGCAGTCAGCCGCGAGGGATTCAAGGGCCTATAGTCTTGCAAGAGAAAGAGACGAAAGACAGATTGGTTCACATACCTGGTAACCTAACGCTAGCATAATCCGGTAACTATCACTCTCGTTTGGCATACCCGCATGCCACGTTCTCAAGTCTCTTAGCATAATGTCTCCCTCCTCACAAGCAGGCTGAAGTGGAGGTCTGATCTGCCTTCTTTCCTCCCGCACATCATCGCGTAGAAATGTCATCGGTTCTCCTACTCGGAGATTTGCGTTTGCGAGCGTGCTTTCAGTCGTAGTAACCTGCTGATCTTGACCAGAAGTAGAGGCATGAGAACCAAGCCAGAATTCAGTGGACCCCGTTGTCCTGTTGAAAGGGCAAAGAGGGATGTTTGCGATTACATAGAAAGGGCACTTGAAAACGATTATTAACATTTCATACACCACGGGATCCAGAAGATATACCTGCGGATGGAAGAAGGTGATATCTTTGTGGACAGGCTGACGAAGGCCATACGTCCTCGGTATAGCGTTATTCCCCGTCATGAAATTCCAGATTGGATTAGCACCCAGATAACTCTAAGATGTCAGCACCTCTATTGCTAACACCGAATGGGTCTTTAAAGCTTTACTGACGCATTCATGATTTGAATGACGAAAGGATTGAAAAAGACATCGTTAAACAAATACTGCGAATCTGCGACAGGCGGTCCCTGAAGAATGTTTGCTTCTTCCATCAGTAAATATCTCATGGCCAGGCATCTACTTACAGTTCACGCCTTGGTTGAAAGGCTTTGCGTTGCGCTGGAGCAAATCATCTGCTTCTACTCTCATATACTCATTAATCTTGTGAATATGCGAAACATTAACCACGGACTTCAACACGACGAATCCATCTTGGTGCAGAGCTTCGAGAGCTGAAGTGATATTCTGTGCGTTGTAAAGAGCGGCGGCCGATTCCTCGGTGGTAGGATAGATGAGACGAGCAGCGTCTGTAGACTCTTTCGGCTCATTGTACGAACTGGGCATGCTTGCAGTTGAGCGAGGATGATCCCAGGTGGAGCTTTATCTGCCAAATTTCTAAATGTCCAGACACTTGAATTATCGCCAAATCGACACGAACAGAGAATATATATCACCGTCCGTGGATGGGGTGTGTTTGGTTTGCATGTGAGAACGCGCTCAGCGGAGCCAGTCGTATGGTTGGCCAAGTAGATAACCCACTCTTGACTCTCCCAAAATTTCATACTCTTCTACAGTTAGGACATACGATAGTCAATATTGGACGATATACTAAGCTTCACTGGTGCTGTCGTGAATTCGACATATCACGCACTAAAATTCGTCGGACTTCAAATCCACAGAAGCATGAGTCCTATCATCTATGGACTTGTAACTCGATTCTAACATGCCTAAAATTTGTGTCTACTCTCCCACTTCCGAAAATAGGGCAAGCGTCTTACCCTCGGATCGCGTCAAGTTCAGGTAGACTACTCTATACAGAGCTGCGAATGTGTTGATTACATAGCCGCACCCCGATCACTAGACCGACTGAGCAATGTAGGTATAAACAGGTCGTTTCAGTCAACAGTGTGCTAAAGGCGTCCCACTAATCGTAAGTGGATAGGATGCATAAAAGCCACCAGTAGGATGGCTCACGTCAATAGAGTGATCTAGCCGAGTATCTGGCACAACTCACAAGAGCGCGGTCCAGCGAGTATTTCAGATGTCAAACACGTCCGATAGGATGGGGAAAGGGCGCTTTCAAGAGACTGCTTCAATATTGAAGCGGGATAAGAGTCTTTAATTCCATCAATCAATTCCGGGAATTAGAGTCGATCACATCCCTGAGCTGGGCGTTATGAAATTCGTAGACAGTATCCGAGATCTGATAGCTTACGCATTTCCATTAGTTGTTGCAACTGGAGACGACGTAGTTCGTTGGACGGGAAATTGGACTCAGACGACGGGGCACACCGTAATCACAGTAAATGGGCTGTTCATCTGGAGTATTCAGAAATACACAATGGTCATAGTATCTATATACATAGTCGACTCACGGAGCTTCTCTTCATCTCTGACCCAAGGCCTCATCTGTAATACGCTGCGACTCGGGAACCTCAGCAGCTTTGCCCTGCGGCTCCAAAGGATATGGTGTTGTATGTAAGGACTCGAGATGCGCGCGATGATGTTCGTTTGCCTGACATATGTTAGTCGTTAACCTCCATAAGTGAACGCTATGGGAATAAAATGATGCCGATCTGGGTTGTCGAGCATAGCTTACAAATGGAAGACCACAGTATGTACACATGCAGATTTGGGGTTTATCAACGTTGATGAATATTCTTGGATGACCCAATGGCCCACCACCGCCGTCGCATGCGACCATTCGCTCATGTGTCCAGCGCACTGGCTGCTGATGAATTAGAGTAATAGCTGCTTGGGGTGCAGGCTAGGTCATCGATTAGTTCGTCTCTGATCAGGTGTACATATGAAGATGGATGGACGGATTGACATACCTGAGCCTCCATAATGGTTTGTTCGAATCTCGGGCCTGACATCGCTTTTGCTCTTGGGTTTTGACTCCTGGACCACGCCACGGCTCGGTTTGGCGCCTGCGTTACCCTCCTGTGTTCTGCATCTTCAGTCTTTTCCTGCAAAGAGGTTGATGTGTGGACCGCCTCAGTTGGAAGCTCATTGGTCTTGGAAACGTTCGGAACGTCCTTCTGGGGGGTAGGGTCGTTAATTTCTTGTTGATCGTTGGCGGAAAACGCATAGCTTCGCCGTGAAGCAGTTTGAATTCGTTTCGAAATTTGCCATGCGGCTCGTGATCTGATTGTGGGAAGCATTGGTGCGGAGAGCTCAAATCCTGCGGCTTGGTCGACGTTAAAGCTATCTCATTGTCGTCCTCCTTCTTGGAGCTGGAACAGACGGGAAGCTAGAAATTGACTAAGCGGCTGCTACAGTCTAGACCACCGAGGTTGTGCCGGCGCGGGATGCTCGATGATGCATTTACTGCTGTCCAAATCAGGGTCTGATTCTGCTTCCCATTTATCATATATTCTTGTCAAAACCCAACCCAATACCAGAATCTCATGAATTGGAGCAAACGATTTCCTCTCTGGTTCGACACTGACGCCGCGGCTATTCAGACTGAGAAATAGGTCAAATTCCAACTCGGTTCGGATTTTCCTCCACACACGATCATCATGGCAAGCACCACGAGTACGCCGGGGAGTGCCCCGAAGGCCATGTCCTCGCGCCTGCTCACAATGAAGTTTATGCAAAGGGCAGCTGCATCGCCGACGTCTCCTTCGCCCGTGGTTCCGGACGAGCGCCCACAGAAACGAAGGAAAAAGGATGCAGACCCATCGGCTGTGGCCTTCGATGTCAACGCTCTCGCAAATAATCTGGCCGTCCAAAAGGCGCTCGGGGAGGAAGAGGCAATACGGCAAGCTGCGCTTGATAGACAGGCGGCAGAGGCTGGCGACACGAGATGGGTATTGAATTTCGAGGACGAGAAACGCCCTCTAAAGACGTATACAACGACACTACAGGTTGTTCCAACCGGTTTCGCGAACCTTGACAGCTTGTCGGCCCCACAGATACAGTCTTTGAGTGAGGAAGACGTACATGATAGACCATTGCTTGTAGGCCGCCGAAGTTTTGGGAAATTCAATCGGATACTTGAAGTATGTTGTTTCCCAGCATTATTTTGCTGTTATATTAACATCTTTGCAGCGACAGCAAAATCCCTCCTTAGATGACTCCTCGGATTCCACATCCGAAAATGAGGACGAGGATGCAAAAGATTTTTCAGCAAACTCCGACGATTCATCGAGCGATTCCAACAATCCTACTGATGCCTTGCTGAGGGCCTCTCAAGCTGAAGCGGCGCAACGACTAAAGTCAGAACGTAAAGCTAAGAAGAAGGCGGAAAAGAAGAAAGGTGAAAAGCTAGCTAAGCAGCGCAAGAAGAAAGAGGTTAATATCAATGGGTTGTCATCACTTTCCGGCGAAAAGGCGTTTTCTCCTACCAAAGGACCCTGCTATAATTGTGATGGGCCTCATCTAAGAGCAGATTGCCCAGAAACCAAGAGAGTATATCAAGGAGGAATAGACGATAGTCGACCGAGAAAATCTCTCCGTAAGCGCTAATGCGAAAGCCATCTTTAATTAATTAATATATTCGACCCACCCGCCTCAAGTTGAATTATGATTCAAACAACTACAAGAGTAAATTGATTTGCCAGGCACAATAGCACAGATTTAAACGGGGTATTTGCTCATAAGTAGCCACCGGGCTTTTCAGCACGATCAAGTTCATGATGGAATGAGCTGGGCAGAGATCATCTTTTTTATTAACAATCAGCTATGGTATCAAGTGTATCCAATCTCTTCCCCGCCACTGAGCTACTCTGACTTAGAATACTCCATCGTCAGCGTCACTCCTCTTCGACATTCACACACTAGATACGTTTACCCTCCACACTTACCAACCAACCCCAACTCCACTCTCACCCCCATCTGTCTCACCATATCTCACGTCTCTGCCTAGAGTGCCCCAAGACAACAACTGAATATCCCACTTTCCCTGTGCCCAAACATAAACCATCGGAAATAAACAAACAAACAGACTAATACCTCAACGTCCGGAAGAAGACACAGGTGAGGAGCAATTAGACTTCTGACATCGAAAATTAGGCGAGGAGGATTAGGGGGAAAGGGGAACAGGCAGGCCAGGCAGCAGAACCCCGCTTTGCGGCACGATAAGAATTGTTATCGTCACCTAATTGCGGTATGATGATCGGTTGAAGTTGGTCGGTGGCGTTAGAGAGATGTCATCCCGAGGTTTGGTGGGTATGGTGGTTGAAATACGAGATCTAGGGATGTCTTAACGTGTCAGGTGAAGATGGTTTGTGAGGTCACATGGGGCAAATTTTAAGCAAAAGAGCGCGGGAAATAATATGATTCCATTCGCGAGATCTATCTAAAACCCAGATATTCTTCTTTTCCTGTTTAGGATGTACTGTGACCCAAAAGATCCCGAATAACGTAAATATAGTTCCAAAATGATCATCGCAATTTCCAGAAGGACGCCATCTATAGCGGACCCTTAATGGAAGTTACAGATACACAAGCAGTACAGAGTATTTCCAACATCCTTTTCCAAAAGGCAAACAAAATCCAAGCTTAACCGAGATCCTGAGATGGGAATTTACTCCCATCGATACATGCCATCATCGTAAGCAACTCGGTGGCGTCTTTGAGCCGGCCCGACACTGGATCGTCGCTTGGGAAGCTGTCGCTCCCTCAATCGACGTTTCATTGCTTCCTCTTCATTCCCCGTGCGATCCGTTCCCACGGCAAGAGCGCCCATCATATAAGGTAACTCCTGATCCACCACGGTCTGCCGGCGAGATAAAGGGACCAGTGGAACAGCTGGTCTGGCGTTGATTTCCTCGTCTTGCCGTCTGAAGAACTCTTCTTTGGCCCTTCTCTCTTCCTTAGCCCTTCTGGCTTTCAAATCCTCGCGAAGTTTGCGTTCGGCCTCACGAGCGTCTAATTCCCGACGGACTTGGCGTTCAGCGTCTCTCTTCTTGAACTCGCGGGCACGAGCGGCGGCCTCTTCCTCTTCGAAGCGAAGACGGGAGTTGAAAGATGTGTGAGACGAGGACGGAGAGTCCCATGCTTGGTGTTGGCGTGGGCGAGAATGTTCCCGTGACGCGCGGGGGGTTGCTGGGCGGCGGTCGCCAAAAACGGGGCCCATGGAGTGAGGGTTGCGACGGAAAGGTCGCTCGTCGACAATGATGGGACGATCCCGGGAGGCTTCGTGTGAGGTACGATATGTAGGTGTGGCAGGCGATGAAGGAGCAGTGAAAGTCTGACTAAAGTGTTGAGGTGGAGTCCTTGGGGTTGGTGGGGAATCCACGATCACGATGCGTTCCTTTCTGTGCTGCCTAGTAGGTCTCAATGGTGACAAAAGACGTTTGGATGGTTTACGGCGGTGACCAGCAGATTCGGAAGAAGAGTGTCTGTGGTGAGAGCCATGTGGCGAGTGAGGAGGAGTTAGAGGACGGTGCTGAGCGTGGTAGATCACTGGGCGGAGACGCTCCTCTGTGGTTTCTTCACCCCAATTGATGTTGCGAAGTGGTTCCTCAATGGTACTGTGTGTTGAGCATGGCCGTCCTGGCTTGCCATATTGGCAGGTTATGAGGCGGCGAAAGGGAATCGTTTCCCCGTCCGGGTAGCGGTCCGAGTAAACGTGTGTCACGCACATTGTGTTCGTTGAAGTGTTTATATGCCTTTGAATGGCAACGTCGACGGTTCTGTTTTTGGTGTGTGTGGTGTACGAGGTTGGTTTGGTATTCGAAGATTGGTTTCGAACGAAGTTGGATTTGGATCTGTGTGGGAAAGAGTCCTCTTTATGAAGTCGTCCCAAAGGTTGGTTGTCAGTCGCCTGGATCAGGAATGAATTGTAATCGGACGCCGGGATCTAGTGATTGCGCGAACGACATGAAGGACTCATGCGGAAAAGGAGTGGGTTTATAGTGTCGCTCGAGGGGGGGATGTACTTGTTGCGGACGGAGGCGGTGATATCAATCGGTATATATGAATGCGGTTCTGTGAGATGTTTGAGTTCACCGAATGGTAAGGCTGAGCAAAGCTATGGGTGAGACGAGGATTGCGGATCGGATGAAGCTGTGTATGAGCGAGCGATGTATGTGAAGTGATGTGCTGGAGCAATTGACAGTGATGAATGAGAATGGAAGCAAATTGATGGTGGGGACTGAGGAAGTCTTATACAATTGACATGGTGCTTTAGTTAGTATCGCGCACGCTCTGACAATGTCTCTCTGTCTGCCTAGATGGTGGCCGTATGACTGTGAGGTTTCGCTGGGGACATACAGTACACACCTGGACCTGGGTATGCAGAGTGGATCTCTTGGGACTGGCGGCCTGCCGCACCCTTGCCGCTCGAGGAGTCGTCCCAGTCAGTGGGCCGGTCACCCAATTCATGAGCTTCCTGGTGGAGGAGGCGGCAACCCAGGTCCACGCAGGGGGGGAAAGGGACGAAGGAATGACAGTCAAGACCGTCCTGTGCTCGGTTTGGCTCACCTCGACCCCCGGACAAGAGCTGTCTGCACAGAGCACAGAGCACAGAGCACACCCGCACATTGCTTGAATTGAGTAGCAGCAGCTGACATGCCTCAGGCAAGTAATTCGTAGTCTAGCTGGTCAGCCACACCCCACACCTCCACCAATTCACAGCCCACGAGGCGGAGCAGACTGAGGCGTGTGAGGCATGTCTCTCTCTGATCACTTGAATAATTCAGAATGAATAATTCAGAAGAGCTCATGCGAGTCTAAGGCACAGCATCTTGCAGCCTCCACACCGTGAAACTGTCTGTTTCGGCGACATCGGAAGAGGGAAACAAGCTGTGATGGCGAACGGAAGGTGTTGGTAAATGGATGGTCTGAAATTGCTGGTATATTCTTCACTGGCGCGCGTGCCTAGAAGAGTTCAACAGACTAACAGACTAACAGAGAAAAGAGGCCTAGCTGGCTGGAGAACAGGACAAAAATAGCTTCTTTGCAACTCCAGGAGTTCTCCTGTAAGAGGGCGACTCGGCGGGCCGGCGCGAAGTGTGACTTGCTCAGAACAACCTACTAGCCTACCTAGGTAGGGCTAGGTACTGTACTCCGTACCTCACTCGGGTCACTGGGCTGGATGGCCATGTTTCGTACGACCATTTCGCGCATCTGCGCATAACCTTTGCCTACCCCTAGATCTACTTCGTAAGTAGGTATTCTCACAGCCAGTCGATGATGACAAAACTCGAGAGTTGCGACAAGCGAGACCGACCGACCCACCGACCGATTTCCAGAAGCGGCTCCGGTCAGACATGCCCAGCCGAGGCCTTTTTTTCTCATTGCTAATTCCACCGCCATCATGATCATCACCACCTCTTCAATCCTTCCCGGCGTCTAAACATGCCTACCTACCTACCTACCTACCTTACCTACCTACTTACTGTGCTTTGTACTCCGTATACTATTAATTGCTTTTGTTGGCGTTTTAAGCTTTGGACGCTTGCGTGGACCTCGTACTTCGAGCAAACGCCGTCAGGTTACGCACAACCTGCTGGTTGGAAATCGGCTTCCTGCCTTTTACTCCCAATGTTGCGCATACTCATGCATTACTTCAGAAACATTGCAGCTGCTGACAAAATGTATTGTTCACTCTCCGAGTCTCCACTCCACTACACTACGGATCTAGCACTCTTTCGCTGCAGGAGGACCTCTTCACTGCAGCGGATATGTACCTACGCTCCAGGGCTGTCAGATCTTTGTCAACACAGCCTCTTTTGGCTCTCGCTAAACACCAGCCATCATGTCGATTTACCGGCGACGACGAATGAGAATCTACAGCTTCACCGAGACGTCAATTTTGGTTAGCAATTTGCAAAAGATGATTGAAGGACCATCGCATGTGGCCATTGCAGTAGCTCCCGTTGATGATATCGGTGGGATGATATTGGCACTGCGGCTCTCTGTTGTGGGACGCAATATCTTCTCGGTCATAAATCACCATCCCGCAATCTGGATTCGGAAGATGCAGACTGCAGTCTCTCGTTTGCACTGATGTGATCTTGACCACACGATTTCCCCGTCCAACCCACCCATATTTCGAGATGTCTCCTCACCGAAAGAGGCTTGAAGGTTTGCCTGCAACGAACCTGTCCTTGCCCCCACCGTTGCCACGCCAAAATGCCTACATATTTCAAAGCATGCAAACGACAAGGGCAAGACGGGAACACAATGTCATCACTAGTTTCGTTTGTCAGTCGCGTGTCCTTGAAAACCCTTGAAACTAATTTGGATTTCTCATATTAGTGATGCGGCTGTGGCTTGCGGCGGACGGAGTAGATGTGCTATGGGTGCTGACCGTGGAAGATTCGGTCCAATGATGCTGTATGCTAATTTGCAGAAGAATTGAGTGGGAAACATAAATCCAATGTCTCGATATTTAGAACTTGACTTCTAGCAAATAGAAATGGGATGTGCATGCAAATCCCAGGCCAATGGCAGACGGCTTCTTGTCATTGACGCTCGATATAACCACTTCCTCGCTCGCAACAAAGGCCAATACCCATACCTATGCATCCTCGATTGCAAAACCAAGGACACCAACGGACTCGCAAACAAGCGACAGTGAGAAGGCCAGTTGTGTGGTCACGATATCCAGCGATAGCGGCATCCCGAGGCCTGCCTGAAATTATGACTCTTGCAAAGGTCTCACTATGTCAAACACATGACGAATCTCCACACCCCCAACCATCGAAAAAACACCAGCATGATACCAGCAACACGTAAAGATGGAAACCCCGCGAATCTTGGTGACACCCAAAGAATTCAGAGTCCTGCCAGGACTCCGAGGGGGGGAAATCTCGGATGATTTCACGACAGGATCCCCTGACTTTCAGCTGGTGGAGTCGCAGTCAGCCTTACAAGGCGTACTCCATTTCGCTAAAGACGTTTGGCGAACCCCTTTAATGTTCCTGACAGCCAAGGTTCTAGGGAATTATTCTGATCCGATTTCGTGTTGCTTCTGCATATCTCTATCATTTTAGCCGTTGATCGAGGTGGTATCAATAACAGTCTTCTTTTGATGTTGTGTTTCCCCAGCGACTGCTGATCTGGTAGTGAAGCTGAAACGGAATCTAAAAGGATTGACAAGATGACTTTAGCGAGATTCTGAAACCGGAGATCGTGTTCTTTGTATTTTTGTTTGATATCCTTTACCTTGCGGCTCAGCGTGGCTGTGGATCTTCTCTGCTCTCCTTTATCTTTTCTTTATTCTGCGATCGTATGTTGCATATGAAGTATGAATTGGTGCATGGTGGGATAGCATGTAGGAAATTATGCATCATTGTTCCTCTCCAAATGTGGCAGTGTTGTGCTCATATGCAGATGATCAACCCTTCTATAGACGAGGATGATAGCCGGCTTTGATGCAGCAGAATTTTATAACTGCTCTTTTCGTCTCATAATGAGTAATAGAAGTCTAGCCGAGATTTTTCAGTGGCTTAACATAATGGTTGATTGTCTTTAAGTCACTTGAAATATCTGCTCGGAAAACCGTTCATCAGAGTTCATGGCTGTTAGACACGAGTGTGTTATGGTGCCACTCTCCGTCGGAATTCTTACTGCTAGGTTTTTAGATTTTGGGAAGGTGCTGTGTGCCTAGATAACTTGTTAACAAGTCAAGTGGCCGTCTGGCTTCCATCACCATTTCTCGCGACTGGATGGGCAGTATTTGCTAAGTCAAAATCCAGTTGATCGGTCATTTTAGCAACTTACGTGCAAGCTTACACACCTTTACTCTTCTTATACCGTCGGTATTTTCGAGTGTCTATGTTCTAGGTCACCTCCTTTCCAAAGACACCCAATCTTTTAAATACCAAAGGACCTAAGAGCGATGAAAATTGGTAGTGTTTAGAACACTGCCTTAAAACCTTGCCTTTATCTAGTTTTTTATTTCCGAATTTCCCAAGCTGAACTTGCTTGATGCTTTATTTGGCAAATATCCGAACGAGCTAGCGATGCCTTCCCCAACATTCTCACGAAATCAAACAAGCGTCTAGCACTTATTGTCTGCAAAAGAACGAGTTGTGTTATATCTTATCATTCAGATACGTAAATGAGATGTAGTGTCTTTACTGCTATAGGCGATATCTGGGGGCTTCAAGTCTAGCGGTTGAACACTGCTAAACGTGTAGGATGTGATTTCAGAGATATCAAATAACAATACATTCAGGCTGTTGGATGCCAATTAGCAATTCCCCAACGGACTTGTTAATCTGATTGTGGGATAATCCTCTTACATATCTTTAATTTTTGAATGATTGATGCTTTGATTCATGAGCTCAGAAATTCAAGCCTACGACTTATTCTCTGCCGCAGCTCCTCTTCTGATGGGGCAAAGTTCATATCATCAAGTTATCTCCCGACACACGATCAGGTGAGATGCAGGTCGAATCATTCCGTATCAAAAGTCAATTGCCATATTACTGGGGTGGGAGACTTCGAAGTCAACACACACGCGCGATGTTAATACTTCAAACGGTTTATAATCCTCTCAAATATGTCTCAGAGCGAAACGGCATGTATTATCATCAGACACTATGTGGATCAAAACAATAAAGACTCTAACACTGTAACTAAGACCTGTGGAGACTTGACTCACTCGAGTTAGGAATCTCTGCAATGTAAGCATTTCCTATCAATAGACTGATGTGGAGGTGTCCCCGAGTTTGAAGTCAAGCGTGTTCAAAGTTTTGGCAATACCAGACCGTAAACGTCACACGCGAGACCGCTGAGAATAGAGTGTATCATCCATTTTAGGATAGTCTATTTTTTTATTATGGTAAGGTCCCTATCAATGAAGCAACACCGGTGGGTGACACAATTCTCTGCGCACCCAAGAACTTTGAAAGCAAAAATCTTAACCCTACAACTCAATATCGTAATTCTGTTAACATAGACTTTATCTACAAGGTATAGGCTATAGACTAGTATAATAATAATTATGCTTGGATATTATTGTTCGGTCCCAATTCTAGTGGTTGTTCCTGGACTGCGCAGAGAGATATGTCACCCAATAGTGCAATGCTAATAATATCTGGAAGCATGATAGCTGACGACAAAGCGCAACCCAAGTAGCTGTAATTATAGGGAAACTCCTGTGGCGATCGTTGGAGCACAACCATATAACATGAATAAGAGGGCCTGTCTAAGCAACAAGGCACCCTATCGTCCCAAGGAGATGTTTGATCTTGGATTTCTCGAGTGATTCATTTACGTGTAGACGATCCTACATTGGTTCTCTTTCTAGTAAGTTTGTTAACACCAGAGGAAAAGTGTTGTCATGTAAGTATAGTAGTTCATCTGTGTTGATTTTGTATGAGATGATGCATATTAGGGTGATATTTTTGTTGGAACACACTTTCAGTTCTTTTACTGAACAGGTTCTTGAAGAGATAGGGTTGAAAGAAAGAACCAAGCTTGAAATGTTCTTTTACCAGTTCCTAGTTTGCTAGTCAAGTGAACCAATGCTGGCTTTGGAATTCCAGAAAAGGGTTCGAGGATTCAATACATTTAATGGAGCTCACGGCTGTCCAAGAAGATAGCATACCGCCAACCCTTTGCGGGTTCCCTATGAAGTACACGAGATAGAGCGATAAAAGAGGATGTACTGGATTTAGGGACCCCGTTGTCATGATAGAGTAAACAGAATTCTAAGTCAATCTAACACTTGATATGAAAATTCCTCCTACTGAGACCCCAACCCTCTCCATGACAACATGATTACGAATTGAGACCTGACAAGAAATGAAAACGAGAAAAAGTCAAATATGAGACCACCCAGAGGACAACCGTACAGTACGGATAGAGATGACATTGTATCATTATAAGAAACTGTAAAAGTCGGAAATTGGGCTTTGAAGCCTAAATTTAGACGCCTGACTGAAAAATACTTTGCGCTCTAGAACCATGAATCTAGATCATACACTTCATAAGACAAATGAACATTCGGCTACCCACAAAGATTGCTACTTCCAGAATGGTGTTATCAGATGAGTAGGATCTGCCTGCTAAGGCGTCCCTTCAAATAATTTCCATCTCATTCAGCGACACCTCATCACAGGCCGACAAAGTGGATGAAGTCACAACACTAATGAATCTTAGCGGTAAGAATCTCATTTCAAGTTTATCAAGTTAAGGAGCACCCTAAAAAGTCCTCACCCACAAGGTCCTGTACCAGCTCCAACTTCGCGAGCCTACTCCAACCATCCTTCCTCTTGTCCCTTCTTAATAGCTTCGTCCTGCTCTTTAGTAGCGTCATTTGCCATGCTGTATACCCCCTCGTTCGATTCCCCGCCACATGAGATATACTGCCACACGCCATTTACATGACCGGCTTCCTCATTCACAAAGTCCTCGAAGCCCATGTTTGCGATTTGGAGATTCACGAAAACAGTATGTGCCTCCTCTGCCTGGGACTGTTATTAGCTTATTTTTACTGGACAGAACACCAGTGACAAGGTATGAGGTGGATCTGAGGACCAGCCCAATCAGTCGAATATGGTGAGAAAAGAAAAAGAATACGTATTAGAACAAGTGGGATACTCACTGGTGCTCTGACAGCTTTATACTTCACATTACCCATTAATCTCGCCTCCCTCTCCTCCTCATCCTCTTCATCTTCATCCAACTCGAAATTATGCTCTACTAGCAAGACGGTGTCATTTTCCAAGGCTTCGTCGTCAAGCATAGCCCATGAGCTGACATCAAATCCCGCCTTTCCGAGAACTTCCTCATTTTCAGACATGAAGTCATAAAGCTGATCGAGACTCCAACCTTCAAAGTCGCTGTTGAGCTCCTTGAGTGGTGGGAGCGTTGGAGGGGTGGCCTTAGCGAGAGAGGCGTCTTTTGAGGTTATGATGCTCCAGATTTGATGTTCCGGGTTTGTGTCATATTCATAGTCAAGGAGCAGGACAAATGTCTTGTTTACTTTCTGCGAGTTTTCGTGTTAGTGGTTTAAACCCGTCGCTCGGGTAGGCAGTGTAGACCTTGATATTTGGCTTGGTAGCCGTGATGAAAACCGGACATTGGTCTCCCATTTTGATTGCGTTTCGGCTGTTAATGCGTATCAGACCTGAAGACAGTGATGTTGAAGAGGACAAGACGAAGCATTTAAGAAGTTTTTGGAACCTAGAACTGCGCGTAAACATTTGCGTAAAGAAATTCTGCAGCTTCGTGGCGAGACGGGACTTGCTCGGTGGGACAACGATGAATGATCGACGCGGGGTACACGCGAAGTCACGACTGAATCGGACTGATGCCTTGATGTTGCCTGTCGATTGCAGTTGGTAACCTGATTTAAGACTTTTTGAGTAGCTGAATTATTTCATTGTCAAATCATTACAATGTATTCGTGTCTAGATTTCCACTAATATTTTTACATGAGCTTCCTTATTGTCAATCAGCTGCTTGAACCCCTGGTCTACCACATGCTCGAGTGCGATTTTTGCTGTGATCATGTCGCCCGGTTTCATCGACCCTGGAGTTATATTAGCGCATATCTTCTTGAAGGATGCATAAGTTGGTCTGCCTCTGCGAGGGAGTTGGTCAATCGAGAACAGGATAAACTTACCATTACCTAGGGCTTCAATAACGTCTTTAAAATCCTGTTTCGCGTGTCCTAGACAAGCCACATAGCTGCCCTCCTTGAATACTAAATCGTTTGGTTGGAACGGTACGGCCTTTTCCCAAATAGCCACATTGACCACTGTGCCTCTGACTTTGATGCATTTGCAAGCGGCCGTCAAGCCCACAGCTACGCCGGCACAGTCGAACACAATGTCGACGCCATCTCCGCCTGTTTCCTCTTTGACTCGCTTAATTACATCGTCTTTGGTCGGATTCAATATGACGTCTGCACCAAAGTGCGAGCAAAATTTCTGACGCGAGGATGAGATTTCCGAGACGATGATCTTGCCGCAACCTTGAGCTTTTAGGGCATTAATGACAGCGATCCCAATTGGTCCCCCTCCCAAAATCAAGATAGTCGAACCCTTTTTCAGTGGACTTCTCGAAACAGCGTGCCATCCAACCGCCAACGGTTCTACCAGAGCTGCGATATCAAGTGGGACGTTGTCTGGAAGAGGAAGCACATAATCGGCCGGGATCACACATGCGTCGCTCAACCCACCGCCCCAACCAGACAGACCAACGAATCCTCCATGATAACAGACATTCTGCAGACCTAAATGGCACGCGTTACAGGTTCCATCGTAGATTGTAGGTTGTATTGATACATGTTGACCAGGCTTGAAGTTTGTGACGCCCTTGCCGACTTCCAAGACAGTCCCCGAGAACTCATGTCCAAAAGTGATGGGAATTGTCTCGCCAGTTACAGGATGAGGGGTTTCGGGGGCGAAATTCGGGCCACCAAGGTATTCGTGAAGATCTGAAGTGTGCGTTAACATCTCGTCCAGCATGCAAAACGTCACAGAGCCAGTAATAGCAGTTTGGGCACTAGCATACCAGTTCCGCAGATTCCTACGAATGCAGGCTTAACCTTGACCTGTCCCTCACCGCATGTAGGCTCCTCAATCTCCTCTACTCGGATATCTCCAATACCGTGGTATCTAGCTGCTCGCATGTTGAATGTTGTAGGATAACCTGCTTTATCAAAGGTACATACTGCCCAAACCTTCAAAATGGCCAACAGGAGGTTTATATTCGTCGACGCCAGACGTCGGTGGTGCCATACCCCTCACGCCACTATACGTGAGGCCATAAGTTGCCCAAAAGTTGGCGAGCGGACAAACGGTTGCATCGTACGATCGCGATAAGCCTTATGGTGAATCATGTGTGGCCAATCATAGGAGTCTAAATGTCTCTAACAGTGTTTAGAAGAAGGATTGGCGCCGTGAATGAGGGGATGGCATCGGAACGTGCGCTTCTAAAACGTTCGGGAAAGGATACCAGAGCTGAAAGAGAGAGCACTTCAGGCGCGCCGAGAAAGCGGAATTTCTCCATGTTTTGATGTGGGGATGATCGACGCAAATGCCAACCCCGCACTGATTACTGTTTTAAGGAATCAAATGTTATGTATTCATGGACTTTGCGATTTGGAAGGCGCAAAAGAAAATATGTTAGGATGTATTATACAATTCATCAATAGTTTAATTTGTAGGTTACTAACACTTATCTCGTGGTTCTCGAGCCCCGCAGTCTATAGAACCGTCCATGGCAGCTCTGGACAACTTATTTCTTGCCAACCATCATTGTTATAAGTATGGAACAGCAAGATACGGCCCATGTATTTCAATACATTCTGAGCTCTGCAGAAAGTACTGGCTCTACTACTCTGCTTTCAACGTGGAACTCACATCCCATCTGGTAGCCGAATATTGGAGCCGAGAGCTCCATCGACCCCACAGGATCAACGACGTTGCAATGGTTGCGTGGGTTTCCTTCGTTTTCAGATATTGTTTTGTCTTCTGATATCGACCTTCATACTTTCTTCACATTTCGAGAATATCGTTGATAAAACTGTTACACTTTCTACCTGTCTTAGGAATAGCACGGGAACCGACGGTAGCCATGTATACAGCATCCGTATGTAAGATTCTACATCATTTCTCTTATGCAGAGTTGCTGCACTCTTTGCCTCCTTTAGACTCGCCTTACGCGTCTGTTTGAACCCCCAATCGATGCTTGAAATATGAAACCGTATTCTGCACACCTCGAATCGATCATTACTGACATGTCCAACAGTTCGCCTTTTTCGAGGCATTATGGGAGGTCGGTCTTACCCCGTTCCAAGAGTGGGCTTCTCTAACTCCATCTTCGTTTGTAGGCAGGAGTCACACATTGTTTCGTCAATCTTGGCTCAGATCATCCTTCGATCATTGAAGCCATGGTAAAAGGCCAAAATGAAAAGAAAGGCGAATTCCCTCGGATCATTACATGCCCAAATGAGGTCAGATAACCCTTGTCTGTTCCCTTTAAATCAGTGTTCAATCTTATAACTTCCCAGATGGTAGCCCTTTCCATGGCCGATGGATTTGCCAGACTAACACGACGTCCACAATGCGTCATAATCCACGTCGACGTCGGGACGCAAGGACTCGGAGCCGCAGTTCACAACGCTTCCTGCGGTCGTGCTCCAGTTTTAATTTTTGCTGGCCTCTCTCCCTACACCATAGAAGGCGAACATCGCGGCTCCCGCACTGAATATATCCATTGGATCCAGGATGTACCGGATCAGAAACAGATCGTTGCGCAGTATTGCAGATACGTGGGTGAGATTAAGAGTGGAAAGAACGTGAAACAGATGGTAAATCGTGCCTTGCAGTTTGCGACGAGTGAGCCCGCTGGACCTGTGTATCTGTGTGGTGCGAGGGAGGTTATGGAAATGGATTTGGAGCCGTACACATTGCAGCAAGAGCATTGGGGGGCGGTAGAAGCCGGCGCGTTGAGCGAGGGAGGCGTGAAGAGGGTTGCTGAGGCGTTGATGGCGGCGAATGAACCGCTGGTCATTACAGGTTATAGTGGACGGAATCATGATGCTGTTGGTGCCTTGGTAAAGTTAGCTGATATGGTAAAAGGACTTAGAGTTCTCGATACGGGAGGAAGCGACATGTGTTTTCCGGCTAATCATCCGGCATGGCTTGGTCTAAGATATGGAGTGGACGAGTCGATAAAGTCTGCAGACATGATTCTAGTTCTCGATTGCGGTACGTTTGATTCGTATTGATCAATATTTTGCTAATGGCAACCAGACGTTCCCTGGATAAACACACAAAACCACCCGTCCACAGCCTGTGAGATTTACCACATTGATACTGATGTGTTGAAACGTCAAATGCCAGTCCACTACATCGCAGCTCTTGCTCGGTATACAGCAGATGCTTTCACGAGCCTAACGCAACTTACAGATTACATTTCCGCTTCCCAGAACTACACCAAGAAAGTTTCAACGTACGATGTTCGCTGGGAGGCGCTCCAAACTTCTTACGCTCTTCGTTTAGAAAACATAGTAGCGGCAGCAAAACCAAAGGAAGGAAAGTTTGGAACAGGCTACCTTTGCTCAACGCTTCGAAAGATGTGTCCACAGGATACAATTTGGGCCATCGAAGCAGTGACGAATAGCTTTTTCGTAGCAGATAACTTACAATGCAGTGTTCCAGGCTCATGGATTAACTGTGGCGGCGGCGGTCTAGGCTGGTCTGGTGGAGGAGCTCTGGGCATTAAACTTGGATCCTCATACTACTCAAACCCAAAAGACGGTGGGAAATTCGTCGTCCAGATAGTAGGTGACGGAACCTACCTCTTTTCTGTCCCAAGCAGTGTATATTGGATATCCCAACGTTATTCAATTCCAATACTTACAATCGTTTTGAATAACAAAGGATGGAACGCTCCAAAGAAATCGTTACTGCTCGTCCATCCAGAAGGACTTGGTTCTAAAGCCACGAATGCTGAGTTGAATATCGAGATCGCAGGTCCTGACTTTGGAGGGATTGCTAAAGCTGCAGCTGGTGGCAATTGCTATACCGGCAAGGTTTCGGAGGTTGATGAACTTGAGAAGGTGCTCGGAGAAGCTATAAAAAGTGTACAAGGAGGTATTACAGCTGTTGTCGAGGCTGTTGTTGCGTCTGGCTGTTAGAACGCCGCAGTGTATACAACCGACGAGAAATGGCAAGTAGAGAATACCTGATCCACGTAGACTTTTGGTGTTGTCAGGACGATTGGACATATATCACCAGTCGTAGCGCCGCCAATTGGAGGTCGTCTTCGTGTACTATCAATTGGTCGTCTTCGTATAATACTATATCTGCTCGTAAGGAACAAGATGATTTTTTGTGTTCATGTTCTCGGTGTTGTGTAGGATTTTGACACATCATAGAAAGTTGTCTCGACCGTGGAAAGGGGTCACAGGTGTCAATGGCGGAGACAGAGCTTAGTGTTGTTTGGCCCTCAAATCAACAAGAAGCTATAGTAGAAAGTCTGGCCAGAACGATGCGCCTCGGCTTTCCTAGGTAAGTGGGTAAACTCCGTTTAAGGAAAGTGCTAGTTTTAGTAGCCTGCTAATTTCACGGTAGCAGCCATGAAAAGTGCGAGAGATGCCACTACCTCAGTATTTCTGAAGACCCATTGTGAGGCTGGCAAAACTATCGGGAAGTTCGCTCATGGTGAACAATAACACACGTCGTGATCATGCTACTGACATGTTACACTGTATGTCGTAGAAATCGGCTTTACTCCACATTCATTGTCCAAAGCGGGCCATCGCTTGATCTTTGTTGCACTTCGTACAAGGCCAGATCAAAACCTATCGAATGATCTTGAGATTCTAGGTTCAAACCCACGTCTGAATTTAGCCTGTATGCGGATGCGAAGTCGTATGGGATTTGTTGCATGTCGCTGTCAGAAGATGAATGTCTCAGTCTCAGTAGTCGTGCACCGAAGTGTCTGTTGATTGTCCAGGCGCTCATAAGTCTTTGGTACGGCACTCCTGTGGGCGGTAAGTTGGTCTGGGTTTGGTCCATCGCTGCATAACAAGCGACGGTCGTCAAAGAGCAGCTGTCCTCTCGGCATCCCAACTGAATGAGGGGGTTCTCGCGGGACAAGGGCAGCCAGCTGCAAAGGAAGAGAAGGAGATTCCAGTATTACCCAAAATTTGTCCGAACTCGTGATGTGGAAAGCAACACCACTTACCAAAAAAGCAACGCCCCGGCCATACGGTCGTTAAAGGGTTTGCTTCTTTAAAGGATGTACCGGTAGCCTCTTTTCGTGAGGGTGTGTGGTCAACCACTCAGAGGAAGAGATGTGAAGCGGGGAATAGTGGGTGTGGTGCCTAAATAATCTGCAATACCACTATTCCCAGGCGTCAAGAGGCTCTTGGATACGAATGTAATGCCGGTCGAATAAGTTGTGCTCCATGAGATCTAGCGATCCAGTATCCATGGCTGGCTGAGGAGGTTGGTCAGTCGGAGACGTGGTTCCAGACGAGCAACTAACTATTGCTCTTTGGGGCAGAGCGACTACTCCCACTCTTCAAGTCTACTAGGTACTTGTCCATCGTTTGCTTCACTTGCCCAACCACGTCCCCGGGAGTAGCTAGGTAGGATCCGGGCTGACTTACCACTGCCACTGCATTTATCGAATTGCAATTGCCTGTAGCATCACTGGCGTGCTTGTTCGCGGTCGGCCTTTCTCTCACTTCTGTTCCATCACGCGCCTGTTTTCCCAGACTTTGCGTCCACTTCGAGGCCAGTTGGCGGCCCGTTAAGGAAATTGCGTGCCCCGCCATGAGGAGTGCCTTTCAGGGTCCTCTCCGCAGAGGCGAATCCTGGGGATATCTGGGGAGAGAGTGCATTGCGTGTGGTGTGGTCTGGGGATCACTACTACTTTCCAGGTTCTGCTGTTCCCTATGAGATGGTTGATCCTTTGCCGTGTCGGAAGTTCCCCGTGGACACGGCATACCGAATCTGCGGATGAGACGTGGGACAGCATGCGCAACAGCAGCCTCATCGCAGAGATTTCACGGCGTACAGTCGTTGCGTACGTACGGATGAACTATGGCCATGCGAAATGAGCAGGGAAATAGCGACAACGGCGGAGCTTCTTTAGTTCACGAGATGAAATTGAGATGAAAGCGGTGCGGGTGTAAGATACAGCCGCGCTGAAGTTCGTGGTACCTTAGCTTCCAGGTTCGTCCGAGGAGTGGGGAGTGGGGAGTGGCTGGTATCTCACCGCTCTCTAGCATTGCTGGCAGAATCTGGGCTGGCGCTGGCTGGCTCGCGATAAGCAGCAACCTTGCTTCTCCTCCCTCTCAGAGTCTCAGCCAGCCGATAAGCAAAAGAGCGCTTGATTCAGAACTACTGTACGAGTCCTCCGTACTAACTGTTGAGATTTGCAATACTTACGGAGTGCGCTATGTATTTGAACCGCTCACCCGTCGTCTCTATTTTCGTTCTCTTTCTCCCTCTCTCTTCTCCTTTGATTATTCCTCTCCTCCCAATATGTGCCTTTCTTACAAAGATCTCTTCGTCAATCCGCCTTATTGGCCTGCACCTTAGCCTTACGCGCGACCAAAGTGACAAATCTCCGGGTTGATTGTATCGAATCTCGACCTCGCAAAAGCCCAGACCACGACCCCTCCATCGCTCCGTCAAAGCTCCCAGAGTCCCAGACCTCGTCAAGTGCTCGAAGTCGGCCCTCTAAAGCCGTCAACCTCCCCACCAAGCGAGGAAGCGGTGCTAGACCTGGCGGACCCTGACTACCTAGGTACAGTCCGATCATACAAAGTAAGTTTAATCTTGAAGTCGTTCCGACGGGGGGCGCCCTCGCAGCGAGCTCGATCGTGCTTTCGTCCACCGTTCGCTGGACTGAGATCGTGCCGTCTAACACGTGCAGTTCTCGTCCGAGGTCAAGACTCAAACAAACCTTTGGCAGCTTCCGGCCTTTCTCGTGCTTCACCAGCGGCCCTACCCCGACTCACGGCTCTTCATCCCAGCCACGATTCACCACATATCCGTCACCACGATTCACAACCTCCATAAAAGGACATCTCGACGGACGGAAGAATCCCACCTACGTTACGCTGCACTTTGAACGCTGCATTTGCATTTGCGTTTGCGTTTGCGTCTGCAGTCCCGCCACAGGTACCGCCTCCCGACTCCCGAGACAACACATCCACAACCAAAAACACTCTATTGGGATCCACATACAGCACGCCGCCCCTGCCGCTGTCACTCTATTTTCGAAATCTTTTCCCAAGCATCTGACCAGCAATCTCACGATACACTACTGGTAGGGAACATGCGCACCTGGCGACAGTGTTTGGAGCGTAAACGGCCTTGGCCGAGGCTGTCGCTCTGATACCCTCGACGACCAAATCAACCTCGATACTACAAAACCCACCACGTTCCCTCGTTGAGCGTGATGTCTCCCTCATGTGCTCAAGGCGCAAGTGGTCGATCATCCGAGACTGAGAACATGCCGCATATACACGACTCCGCCGACACCTTCTCATACACCCTCCCACCCCGTCCCAACCCGTCAGAAGACGCGGGTCTAGCAATCGACGTTCGGAATGAGGATCCCAATGCCTCACCACCCTCTGCCGACAGCCTGGATGTCTTCACTATCGGACCCATCACCGCCCTGAAACTTCTTTGTGCTGGTATCGAAGCTTTGACGCGAATTACTGGTGATGTCCCACCAACACCACCCCCGACGTTCTCGACGCCCCCGAATATGCGTGGTATGCAAGCGGAAAAAGAGAATATTATAAGGAGCAATTCCTACAAGAACCTAGCAGAGTTGCAGAAACGGCCGAGGACACCTTCAGACTCGGGCTCGGATATTGATGGGGTAGTGCTGAGGAAACGAGCCCCCATTAGCAGTCCAGAGATTGCTCCCACCGAGCCACATATAATCATTGGTGACAATGCGGAACCGCTCAACGTCCAGCATAGCGCCATCACCCGCAAATTCTACTCGAAGCATCCTCCTCCGATTTCGCTCGAGGATTACTTGATGAGAATTCACAAGTTTTGTCCAATGTCGACGGCAGTCTACCTTGCTACGAGCTACTATATCCATAAGTTAGCGGTCGATGAGAGAGCAATTCCAGTCACACGGAGGAACAGCCATCGGTTATTACTGGCAGGACTGAGAGTTGCCATGAAAGCGCTGGAAGATCTCAGTTACCCACACTCTCGATTCGCAAAGGTCGGCGGGGTCAGTGAAGGAGAACTTGCGAGGCTCGAAATCAGTTTCTGTTTTCTAACAAACTTCGAATTCAGAACGACCAAGGAGAAACTATTGGATCACGCCATTAGTCTGAAGGAGATATCGTCCTTGCAAGGATCCATGAATTTTATACCAAGGATGCCATTGAAGAACAAGCGGCGGATGAATGGTTGAGGGTATAGGTGTCGAGATATTCTTTTTATAATCAGCACTTGCTAGGTGCAGGCTCGCGCATGAAGTGTTGGCTTACGGGGAGGGCGCCTAGGCAGGCTCGTATTACCCGCTGTGGGATTTTATGATACCATGACAGTATCATATCGTTGGTGTGGACTGCGTGTGCGTGTTGGTGGTGGATCTAGATTGACACAGTTACAGAGCAGATACAGGTGCCATCGCTTGGCTATGCATTGGATCATGGCGTTGGAAAGGTTTGGTGGTAGGTTTTGATGCATTTATGTATAGCATACTGCATGATCTGCGGGTTCAATTATACTAGCGGATTGGGAACTGGCGTAGTTTAGGAACCGGAGGTTTTTAGCATTGGGTATCGTTTTTAGACACTTTAATGTGTACTCTTAATGGATTATTCTATTTACTACTTTTGGAACATTGAAAATCAGCATCTTCATCATACGCTCAGTATCGGGATCACGTGGAGTGACAATCGTAATCTCAATGAATCCGCTCCTGAAGAGACAAGCGTCCCAAGCTGGTAGGTATCTTTTCAAAGTTCAAACTTAACCTCAGTCAGTTGGCGGTGCTTTATGCCGCTTTTACCCGCAGGCATTAGATGTGGTTACCCAAGAGGCTCCCAAAAGCTCTCACACTCATAACCCCACTATGTTCATTGACCTCACGCTCGAGCTTATCAACATCCCACCTTAAACACCTTCCTCATAGGTCTGAAGCCGCACACCCAGTGACGACCTTAACCAAACGGACCTGCACAACAACCACAAAGAAGAGGAAACTGTCGACATCGAAAGAGTCCTCGTCTGCAATACTTCGCCAAAGCCAGAGCAAGATTCAGACTCGCGCAGACATGGCGGACTATGAAGCCATTCTCAAGGGTAAATATCCAGCCAAGGCGCATGCTAGAAAAGTGGTCGAGTATATGAGAAGTAAGAACAAGGATGTCAGCGGCGTTTTATATCTCGAAGGGCAAAAGACCAAAATGATTGAAGACAACGATGGAGAGGCTCCCTTCCGGTCAGTTTTCCACCTTCCACATTCAAACCGCATCTAACTACCATCCTCCAGACAGCGGCGATTCTTCTACTACCTAACCGGCTGTTCGCTTCCAGACAGCTATTTAACATACGACATCCAATCCGACAAATCAACTCTGTATATCCCTCCAATTGACGCCGACTCCGTTATCTGGTCTGGTCTGCCCATGTCAGCAGAAGAAGCACTCTCCCTGTACGACATCGACTCCGTTCTTACCACCCCCGAGATAACCTCCCTCTCCTCCTCCTCCATCTACGCGATCGCAGATCAGGTCTCTACCTCTGTCTCACCTGTAGACACAAAGCTCCTCAAAGAAGCGATTGAAGAATGCCGGGTTTTCAAGGACGAATATGAAGTTGCGCTTATTAGAAAAGCAAACACGATTTCCACCCTCGCGCACACGGAAGTGCTAAAGAGAGTGAAAAATGCGAAGAACGAGAGGGAACTAGAAGCCGTGTTTTTAGAACGTTGCATTGCGAATGGATGTCGGGAGCAGGCCTATCATAGTATTGTGGCTTCAGGTACCGCGGCGGCAACCTTACATTACGTGGATAACGCAAAACCTCTAAATGGAAAACTAAACTTACTACTTGATGCGGGAGGAGAATATAATTGTTATGCTGCTGACATTGTACGTGGTTCCCTTACCCCTGACCTACACTTCTAATCTACCAATAGACACGAACCTTTCCCATCTCTGGAACGTTTAGTAAAGAATCCCGCCAGATTTACGACATAGTCCTACAAATGCAACACGTATGCACGAATATGCTTAAAGCTGGTGCTCTATGGGACAAAATCCATCTTACTGCACATGAGCTTGCTATCGAGGGACTACTGGCATTGGGAATCTTGAAAGGAGATAAGGAGGAAATATTGAAGGCTCGGACTAGCGTCGCATTCTTCCCCCATGGACTAGGACATTATCTAGGGATGGATACGCATGATACAGGTGGTCATGCGAATTACCAGGATAAGGATTCCATGTTCCGATATCTGAGAGTGCGAGGAAATGTTCCTGCAGGGAGTGTCATTACTGTTGAGCCTGGAGTAAGTCTTTTCCTACTAGATATCCTATATAGATATCATACGTTCTGTCCTCTAAACAACGTTCTCTACCCCTGGCCCTGTCGAACTTCACTGACACACGTAGATTTATTTCTGCCGCTTTATCATCGAGCCATACCTCAAGGATCCAGCACAGTCGAAGTATATTAATACAGAAATTCTCGACAGATACTGGGAAGTGGGTGGTGTGAGAATCGAAGATAACATTCTGGTTACGGAGACAGGATATGAGAATTTGACGACAGCGGTCAAGGATGTGGATGAGATGTGCAGCATTATCAATGGTGGTTCGTAGGTAGAATATGAAGTGATGTACGTTGATATCGAGCTCGAGGCTTTTCGAGAGTCATGATTGTAGTCAAGCAAGCAACTGAATGCAGCAGACTTAAACTCCCCTATTTCATAGAACGTAGGTTTCACTTCGTGTTCTATATTTTTCCTTGCATTTTTTCCATTTCCGGATTCTGGATTCACAATTGTAAAGTATTTGGATATTAATTTGAGACCACCCGCTAATTTTATATCTTTACCAGTCAAGTCAACAGAATGTGGTATCCATACCATGTTCAACTTATGAACGCAATTTTTTCCCCCGTTCAACCGACGAAGGATTGTTAGCTGGAATTGCTTCTCTGTGCGAGTTTTGACGAACTAGTATTTGAAGCTTAAATTAGACACTCGCAGCGTGGGGCAAATAATAGTCAGTTGTGCAGAATCGAAGACGTTCTTCAGATTCCGTGACGTGTTTTGGATTGCAGGAGACTCGCTTGCGAATTTTACTGCTGCTGGGAGCGTTGTCCAGTTGCGTACGATCTTTGTGTTATCTGTATTCATAAGCTGCCCGGTTGGCTGCATGTAAAGGTGAGTTCGCAGTCGAATCGCTTCACAGTACCCTGAAGTGGCTCCCCAACGAGGATGAATCTAACTGCTGGTGCTCTTCAAATCGTCCAAAGCTTATTCGCTTCACCCCGAGCGGCTAAGACTTTGATACGAACCCACACCTCCACATGCTAAAAAAAGTCAGTATCTCAAGTGAAGTCTTAGGAAAATGCGGGTTTCGGTTATAGAGTTCTCGTTAAACCCTTCTCGAGGTGTGACCGTATATTTTCATCGACTCGAGGTAGGGTTCTCTACCTAATAGCTGCTCCCATATTTAGCCCGTATAAAGTAGCCTTATTTCGAGGGTTCTCATTCGTCGTTCTGGACCAGACCTACACACGAACACAAGTTTGGGCAATGAGAGTATTGCAAGATGAGTAAGGTTGACCTCGTATTTCCAGAAACTGGGAATCGGTGTTGGCATTTGATGAAGCTGACGATGATTTTGAAAGTAAGACTGCAACTACACAATCATTGCCCTGATAGGAGGAAGAAGTCCGCATTGGGTTAAGTATGGGAAATATGAAGAATATGTCATCTTAAATCGCTCAACCACCTAGTGTGTTGATATTGTTGCCTTTGGTGCTAGTATTGTCGGCACGAGAAAGTACTTGCACATTCCATCGACGACCTAAGATCATTAGAGCAGGTAAGACACAAATGTATACCTACACTACCTACCTAGGTACCTAAAGGTCCGCAAGTATGTCTACGAACCCCAGGTGCAAGGAAAGCGGACAACAGAAGCATGGAACGATCAAAGAATAAAAACAGGGGGTAGCACTCGCTTAATCTTTTCCAGAACGGTCGAGACCGTCGGGTAAAATACCTTCCTGCTGCCTTCTTCCACGTTTGGTCGTGCCTCGGAGCTTTCTCGAGAGGTTTGCGCTCGTACGGCGTATACCAGGGGGTCGATCAAATAATGCTCGTCTACTGTAATCTCTTCAGACCAGCACCTGGGAATGCGTATCACCAGGCATCTAAATTCGGTCAGCTGGGTCATGGTCTGTACGTACGTACTCGAGGACCTGAGAACTCTTCAACTCAGGAGTGTTGTTTGGAAAGCACTCCCTGCTGTCTGTGCAATGCCAATCGAGGTCGAGGGTAAGCTGACGATCACGTATACAGAGTCGCATCGAGAGCACAGTGGAGTCTCGATTATTGGTGCGAAAGTAACCGGTACCCTGCGCAGACAAGCTTTTTAGTCAACTCAAGGGTCCTTTTGGTGGGGCAGGGGAAGTGTCCAGTCAGCCCTGTCTTGTTCACATTTTTGCGGGTGGGTGCGTTTTGTGTGAACGAGCAGTGCCCCTTTTGTCTTCGAACTGAGGGGATTCAGGTTATGGAGAAAGCATGTTTGAAGAATTGTGTCTTGTTGGAACGAGAAACATGCGTCTGCAGCATTTCCCCGTGTTGTCTGGCCCCTCTCTGGAAAAGTGCCTTCCTTCAAGGCCGAATCGTGTCTCGACTCTCGTGATCATTTCGAAATCACTGCGTTTGTCACACCAGCGGGCGCAGCGAGATGAGCATTTTGGATGAGCCTGTGCCGCCACAGCCTCTGGGTAAAGACGGTCTGCTCAACGCACGCGATGAGTGAGCGATGCTAGACATGCTACGGAGGGACAGTCTGCTCAATACCCTCCCGCCGAACATGATCTTTCTGAATACCTAGGTACACCACGATGATGGCGCACGACCAAATTCCTTTTGGGGGGGAGGGCACATAGAGCGGCCAGCTCTCCCCATCTTCAGCAGCGTGCCAGAATGGCAGAATAATAGCGGCAGGATTCGAATGCGTTCTGGTCAGCGCCCAGCCGAAGGGATGCAGGGAATTGGCCCCATTATTACGGTGCGTTGCTTGTTTGTCCCCGGATGCACCGCCAATATCCTCGACCGACCAATCCTCCCCTAATAAAATACGTGCTGTACCGCTGGGGCTGGCAGCTGGCGGATCTCTTGCATGGGTCAGGAATCCCCTGAGCCGTAATGGACGCAAATGAAGGTCTCGTTACGAGATGGGAACGGGACCGAGAAAGGGGATTCCAACCAACATCGGCGCTGATATAAAGACAAATCCCTTTCGTCGCGCGATCTGTCAGACCGGGCAGCCTCGTCTCGACCATCTCGACCGCTCGAACTTCGACTTTTGATCTCGCCCACCGTACAAGGGAAGAGCAGGTGAATTCTTCGGCATCGCGTGCTCGAACAGTGGTTCACGGAGTCAGGCGAAACCGGACACATCCCGCTTGCTCAGGTTGGCTTCAACTTCGACGGAAAGCTTCTTGTTGGTTCCTCTTCTCCTTCTGATAGCGTCGCTCCTTCAATCGTTCGGATTCGCTCGATCAGTACGTCTCTGGTGGTTCAACCTTGAATCACCTGCTTGTGCTGCACCGCACACACCTCAAATATGGCACACTCTGCCCTCGATATCCGCCAGATGTGGCGTCCGCCTTTCCAGTTTGCCCTTCTGTTAGTCGCGGCGACCATTCCAAAACTGTGTCATTTATACAGCCATTTGACTTCTCTGCCGCCGTTGCTATTTATTCTTTACTTGCCGACCTTTTTGGCGTTAGACGCGTTGAACGCTGTTCTCTTCTGGGTCGTGGTGCACCTCACCGCACGTAGGTGGGCTGCGTGTGCTGTGACGGTGTTGAAGACGTTGTTATGGTAAGTCAAGCTTCATCAGTCCTTGTTGGGTGTTGGCGCTTACAGTATTGGCATTCTAGCTCGGTCATCCTTGGAGCCTCATCGACATGGATTGCATTTTTCTTCGAGACGGGAGGGGAAATCAAGTGGGGAGCTGCAAGAAGCATTGCTGCTGATCCAGCGGGCTTGAAAGTCCTAGCGTCAGGAGGAGCACACGCACTTGTTGCTGCTATCGTGACTGTGATGTTAGCTCGGATTATCTCGAATCCGCTATATAACGGGACGGAGAGGCTTTTTGGTTCGGCTGTGAAGACTTTATCTGGAGGAAGGTGGAGGCTGCGAACGTCGTCGAGGGAACTAGGTGGACCAAATGCGCTACTCGAAGATGGATCACAATACCAGCCGATAACGCTCTCCTACGACAGCGACCTCGAATGCAGCTCCGGCGAAGCCGAAGAACCTCTACCTTATGTCACGGAAAAAGACAGCACCCCATCCTTTATGTTACGATGGTTGGCTAGAGCAAAGTTCCTCGTTCCAATTGGAACGGTTCTTGTTCTTCTACTTGTACGGCCGAAACATTTCCCTTTCGGACATATGTCCAACTCACTTCCCTTTACGCTCTGGGAAGTACTCAGCAAGCCAACTGACGAGATGTGCTTCGGAAGCTTGTCAGGTGAGTTTCCAGCTTTTCCTTTGCCGGATTTGGTGGCAGAGATAAATTGGGAGCCTGCGAATGGAGACTTTCCTGGATGGGAACCCAAGGTCAATCGAACTTTTGACAAGCACTTGGAGCGCCCATCATGGTTACCCGAAGAACCTATGCATGGTTTTGAGCGATGGTACAATGAGTCCTTGTTCGAGGGGCCCCATGGAAGAAAGGGTCATCATGATCACGGCGGCCCTCCTCGTGGACCAGGACGACGACCACCGCCTCGGCATCGTGACGGCTATTTCTCAAAAGGTATCAACTATGACCCAATTACGGATCCGCTTCGTCTCTCCAACCTAGACCAAGGCCTCATCGATTCGATTGCGGCTACTTTGAAGGAGCATAAAGTAGCCATTAAGCATGTAGTTTTGCTATCCCTCGAATGCACCCGAAAGGATGCCTTTCCATTCAAGAAAGGTTCTCATATCCACGACGTGATTATGAAGTCCCAAAGTTCGAACTTTACCGCTGCAGAAGTCAACAATCAATTAGCAGAACTCACAAGAAACGCCGAAATCCTCACGGGTGAGACAAGTGGATTTGGAATTGGCGGCCCCGAATATTCCTCTGCGAGAGCTGGCAATTGGAGGAACTTGAACAAAGACAACGGAGGAATCAACGTTCAGGGTGCGCTAACAGGAAGCACTTCTTCCTTCAAGAGTAGCCTTGGTAGTCATTGTGGCGTTCATCCCCTGCCTGTTGATTTTACTGTGGAAGCCAGACAGCAAATCTACCAACCTTGCCTACCATCGATCCTTGCCCTTTTTAACCAGAACAAGGATGGTTACAACAAAGAGCGTCCGGGAATAGGTGGACGAAAGTTTCGTCGTGAGTCTATGGAGGATCGTCCATGGAAATCCATATCTGTCCAGTCTATAACGGATCAATATGATCACCAGGATATACTCTATGACCATATGGGGTTCGAAGAAACCATTGTCAAAGAGACTTTGCTCGCTCCGTCAGCTCCGCACATCCCAGTTGAGAAAGAGATAAATTACTTTGGATTCGCCGAAACCCAAATTAAGCCGTATTTGCGAGATATTTTCGAAGCAGCAGAATCAAAGAACGAACGTGTGTTCCTTTCTCACTTTACGAGTACTACACATCATCCATGGGCTCTTCCCGAATCTTTTGGAGCGTCTATCGACTATGTCCAGCCATCCCGATGGCATGGTGAAGGGCCCCTGAACAAATATCTGAACACGATCAGATACCAAGACGAATGGATTGGAGAGGTTATGGATCTGCTGGAAGATGTCGGTGTTGCTGATGAGACTTTGGTTGTCATGGTTGGTGATCATGGATGGACTTTCGAGGAAGAAGCTGCCTTCCATGGCACATTTGAAAATGGGCATATTGCTAACTTGCGAGTGCCACTACTATTCCACCACCCTTCATTGCCTCGCCTACAGTTGAATATTAACGCTACCTCAACCTCGATTCTCCCTACGATATTGGATCTCTTATCGAGCACGTCATCACTCAACAAGAAGGACACGGAAATCGCGAATAATCTTGTTCACCAATACGAAGGACAGTCCCTCATTCGACCCTTCGTCACCAAGAAAAGAGGTCGCCAAGCTTGGAATGTTGGGGTATTGAACGCAGGAGGAGCTGTCTTGTCGGTGTCCTCGGCCGCAGTTCCATACCGACTCGTTCTCCCAGTCTGCAAAAATGGAGTCTATCGATTCACCGACGTATCGAAAGACCCAAATGAGTTGAATCCAATCGAAGAGTTCTCCGTCGAAGCCTTGTCCAAGAAGGTCTCTAAAACCTACACGGAAGAGGGCGAAGAAGTCGGTCAATGGGTCGGCGACGCAGCGAAAGTTGGAAAGTGGTGGGTCCTCGAGCAGAGAAGACGCTGGAGGTTTGGGGGTGCGGCGTTACAAAATGATCGAAAATCCGATGAAATGGAGGGAATGGGGAAGACCGTGAAAAAGCATTGGTGGGAGACGTGAGATATTTGAATTTCTGTGAACAACATGATACCCACCCTTTCAGCATTTTGCATTTAAGGATGTTGGGTTGTATTATTTTTCCTTTTGAAAATTGGAGTACATGTTCGGCATCTCGCTTGTAGGAAGTTTGGAATAGCCAGGTGTTGGGGATTTTGCATAGATATATATTTCTTCGGAAATTTTGGAGGGCGTTTTCCAGGGTATGTAGTTTGCATAATTTCGGTCATGATCTGACGGAGGTCGAAAAGCCTAGTTGGCAACAATTATAGTATACATTAAATAGAATCTTTTGTGCCTTGTGCCGGGATTGGGGTTTTATGTATTCAATCAGTGACTTTTCAACAATCAAACTGGAAATTATGACATGCTAACGAGTTCAATGAGAGTGTTGTTTCTCTATAATGATACAGTGCAGTTAAAGACGTATGATCTAAGTAGCTTGAGGGGAGTCAGGGGTTGGATGTATCCTTGGAGGGGTTATAAACTACGCTAGTCGCGTCACGTCGCGTCAACCTCACTTCCAAAAATTACCCCACCATTTCACCTCGACTACGATCTTCCACTGGACCCAATAGCACCACAAGATCTCTATCGTCCCTATAGTTTGATATATCATTTCGCATAGTATTTCCCACGCTCGCGAAAAACTATAATGACCGCACTCCATACCTCACAATCCCAAGCACCAGACGACATGGGCCTAGAACTCACACTGATAGTCGCTGCGACTACGAAGATGGGTATTGGCTTCAAGGGAGGGTTGCCGTGGAAGGGACTAAAGAAGGAAATGGCTTATTTTAGGAGAGTTACTCTCGGAGGTGGAGAGGTGAGTTTGTTTCTTGATTGACGGGCAGCTGCGACGAAGGGAAGGGAGGAAAGGAAGTGGTGTATGTGACGGTGGGATATTTACGAGGACTTACATGCTAATGGCATTGTGCAAAAGAGTCAGAACACAGTAATCATGGGTCGCAAAACCTGGGACTCGATACCACCTAAGTTTCGTCCTCTAAAGGGAAGAAGGAATGTGGTGATTTCTCGCTCTTTATCGCCTTCCTCCACACCGGCGTCGACTACTCCAGAAACCGCAGACGGCCCAATAATCCTCCAATCTCTTCCAGACGCGATAGAGTTTCTCCGAAATACCCAGAAAAACGAAAAAGTATCTGGGAAGGTGTTCATCATAGGCGGTGCACAAATATATAAATCTGCGCTGGAGATGAAGGAGGCGAAAAGGGTGCTGTTGACGAGAGTGCAGGGGGACTTTGAGTGTGATACATATTTTCCCGAGATGGGTGAAGGGTGGAGTAAGAAGTCTGGGGAGGAGTTGAGAGGGTGGACGGGAGAAGGGGAGGAAGTGGAGGAGGAGATTGAGGAGGGTGGTGTTAGGTATAGGTTCGAGATGTGGGAAAGATAGCCGGAAGGAGACTGAAACGTAAGGAAAGGTGGGTGGAATAGTGGCTGGTCATAGGTGTCAGCAGCCAGAACTCGAATATCTAGAGTCGCAAAACAGTCGGACTATCTGCTGTAAGTTCAGCACATCTATGCCAAACCACCAACGTGCTAAGATGCAATCTCTTGCCCTGGGATAAGCACATTAAAGCATTTGTAACATACTCTGAAATAAGCCACTGTCCTATTTGGATGTATCGATATATTGGGAATGATCCTATTTTACCTACATGCGCATTCATCCAAAATTCGTCCAGATCATCAACTAGTTACCAAAGCGTCCGACAAGTTTTCGCACTACATGCAAAAACTTTCAGTGTTCGACCTCATCCAGCTTTTAGGTAGTTCGAGACTGTACGAGATTTGGAAATAATCAAATAGGTTCGCGACATCGTTATTCGATAGGTTGGTGATTTGCACAAGCCCATTCGCACAAGCGTACTTGCCCCCTAAACCCTCGCTTAATTTTCGTATTGAAATTTATTGCGACACTTGCCTTCAACTAAGCTAGGAATGTACTTTGAAGGATTTTAAAGGCTTCACAATAGATCTTAAGATTTTCATAAAGTTTCAAATTATTTGGTACTAGCTTGCAGACTATGATGCTTAATGTGGGTAAGGGAGATTGCTTCGTACCGGTTTCGTATATGATCAAGCTTTCGCAGAAATAGCACTTTTCCAAGATTCACTTTTACGTCGAGCGAGCTTGCTTTAATCATTCGAGAAACAATATTATTCTCATGCTGTTATGATACACATTAGCGAAGTTTTTACTCTCAAAAAGCAAACAAACAACACTTATTTATCGTCGGTGCATAATGACTGGGTCTACAACTCCGACTGTGTATTGAAAGCATATCATCATAATGAATTGATTGCATAGTTATAGAGACCATTATGCTCATGGGTGCCGGGTTGCTCAAGGGAGTCAGGTTTCGTTCTTTGTTTTTCGAATATCATTGTCAACACAGCTACTATAATGACTAGCGAATCATGTGAGAAGCTTTCAGTTACTCATTCTTAGATAGAATGTAAATTCAGGGTTTGTTCTGTTCACTTTAAGCGAATATTGGTACATGTGTGTCATCTCTCGCCTTTTCTCTTTGGTGAGTGGTCTGCAGAGTTGATGACTATCATAGCCATTTCCACCTGGTAACAATTTCAACGACATATGGCTTTTCCCACATCTTTATGAGTATTGTTTTACGCTTATCTGATCACAACTTCCGTTGGACGACGTACTCCAAGCAATATTCAAATCATCACAGTCATTTCCCCCAACAACAAAGCTATTTCCAACAAGGTCCAGTAAGAAATGTGTTTGCAGAACCAACCGTCTAAAGACACATCATCTCCCATTGTAAAATTTCTCCTGCAAACAAGTTGCTGTTATCATCTGGTCAAGTTTGCTTGGGAGTTAGAAGTCTTCGTGAATGTGTCTTCAAGAGTGAATAATCCGTTGAGTATGCGGTTTGTGAATCACTGGGGATGAGAAGAAAAGGGTATAAAAAGAGCAGAGGTTGGAACTTATCTGCTTCTTCTTCATCTGAGAAGCACTATATTCTGAAACATAGCAAGACGATACCAAGGACCATACAACAAAACAATGCTGCATTCAAATCGAACTTCTATAAACAAATTATTTTATCTAAGATGTGGGGTAAAAACCAAAAGAATCAGAAAGGGCCTCGCCCGGTAAGAACAAGAACATGGCGTATAGAGAAATGATTTAGTCTAACCTCCTGTAGCCTGACAATTTTGATAATCCCGACCATCCAGGAAGCTCAAAGACCCAGGGTGGTGAAATTCGAGTACCTAAACTCTTTAGAACTCCTTCGGATCGCAAGCGCCTTATTGACAGGAAAAGGGCAATGAGCTGCCACCAATTGGCTTCGGAACGTATTTCAATACTGAAGAAACTATCTGAGGCACAACATGAGGTGCAAAAGCGTCAAGATGAGTTAGATGTCCTGACAGCTGCAATGAACGGGAAAAATTGCTAGCTCTTGATTTTCATACATTACGTACCTTATGCATGGCCGTATTGCTTCATTGTTCTTCCATGATGAAGGATCTCGCAATGCATGTTTAGGTTTTGTAAGTTCGAGCATTTAGAAATAAGGAGATACTAGCAAGTGGAGAATTAGAAGCGCTGCATTTTAGCGCCATTACGTTGCCGAAGTGAACAAATACCAATCGATGTTCGCAGCGGATTGTTTCTGCCAGCTCAGATAATCCCTATTGGTTTCAGGCAACATGGCAGGGTGCAACAATACAAATTTCAACGTTGTGCCGGCTTTCGTGTAGCTGCATTGCAGCGTGGTTACAAAACTTGTGAACCGACCAAGCATTATCATCTTAAACGGCAATCGACAGGTAGACTCGACAAACATTTGACGAAGCCTTGTTTTGACCGCTACTTACAAATAATCAACTCACCCGCACCGACGAGTGCCATCAATTCAATTGTTCTGCACTTCTCATGAAACTTTGGTATTACGCCTGATAAAATTCAAAATGAATAAACTTTGCTCGGACGATGCCATAGAAAAAGGAGAAGCTATCACTGCAACCCAGGAAGAAGCAAGACAAGGCAGCCGATTAGGATCTGACTCTTCCGCCGATTCCAATTTAGGTGAGATACCAGCCGGGGGTTTTGACCTAGTAGAAGCTAGTACTTTTGAAACCACTGAGTCTACTATAATAACAATGTCGAAACTAAAATATGACGACAGCAAACGCGCCACAAATAAAGACAATCCTAAAACTATTCAGCCGAGTTTTCAAATTGACTTACCGTGATGATGATCCAAACGGGGTTATAGTTACTGAAACGAAGAAGTGTAAGTCCACCCGACGCAATGTGCTCAAACAGCGATTGCTGACGAGATATATAGTGGAAGAAGGACCGACGGGGTATCCGCGCCTGGCGAAATACCTCGACAGTGCCGAGTCTTTCATGAATTATCGAAAGTTCGGTTACCTTCAAGCTCGACTACTTCTCACAAGACAGGAGGAGTTGCGGCGACTTGAAAGTCGGCTCGATGACAGAGACATTGAGGATGAGAAAGTGTGCGAGGGTTATCTTCACACATGTGATACAGATCTCTACCAGGAAGAAAAAAATGAAGCTCATAGACGAGATCCAGCGTAAATTCCAAGCTTACGGTATGGTACGACTCTACACTGGTTCAACGAAAAGCTCAGAAGAATTCCTAGCTAGCTTGATGCTTACCGCAAAGGAAATGGCGCTGTTGAGCCCCCCAACAGCTCGAGCTTGGCACAGTATGGAAACCTACATGGTACAAACGCGACCAGTAAAAGAGCCCGAGGAGTTCATAAGGTATCGGGAAGATCTTGTGAGCCTGAAACCAGGTAGGGAACACTCGTTCCTCGATACAGTGGTAGAGAAACTCCTGTTTAAGGCTCGAGGATGGAAGATGGTTCATGTACGATGTCCTTTCAACCAAGTTATCAACATTTCTGACAACCAAAATAGAAATTGTTTACGACACCGGTCATTAAACCCATAAAAATACATGAGGCACCGCTGACGGACTTAGATTTTACGTGAAAAGGTAGACATGGACAAGGAGGATGGCTCTGGAACTGTCCTTTTCAGCAGAGAACGAATTACAATGGTAGTCTCGCTACTGCTCACAATCACCATCCTCGTTCTTCTAGTGGTTCCCATATACGTGCTTTCGCGCTTGACAGAAGCCTCAAAGGGAAACGAGACAAGCATGACGGTCATAATATTCATCTTGCTTATCTTCACCTTGCTGTTCTCAGGAGCACTATGGCTCTTCACAAGAGCCAAAAGGCACGAGATCCTGAGTGCCGCCGCAGCGTAAGTCTGAGCTAGACATCTCAAGATGCATTGAACTGACAAGATATTAAGATACTGCGCCGTCCTTGTGGTTTTTGTTGGCAATGTGGGACAGATTGCTAAATCTGATGGAAGCTGATTCGAAATGAGACCTACCAAATATGCCGAGAAGTGGTGTTGAATGATTTTTTGATGAAGATAATGAGTTATGAACTTGGAGTGACAGTATTATTATACCAGATGCCGAAATGAAACTGAGATGGTTTTCTAAAATGGCTGCATCAATCCGAGTCCCCTGTGAAATTTACTGATACCACCAAAGCTTTGTGACTGAAGGTCTCTAACACGTTCTGTAGTTGTATTTCAAAGAGCTAGGCCCGGGGTGGTTCCATCTTTCCAAATTCCCAGCGAAAAGCAAGACAGAGAGTAATCAGGTCAAATTCTTGCAAGACTAGCAGCAACGGAAAGTTCTCAACTGGTCGCTCGGATACTGTTGCCTGTCGTTACACCCTGACATGCTCAAATTATGTTTGTTCCTCGACAGTTTCCATAATCTCTTCCCTTCCCTTGGAAATATCATTCACACATCGTAATCAATTACGAACGCCAACAAGGGTATGTTATGTCAAAAGTGAGGAATTTAGGGAATGAAAATGTTGATGTCCGTCGGAAGGATATCAACACTTGATATAGGCGAAGAACTCCAGAAAAAGACATAAGAAAGATCTGGGTAGACGAGAAAACTATCCGGATCAAGCTTCCCCTGTTGAAGCAGTGAGTATTAGTCAGGAAAAAAAGGTGTCGAGCAGATTTGTGTTATGCGTGATCAATCGCTTCATAGGTCAAGGGTATTTCAAGATTCTAATCATTATTATACATTCGTAAGACGCTTTTGTTTTGCTGACATGTCTAGTCTTCATCCCAGTTCTGTATCAGACGTTAGTGATGTTGTTTGCTGTCACACTTTGATTGCATTCAGGCACTTACAGCATTTGGCCCTGGAGGCTTCGGCCCACCGGCCGCTCGAGCAACGATAATCTGATCTACGGACAGCACAGTCCTTGCAGCCTCATTGGCGAGCTTGATTGCCCAACTCTTTGCAATCATAAGATCTAAAATGCCCTCATCTTTCGCATCGAGTGTTCCTGTGTTGTCCTCGTTCTATTGGCGTCAGCAAAAAGAAACATGAAAATAAAGTGTCATCATACCTCAATGTCAACTCCAATCGTCCAGTCATCTTTTTTGTGATGAGCGGTGTAAAGTCTACTGAGGACCTCGGTAGCATCCAGACCAGCGCTCTCTGCCAGTGTGCGGGGAATCACTTCGAAAGCTTCTCCGAATTTGCGGATAGAGTACTGTGCAATACCAGGAGTCCTATCCCCAAAGGCGCCTATCCGCTCCACTAGTTGTAATTCTGTAGCGCCAGCACCAGGGACCAGTCTTGGATCTCTTGTGATGGCTTTCACAACGTTGACGCCGTCATCAACAGCCCTTTCAATATCATCAAGATGATTCTGCGTTGCACCTCTGATGACTAGAGTCGCGGTTTTTGTGACCTCGTTTTCTTGTCTGAAGACAGTGACTCTGTCTCCACCAATCTCGAGTGTCTCAACAACATCAATAGTTCCCATCTCATCGGGCATCGGTGCTCCTAACCTCGCCAAAGGCGTTGCGCCAACGACACGACATAATCGCATCCTATCGTACTTGCTGAGGATTCTGATGACAAGAATTCCAAAACGGTTCAAGTAATGCATTGCAAGTTCTCCCACCGTTGATCCAGCAACTACTACTCGTAAACCCGAATCGAATAGCTCTTTGATGGCAGTTTCGAGCTGGCTCTCTTCACCCTTGGTAAAATCGAGCATTTCCTTCGCATTATGCAACAAAACCGTTCCCTTCGTCTCAGTTTGACTCGTGTCGATTGGGCATGTAAAGACGCCAACCTTCGCACGTACCACCTTCTTGACTGATCCATCAGGTTCCCGCCCAAAGACCATACCCTTGACTACTTTACTCTGATCCAAACTACCACCCATGATTTTAACCACACGAATGTTATCGACATTGAAATTGATTGGGTTCTTTGGAAGAACAGCAAGAACAGCCTCCGCGACCATATCCGCCAGAAAGTCCTCATGTCCGTTCTGCTTGCTGGCGATGACTGTCCGGATAGCTTTGCTCAGCTCGGACTGGGATCTGATATCCTCCACTTTGTCTACTACCAAGTTCTCAAGTTCCTCAAGAGCAAACTTCTGTGCCATTTCGTAACCTCGAATGACATCGCTGGTCTTCAGCCCCATTCGTAATAACTCTTCGGCTTTCTTAAGTAATTCTCCAGCTAAAACAATCACGAGATTTGTGGCGTCTCCCATCTCCGCTTCTTGCTGTTGACTTGCCATCACAACTAATTTGGCAGCTGGATGGACAACATCAAGTTCTTTCAGAATAGTGGCGGCATCAGATGTCAGAATCATTTTCTGCAAATGATTTATGACAATTTTGTTTCGTCCATATGGACCCAGCGATGTCTGGACTGTGGATGTGATCGTTCGACAAGCATCGATATTACGGAGGACGGCGCCATCTTCGGAATCATAGCTACGAAATCAATTAATAGCTTCTCGGTTTGGGAGAAATGTAGACTCACTTCTGATATCCTTTCTTAAAGAGATTAGAATTTGGCGCAGAGGGAATATCAAGAGACATGTTGGTCGGCTAGGTGGGATATTTGGACTGGGAAAGTCGAGCTGTGTAGTCTTCGAAATAGCTGATCTGGAGCCGCGACGTGCCTGGCGGTTCAAAAATTCAAAGCTCACGCGAATTTAAGGTTATTAGTCAGGAGCGGAACGCTGCGAGGAGTGCGCAGGTGGAGACAAGAGGGCGACGACGGAATATTGTTGATGCGAAGACAAGGCTACGCGGTTGTCACACCTCGAGCTTCGACAATCACCGTCACAGTTCAATTATCTTCAAGCGTCAGATTTCTACAGACGATCGACTAGATCCAACCAGATCTCAAGAATCTCTTGCACCACCATGGCGCCTCCGTCTGGTAAGTCGAATTATTTCTTTCCCATCAGCTACCCATATTCGAAACCGAACCCGACGCCGCCAACCTCTCGACCTACAGCAATAGAGCTCCCATAGAACATGATTATCTACATTCGATATTTCAACCCAATGTCCCTACAAACCTGCGGCATGGAGAAATATGCAACCAATTTATATTTGCGATCTGTAGAGTCGAGACACCCACGGTTTTTTCTGGTGCCTTCCGGAACCCTGGACTGACCAAGGTTATATTACATCTCGTCGCACCGCACAACCGGCTGGTTTTTGGGCAAACATGATCTAATTGAAGCAAGAAAGCCACGCGGAAAGGCTACCGCTAGCCTCAATCGTTCAATTAATCCCCTTCGACCATCTAGTTCACCGTGCTCCCTCCGATGTCCTTCCGACTCGATCTTTTGACCTCTCATACGTCGAATATAACTGTTGGGCTGTCACTCATTCTGACATATCTAGGCGTTATACCCCCACCTCTTGCACCCTCGGTCGAAGAAGCGTATAGGCGCAAGTGCATTCAGCTTAAGCAACGAATAAATGAGGTAGACCACGATAATGAAAACTCGCGAACTCGTGTCGTACGTCTAGAGCGAGCCGTCCAAAAGATACGATTGGAAAGAGCATACCTTCTGGAGCAGCTCGCGAAGCGCACGAGCACAAATGTGGAAGATTCAGAGGGCAGTCCCAGTCCACCTCCAACTGTAAGCGGACAGTGATACTCAAAATATGGATATGTCTAAAAGCTTATACAGCCAAAAGAGAAGCCTCTCCGAACAAAACGCGGCCACCGTAAACCGTCATTCCTGACGAATCTTGGTGATGTCGCTGGGGGAAGCGCCTTTATCCAAGGACCAACAACAGTGTCCCCATCCTCCGACGCATTCTCACATACACACCAAGACTCGAACACAGTTCGCAACTCAACACCTCAAGCAATAGCCCAAAAACGGATGCTCCCTACCAACGGTGCCGTTGGTCCGTCCCTCGGCACTCCAGTTCCAACTCCTCGTAAACCCAAGAACCCCTTCGAACTTTATTGCAGTGACCACCGGTCAAGACTCATGGAATTAAACAGCAAAGGCATCTCACAAGGTACATACGATGTTGATGTTGAGCTCGGGCGTGGATGGCGGGATCTCAATGACGAGCAAAAAAGTGATTATCAAGCTCGTTTCGACAAGGTCAAGAAGGGTGTTAGCGACAAGGCTCCAGCTGCAGCACTACCGCGCCCGACGGCAGTGGATGCAGAATCACAACCTGCTAGCACTACGGCAACCGCAGATGATGCTGATGAGGATGTCGACATGGCGGAAGATGGCGATGAGAACCCCGCCGTGGTACCAGCCGCTAGTGGATTCACTGCTGTTAACAGTGGTTGAAATGCCTCACTATCTGGCCATGGCTGTGACAAAGAGTATTGAATTTTCATAGGCAAGAATTGGTGGTAAATGCGGCGTTATACGGCGAGTTTGGTGTTTTTCGTGGCATGGTACTAAGATGGCGCGCGGTTCTACTTCAGGAGCCTCTGAACTGGTTGGGGCTTGATAGATATTAAACTTAAAGCCTAGCTTTATTAGACGATCAGATAATTGATAATGTCATACAAACATCATTTGATGTAGTGGACTGAAATGATCTCTGCTCTCCTGAATTCAACTTCTATCACTGACAAACCCCGGGTGAGGTTCCTAGCTGAATCTGAACTCCACAAAGAACTGAAGGTTACGATCAAGAAAGTCACAACCATATTTGAATCGAACAACAAATACAATCACATAAAAACACTTCCAATATCTGCTTTTATCTATCTCCTGTCGAATTCATCGCTTGCTTGTAAGACTGTTTGCTGGGTGCTTAAGACACTTAGGTACGAAGGCACGGGCCAGCCGAGCCAGCATTTCGTCATTCGGTTCTCAAGATTGGCAAAATATCTTGAAGCAATCCACATTGTATGGTCACACAACAGCCCTCTCTTCTGTCCTTCTCCATTCATTAGCTCTTCTCCCATGGAGCCCGTCCATTTGGATTCATAAAGTTGTATTCTATCAACCATCTGCCATTGCGCGATGGCTTTTACCGACGACACCACCAGCAGTGAGAGAACTCCTCTAGTCCAACCCAGAACTCTTAATTCCTCGGAGACCCAGCGCAAATCTAGTAAGAATGTTACTTTCAATTCGACACCATCAGTTATGGCAGCTTCGACCTCGACCAATGCAATCCAGCCAACCGCATCTACTTCTACCGGCAGCATTGTTCCTACCCAGCCACAGATGCTATCAAATCTTAACAGCAAGTTACGAAGACGAAATAGCCACGGCTCGCCGCTCATTACATTACCAACTGCACCAGTCCCCAAGATTGGACCGCAGCGAACAACGAAGAACACGCAAAAGCTTAAGCTCCTGCCAAACCCTGACTTTGGGGAAGATGGACCTGATGAAGAGAGTGGTCGCGATGTGTACTCTCAGTACACTCGGATCAAAGACCCAACTGCTAGGAGAGATGCGGCCAGATTGGGAAAGGCAGATCGAGATCGGTTACCTCGAGTGACAGCGTATTGTACGGCGAACAAATACCAAATGGACGCGTTACTACGGTTCCTCAATGGGAGAGGAAAGGCCAAGCATGCGAAACCGAAGCAGATTGATGAATGCATATACACCCCTTACAATTATGGGAAGCCAACTTCTAGTCGTGCTGCAGAAGTGCAATCTATGCCGGCCCAATTACGAGAGAGGAGGCACTCGGATAGCGCAATTGAAGTCGTGGACAACAACAATCAGCGGCGAGAAGATCTAATTGATCTTCACACTGAGGGAGGTGATACTAGTCTGGACAATGGTGAGCACGAGGTACCTAACCGGATACATTCAGACCTCGTTGCAGCACGTATCGAGGAGGAAGTGCTTCCGGAAAACAATCTCGATTTCGACATACAAGTCCATACTCCGGAAGTGTTTCTTTTCGAATACGGGGTGGTGGTCATTTGGGGCATGTCTTTAAAAGATGAGCAGCGTTTCTTAAAAGAAATCGCGAAATTCGAGAGTGAAAAACTTGCGCCGGATGATATGGAGACTGAATGCTTCAATTTTTACTATACCCGAGAATACCAGGCCCGTATCTACAATGATTTCATTACCCTGAGGGACAAGAAGAATTACATGACCAAGCTTGCCATATCACACGCTTTGGCGCAGAGTGTCAAGGTATGTCGCAGTTCTGTCCCGTCCAAAGCATTGACGGTATGAAGCCACTACTGTTAAATTTCTGACTATTTTGGTAGACTTCACTTTTCGAAGCGCTCGTGGATGAAACGATCACTACCTGCAAAGATATTCCTACGCAAATCGCTCTGACAGGTGCGATATCACTATCACGAACACAAATTAATATGCAGATCGGCGAGCTGTTTATTCTCAGGATCAACATCCATCTCAACGGTTCCATTCTTGACACCCCAGAAGTCTTCTGGACCGAACCTCAGCTGGAGCCTGTTTACCAGGCAGTACGAAGTTATCTGGAAATGGATCAACGAGTCAGCCTTCTGACAGAGAGATTGGATGTCATAGCAGACTTGTTGGCAGTCCTGAAAGATCAGTTGAGTCATGGACACGGAGAAAAACTCGAGTGGATAGGTAAGTGACATCTTATTGCATCTGTACCAGACCTCAGGTCACGAGCAATGCTAATCGTGTCCGACATAGTTATTGTTCTTATCGCTGCCGAAATCCTGGTAGCGGCTGTGAACATAGTAGTTGATCTGTACGCCGGTGTAGATTGAAGTGTATATTATTCCATCAAATATTCATCGGCGTGTATATATCCAGCGTGGCGTTTTGGGTTTCTAGCGGCATTTGGAAAGCTTGTGTATTCTATTGCTTTGTATATAGACCTGGGGCAATGCACTCGCGAAAGTGGAGCACCGTGTGAGCACTAGAAGTTCCTCAACTATCAATACACTGATATTGCGCTAGTGAGCTGTAGTGGGTTTTGTGGTGGGTTTTGTAGATACTTTCCGGTGGAAGTTTCGTAAGAATGGATTGGCTCGAAAATTTGCCCTTGGTGCCTGCTTCGGAACTACAGGAAACTGCACATTTAGGATGTTTCAGTAAGTCGATATAGAATCTTCGTCCTCATGTAACAGCTTGTTCTGTTCATATTGCCCTATAAAGTGATACTAACACAAAGCTAACATACTTAGTATGGTATCAAAGTCTAAAACAGGCCCAATGCAAACATTATAGTACGCAAGTTGCTTTCTGGGCTATGGAACCTCAAATGTGATGGACAGCTGAAAGATGTCGACAAGCTTCACAATTTGTATTCCAGTATTCATCGAGCAAGCATCTATCACTTTAACGAGGCCAGAAACTTGAAGTTCTGTACACTCGCGGTCTCCTATTTAAAACATCAAGGACTTCTGTCGATTCCTACCCATTTGAACACGAGTTGTACTAGATTCTAGTTTTGGATACAGTGATATCAGCACGCTACAACGCAACTCCAGTTCCCACTGATCCAATATTGGAATCAAGGCTCGGCCTCCTATTATGTTCCTAATCTTCGCCGGTCAATTTCATTCAAGCTCCAAGCCAACTTGACAATTTTCGAGCGATGGAAACCCCGGTCGACAAGGCTCGCAAAGTTCTTCACCTAAATTACACAAAGACGCAAGGACCAGAAAGCCTCCCATGTTGGGAGATTGTTTATTGACAATCATTGCTCTGAAGTTGACTTGCCAGCTTAGGAAATTCTACAGATGTTCAGCCGCTCGCCAAAAGTATGGCTCCTGTCTGGTATGCCTTCAACATAGCAAAAGTGGCTCGGCTTCTTCTGCTATATAATAGAGCTCTTCAGTTTATAAAGACATTGGTATCGGAGCACATGACAAAATAGATCAATATGACCGCGCATAGGTCAAAGATCGTCGAAATTTTCACAGGTACCACCCAAGTCACTTCCACCACCTGGTGCCAACACCTCTTCAAGTTCAGCCTCAACTATCCAGGCAAAGAATGAGAACAAGAAAAAGTTGACGCAAAATGTTGCAGATGAGGATGATACCTAGGATACGTGCGTGCCTGACGCTAACGGGGGACATTTCAGAAGGACACGAACCAAAAATGAAGCCGAGAAATATAACTGGGGGAGTCACGCCAACAATCAGAGAAGTTACAGCAGAATGGGTCTCAATGAGAAAGACACCGCGGCTCAAGAAGATGTTCTAAGTCAGGAGAAGAATAACCAGGCTGAAGCGCTTAGACTCTCGCGGCAAGGCGAGTTGACCGGAATTCAAGTGTTGAAGACGAGGACAGCACACGAGAGGATTGAGAAGGAATTTGAATAATTAAGGGGATTACAGGCGATCGAGCAAAAGAAAGAGCAGCAAATACAGCAAAAATAGATAGATATGGAAGTTTCTCGGGAAGAGTTTCATTTCTGATTACAAGCTAAGTGTTGGCCAATCCCAGTTTCATGATTTTGACCTAATCCGTTCTGAATTTTACAGGCGCCCACACTGCAATATAACATCGCATGATGGTGGTTCTCCCAATCGCCATAATACATCCAAAGTTTGAAACAAAACGCTGCGAGGTTCAAAACGTTCATCTCGCCATTCATAATCTTGTGAAATAAATTGGTTTTGTCGTCAGCCCTGTTTCGGAATAATTGCAAGGTGGACACGTTCTTCGAAAGGAACCCACAAATTGTGGGTCGATGTACTTTATGTTCGAAACACTTTCCTTTATTTGGTTGGCTCTCAACAATTTTCGGACATGTAATGGGACGTTTGTTCCCTTGATCGCTTTCAGACCGTGAATGAAGCATTTACTGAGGATTTCCCGCATGGTTTGGGAAGGAGCTGCCCTTGAACCATGGGTTGTCCCCTCTTTTAACTACTATCAGACGGAGATTTTAAGAGGAATTGTGGTCGAGAGTTTGTCGACGAACTAACAAAGATGCTTGTTCATTTGCCAGAACGGACATGTGGTGGATTCTTCTTCATCTGAGGCTTGAAACAAGCTTTTATTGCTGGAGTTAATCTACTTGGGAGAGTGTCTCAATCTTAGGTATGTGTATATAGTAAGTGCATTTCTCCCGTTTGATTTTCTTTGCTCATCACGGTTATCACCACCTTCATTCTCTTCCCCACATTCATTACTGATCATTACGATCCATACATTCTTTTACCATCACTTGAATACACATCTTCATAGATTGAAGCAGGCATCTATTCAGGAATTTCATCCCATTAACCACAACCCAAGAAAAGATCTTCCCGCTGCGCGATCGTTTACTATACTAAGTTCATCATGCCATTTTCGAAGATTGCCACTCTTGCAACTGCAGTTGCATTTGCATCAAAGGTTGCCTGCCATGGCACCGTCACCGGCATTGTTGCGGATGGCGTCTAGTACGTCTAGTTTACTCTCAAAACAAGTCTTAGACTAACTTTATATCAGCTACCAGGGTTACAGTGCCAACTTCCAATATATGGCGGCAGAGCCCGTAGTTGTAGGATGGAGCACCCCACAAAACCAAGGCAATGGTCCAATTACTCCAGACGCATACGCTACCTCAGATATTATCTGCCATCTGGGTGCAACTAACGCCCAGACTTCGGCCAAAGTTGCTGCTGGAGGAACTGTTGAATTGCAATGGACAGCATGGCCTGAGTCTCACCACGGCCCAGTCATCGGTAGGTGGCATCGATACTCTGCTGATTATGGGAAACTAAATGGCAATAGACTACCTCGCACCTTGCTCCGATGGGGATTGCAAGACCGTTGATAAAACAACTTTGGAGTTCTTCAAGATCGATGGAGTTGGTCTCATCGACGACACAACCGTTCCAGGGACCTGGGCTGACGATCAGCTTATTGCCAACAACAATACATGGGCAGTCACTATTCCTTCTGATATCGCTCCTGGCCATTACGTTCTCCGCCACGAAATCATCGCTCTGCACTCCGCCGGAGAGACCAACGGTGCTCAAAACTACCCACAATGTTTTAACCTCGAGGTGACAGGCTCAGGAACTGCCACACCCTCTGGAACTCTTGGAACCGCCCTGTATACGGCGGATGAGGCTGGCATTTTGGTGAACATCTACCAGACAATTGCTAGCTATCTTGTGCCTGGTCCTGCATTATACAGTGGAGCTGCCAATAGCTCTGAATCTGCTGTCCCAGCTGCAACAACCGTAGCTGGCGAAGTTCCATCTAGCAGCGCTGCTCCAACATCTGTAGTAGCCACCAGCACTTTACCAGTATCAGCTGGCATCATTGCCCCAGCTGGTTCATACCCAACTGGAGCACCCTACAGTAACAGCACCGCAACAAGAACCAAGAAGACCAAGTCTGCTTGCAAAGCAAAGACAAAGGCCAGTACAGCTGTTTCCGTTCCAACATTCGCCAGCAGCGTCACCATCCCAACTGCCTCTTCCACACCAACAGCTGGATCAGACGAGTCAAGCTCTACAATTGCAAAATCTGCTACGACCTCCTCTGCCACTTCAAGCAAGATTCCATCCGGTACAACTCTTGACACAGTCCTCGCTTGGATCGCTTCCTTCTACACCGAGCACAAAGATACAGCGTATTCTGGTGCATCTGTGGCTCGCCGTCAACATGCTCGTGCTATTATTCCTCGACGAGTCCCACAATAGTTTAAAGTCCCTGGCTTTGGTCCCGCTTGCTTTGACTTCGGTACTGGCGGCACTTCGCGTTCGTATTGTCCCGTCAAAGGGCAATGCAAGAAGCTGTCCTGATGATCGTCGGCGTTAACGGCTGCTTTTCCGTTAGGAGTTCTGAAGAAGACATCTCGCTTTGTGTTTCAAGGCTTCCTAGCATAGTTGGAAGCCCACATGGCACTGGAGTGCATACTCTGCGGACCTTGCAGTCCTCTTTTCTTAGTTCCTCGCTCGGGCTTTAGCGGAGGGTTCACACTCAGCGATCTTTGATCTTCTCCTAGTCCGATCGTATGCTCCTTTGACCGAGGTACAATATCGGCAATTTCGTTTCTTGTATATTGTTCTTCTACTTTTTAACATATTCCAGCACTGTAGTGTTGATTTTAGATTCGGGACTCTGTACATATTGAAAATTTATCCCTTGAGATTTTCTTCATTGCAGTAAAGTCCATCTAAGCACGGTCTTTCTACAACTATCGGCGATTTATTCTCTTGCATATTCTATATCCTTGTTGCATGTCTAGTAGTGTGTGCCATGTCGTGTACGATGATACGAGCTGTTCAAACCCTCACAGTGGACAAGACAGGTAGATATTGAAGCACGACATTTGCTCAGGACCGTTGACCAAATGTACAATATTTTGTCAGTTCTTTTAGTAAAAACGACACCCTACACTTTGCTTAGAATATCATCGTAATTAGTTGTGCTTAACTGCTTCAAATTTTCCTAACGCTAACAGGTTAGTGAGCAGGTTGTGCTATTTATTTTGCCCCCACCGGCCCGCTAGATGACATGCATGCACAGCAGAACTTTATACTATACTCTTCGCCCCTTGTGAAAAGTACAATGGAAACCGGTTTCTCACCGGTGTGTCAATCAGAAATACAGGAAGCATCCACTGGATTTTCGTTGGTTTGCCACTCTACTTTCCTACCCAAAAACAACAATGCTTCAACCGACAGAACTTACACCTGATTACTCAGAGTTCCTCAACGTCTACCGCATAAGCTTTTAAAGCAGTGGGGGCAGTAAGTAATACCCCAATGCGCATGTCATGCTTTTTAGGCTTCGCTTGCAGCAAGGACTAGCTGGGCGAGGTGGAGTCAATAATTAGTTTACCAGATTATCCGATTCCGTTCAATGTTTTGCGGTAGGTGCCTCGTTTGACACGTTTTGGCAGGTATGCATCACACGGCAGCCATGGTTTGCTGCCCAAGTGTAGAGTTCCCCAATTATGGCCCAATTATTATCGCTGCTAAAGTCGGCGGAGGCCGATTTCAAAAGCGGAAAGGACAGCGACAATGTACGAAGTAAGTTCTATAACATTCTCGCTAGTTTCTACTCGTCAAACATGGCCAATATGTTGCCAACAGTAGCTAGGATTGTTGTTGAATTTGAGTTTGTTCTTATTTTAACCCACACTGAATTCGTTCGCTGTGCGTTTCCCTTTTCCGACATCGAAAGTTGCTCCAAAGCACGTGCTAATGCAGCGTAACTCCAGGGCCATGGATGGAGAAAGCAACTTCTTGTTCGTAGAACCTAATAATCAGGTGCTCGGCATGATTCTTCCAAATCAAAGTCTACGATGGCTTCAGTAGCAGCCTTCTTACCGGTCTTTACTTTCCACGGCCAAATAGTTGTCAAACAATAGTTCCTCAGCAATGACAATTCAGCTGGTGTTCGAGGCCCGAGCAGTCATCTGGAGCATCACCTGGCCCATGCTGTATGTATACAGCCAAACGATCGTGGAGAAGAACCAAGTATTCAAAAGTTCGGAAATCCCTCAGCTTGGACGTGAAGTAAGCGAGACTAGTCAGCGACCTTTTCCTCTTTCACATGTCCGTCTCGGTAATCTAGCAACGGACTCTGACAAGACTCTCACTATCGAATTTACTACTTGAGTATTCTCCTAAACTCCGCCACACCCGCTTTGTCGGGTAAAATTGACCACTGCTGTTCATCTCGTGCCTGTCCGTGGACATCGCTTTGGGTCAGCGACTCGTGAGCCGCATGTTCGAGCAGTCAACCACGCGAATCCTCCAGTGGGGTAGCCTTCGAAGTCACGACTCTGTCAGCTTCTGGACACGATCTTGAGCCTTCTTTCCTCCTCAGAAGAACAAGCGTTGGCGAGATACTACCGCGCCTAATGAGTCCAGCCGAGTGGTCAACAAGGAAATCTAGGCCGTGCGATCCAGGTCATGGACTCTGATTCGACAAGCTTTCAATGCCTACAACTCGGACGGAACCGAAGAGCTTACATGCTCGATGCAAGACATATGGTGGATATCTCGATTCTTCGCAACTTTTTCTCAAAAACAGAAAAGCTAACTTGAGTGGCGCTAGCCAGGTCATTCCAGAGCTTCACAATGCAGGATGAGGCAATGTTTAGCAAAAAGCAGGTCAAAACAGCCTTCCGTGGCAGAGGTCTGGATTGAAGTACTACGAGCATCATCAAGTATATATGCCCGACCTTTCCTCCTCTATTGCAATTCCTCATCAGCTTCATCAGCAGCATCATCAGCCTTTACATTCTCTTCAAAGCCACTTTTTATACATTCTTTATCCAACAATCATTCAGACAATGCGTCAATCAATCGTTCTTGCCGGCTTTGTTGCCGTTGTATCGGCTTCTCCAGCTGCTGAGCTTGTCCGTCGTCAGAACATTGACTTCGCCGCAGTCAATGCTGCCCCTGCCCCTCAATTCGTCGGTCCTCCAGTCACTGCAACCTCCCAAAACATTGACTACAACACTGCTGCTGTCACAGCTTCTGGCGCTGCGGCGGCAACGGCCATCGCTTCCAGTGCCGCAAAAGCCGCCGAGAAGAGATCTGTTGAGGTTGAACTTACCAAGCGTACATTCTGCTTTTGGCCATTCTCCTGCGGTAGCGGTGGTAGCAGTGAAGGAAGCACCCCAAAGCCAGTCACTACCACATCCAAGGTCGACTCAAAGCCAACATCAACTACATCCGTACCAGTTGCAATTGCAACATACGACCCAGCTCTTGAGTGTGCTGCTCAAGGAGATGGTGAGTTTATTTTTGCCCTAAATATTCTGGATTTCATCTAATCATCATGCAGGTTACGGACCAAAGCCAGACCCTGACACCCCAGAAGCTTTCCTTGCTTACCAACCATTTCACGACGAGGCCCAGGGTGCCAAAGTCCCCTCCGGTTACACTTCCACCTTCACCGACTTAAACGCTGCTGTTAACGCCAATACCTACCTTGGCCTTACTACACTTCAGTCATATGATGTTGCTGGATGTGCTTCTCTATGCGACAACAAGGACCTTTGCACTGCTTTCAACATCTACTTCGAGCGTGACCCAAGCGTCAACCCAGCTGCTCAGTGCGCCAACCCTCCATCTATTACCAACTACAAGTGCACACTTTGGGGATCTGGTGTCACTAAAGAGGCTGCTGTTAACGATGGACAATACCGAACTGACTTCCACGTTGTTATCACTGGTTCCAACGGATACTCCAAGGTCGAGACTACCACCCCAGTCACTCCTCCAGGATGGCAAGAGCCTACAAAGTGTGGTAATGGACACGTTGGACACAACCACCCAACCACCTGCATTGGCACCCACTTCTACCCTGGACCATACAACCCTCTTCTCTGCGCTTCTTACGCTGTTGCCCAGAACGCTATCAACGTGAAGGCCAACCTCATCTCCACCGTCCTCTCTTGGTTCGGCTTCAACCCATACAAGGTCAACTTCTTCAACAGCTACATGCTCAAGAAGGATGGCAAGCCTCTTGGAACATACTGCTCCATCTACGCCCAAAAGTACTCCTCCGCTCAAGCCAGCTACGACCCAGGCTTCCAAGGTGGTTTCACCTGGAGCATTGAGAGCTCTTGGTCATGGAGCATCAAGGCCTAAGCCAATAATCTACCATGCAGTCGATGATACCGATTTGGAGAAGCACACAGGAGTTTAGAGTCGAGACACTCATTTAGCATTTACATCCACTGGTAATCTGGATCTTTGGTAATTTTTAAAACAGAAAGGCGGAGCTTGGGAGGTGCAAAGGGCATATTCATGTACATACATTATTTTCGTGGGACTATTGAATAGTAATTTCTATTGTTGCAAAGCAACTCAAAAAAACTGTTTCCTGAATTGGATGATGTAATGCATAGTGAATTCAGGGGGTCTCGCTTAACCCCTGGCCATATGTTAATTTTATGTGTTCGATCTTAGTGGCAGCCAGAACGACGATATTATTCAATCATGTGGGCAGATTACCATCCATATTGTTAATTTAGATGACCGGTTACCCTGTGATTTGTCTATGGTTTTTAGAAAATAAGCCGCTCTAGATTGTGTTCAAAATGTACTAAATAATAAGTGAACAGGATCGTAAGGGAGTCCATTGGTTAGTGATTCGACAGCCCTGTGTACCTCTCATGTCTACCACAAGTCGAGTCGAGTTGAATTCATCTCCAGTCATCTTTTACAATGATCTATCTAATTTGCTGAAAAGTATATACGAAATGTCCGAAAATTTGTCAACGCAATTGAGGAAACACACGATAAAGTGTCAACCTGATCGATGGAATACAGAATTTCATCAATTTATTTGAGTAAATGTCGGGCTTCTCTTACTCCACTAACGATAACCTGGTGTCTACACGCTCTGCTATAACTATGCTGGACGATACTTATATTATTTCTCTGAGAAGAGGACCTGTATGTCTTGGAACTTTTAAGCGAAATACACGATAGTTTCATCCTGATCGAGAAGACATAGTATTTTGTCAACAGAATCGACCAAATATCCAGTTCCGACTACTAAAGCGATTCCCAATGAATCTAGGTATGTGTCTCCTACCACTATACTAAATAATTAACACAAGATCTCTCTACTGATGCTCTCTACTACAAATCACAGGCGAGTAATACTGTATTCTTTAAATTGATATGCAAAGTTCTTAGTTTGTTCCTGTTAGCTTGGTTTAGACTACTAACTTCCAGCCGCGAGTCCAGATAATTCAGCCAACTTCGACCGTAACCAGTTGACTTATCAAAAGAGAGGGAGTATGCATAAGGAAAGAAACCGGAAGGAGACCGGAAAATGAAGCGGCTTCTTCGTGTCCGGAGATAAGATAATCATTGAAAGTTGCCATACGTACTCCTCAGCCTCCGCTAGAATGGTACCTTTTTGTCCATAACAAGCCACCAAGCTTGAATGTATTCACGACAAAGACCTTGGACATACGCAACGTCTTATTACAATCGATATTGGACATACTGTCACTGTAAAGAACCAACATACATCAAAGTGTTCGAAAAGGAAAACCCTAACTTCAAATTGTCGAAATAAGTAATCGAGTAATCGCGCCGCCGCCATATGATATTTTTATGCTTTGACACCCCCAACCCCTTTTTCAATTTGTGACAAAGCAGCCATAACTCCAAAATCACCCGTCGAAATCAATGCTTTCCTAAACCAGACTCCTATGCCATCCCCCTTCATATCGCTCTTTCCCGATTCCGCCCGCCTCATTTCTCCCCCACCTCAGTAAATCCTTCACCGCCACCACCCACATCCCGCATATAACACTCATTGCACTCCCTCTTCAGATCCTCATGTTTAAAACTCATCGTCCGATTCGGCGAAGGCCTCCAAGTCTCGATGGGACTCGTGGTGTGTTCGCCTTTGGAATCGCGTCTTTGGTCTGGGATGGAGATGGGAGTGGGTTTGGTTTCGGAAGAGACTTTTTCGTTTGTGGTAGACATTTTTTGTGGTTGTTCTGATGATAGTTAGAATTGGAAAGAGCATGGAAAAAGAAGTAGGACTTACGATTTATTTCTGTATTCTGTGATGTTTATTCACCAAACTCTCCACCCCTCCTTGTCTTGCTATATACTCCTTTGTCACACCAACATCACACCACCTCCACATACGATCCCTTACCGAGACAGGGCTCATTACTAACACTTCGCCTCACCGCACCGCATCCACGACATTTAATTGGCTGTCTTATATTGTTATAGAGGGGTAAATTTCATGATTGGTGATAGTTCACGCGGTTCTGGGTCATGGCATGTAGGTGGCTGTCTTTTGATGCGGGGTGGCTAAGCGAATATGCAAAGGATCAAAGATCCATCTACTGTACTCGAATAAGAACAAAAGATAATTGGTTATAAATTGATTCGCTTTCTAGGATTCTAGAAGACAAGTGAAGGCGCTATGAATAAACACTCATCGACAATATACCGACACCAACACCTTGAATCTGATAAAGACAAAAACATACTCCTCGCTATGCTGGGTATGAAAACTATAAACAGAAAGTATACGATATCCAGGTCTGCTGACCCGAGTACATAAGTTGATTGCCAATTTCCAATCCGGCACTAGAAGATTCTGGACAGGCTGTAATGGGACATTATTGATAATTAAGGCGTCCGGGGTCTCTTCCAGTAATATTGCTTCACGTGAGTTAGCATGAATTCCCCTGTGTCTTTGACACAAAACACATACCTTGTGCTGCTTCCTGCAATTTCTCAAACTTGGTTTTCGCATGCCATTAACGACTGCGGCTCTGCGTGTTTCATCTGTATCTGCGTCTGGTATGTAATAATACTCGCTTTCAAGAGCCTTTCCGGCGGCATCTTTTCCTTCTCGACGGATTTCACCGATACAAGGTGCTGCATTCAACATCCTGCACAGTTCTTGTTTGGTCAAACCTCTGTTTTCGGGGTCGCTTGGGCTACCGCCCTTTAGGTCGGCTGGGAGATGGGTCATGATGACAGAGAGTGGTGTGGAAGAGAGACGGGAGAATGCGAGTTGGTTAACAACGTGATTAACAATCGGTACTGCTTCTGCTTCATTGGTCATTTCTGAGCTTGATCTGGGTTCGGGAGAGTCGGACGATCGATGTGCGGGCCGCCCTTTGCGTTTCGGCTGTTCTGGCGAGTCGGCTGCGGTAAATGATTCCAGTCGATTAGTGATGTTGGCACCGAATGGACCGAATGAATGGACAACCGGATCGTTCTCTTCATTTGGGTCTTGTTCATCCTCTAGGTCGCTAAGTTCACTTTCTTGACTTGAGTTGAACGGGGCCGGGAAGGAAGTGGCCGCTTGTGTGGATACCATAGACTGATCAACGGTGACCTCTGGTTCAAGTTCTGGAGAAGAAGCATCTTCATATACTTGAACGACATCTGGCTCGATGTCATCTGAAAAGAGATTTGACAATCTACGTGCAGGTTGGGATGGGCCAGCAGGTGTAGGTGATTCTGGAGACTCGAGACGCCGTCCACGACGTAACGGGCTGGAATGTATAACTTGTCCTCGTGCATTCACAGCAGTAGCAGGTCCTCTCGGTGAAGCCTCTTCATCCCAGGACGATTCTGTTTGGACTCCAACGGATTCTTTACGTTCCCTTTCCGGCCACGCGATCAGAACGCGTGTGTCGAGAACGTCCAGCATGATATCCACGTATTCTGTTTCCGAAGTGAACGTGTCATCTCTTGCCAACTCCCATGTCCTGCCCTGACAGTGCAGTTTTATTCCATTATGGCCTTTACATTTTATTTCCACCCTATTTGGTTCCAATGGGACCGACGCGGCAATGTATCGAGCCTCGACGTGAACGCGAGATATCAGTCGGTTACTTGCTAGAGTATAATCGGAGGAGGTACTCGATCTTCCCATGCGCAAAGTCTCTCCATTTTCCGGTAGGTTGATCGAGGGTACTGCAGATAGAGGCGCTCTTTCAGAAATTGAAGATTGAGTTCGCTGGATGAATGGACGGCCTTGTACACGTGGAGGCGAAGAGGAGAGTATTCCTGTGGTTGATGTGGGTATTGGCGTAGGGTATTTATTGTACAGAGCCTCTCTTTGCGAGGGTGAGGATCGGGCTTGTCTTTTGAATGGGCGCGGAAGACCTGGCGAGCTTGAGAGCGGTTCGAATGCCGGGAGCAGCGATGGAGCAGGACGTTTTACTCCTGCCACGCGAGGCAAACTCGAGGAAGCATTGAGCTTGCTTGGAGAAGAGTCCATCAGAGTAGACATTAACAGAAGCTCGAAACCCAATGGCGACGAGTATTTCCACACGGCATAGACCGCGTTGTACGGAAGTTGGTGTACACGGTATATTCGAGAAATTGATACTGAGGAACTCGAGATGGGGAAAGGGGCGTCGGATGACCAAAACGTATCTATGATAACTTTAGAAAAGCGAAAAAGAATAATGGAAAAAGGTTCACGTTGGGCCTTCGAGAGGGCCGGTCTTGTTAAGAAGTCTGGGAAAGCCCACAGAAACGCGAGCGCGTCGTTCTGCGGTTAAGCGAGGCGATTTTCTGCCAGGGATGGGTACGCGGGTGCTCAGCACTTGAATCTCGCACTGGATTATCTATAGAAATGTTGCATTGATGTATTTTGAAATTTAGAATTTGTCAAATTATTTGTGAAGTTTTGGGTTTGAATGGTTGTCGCTTGAAATCCATAACAACATTAGCGGATACCGTTTTTGAGCTCTCAAAAGGTCGTCTCATTCATATTCGGTCCATCACGATATCCCAGCCCAGCCTCCTCGGCTCACACGCTATACACGCGATGAGACAGGTGACTGAGCATCACGATTCGTACGTAGGTACATGCGGAATTCCCTAATTGATCCTCGGGGATTCTCCAGTAGAAGTCCACTCTTCATGCACAGAGAGAATTTACTCGTACGGAGCAATCCTGCAGCGCGTATGGAAGGTACGGGGAGCAGAAGTTTGGTTGGAATTGAGGGGAACCAGCGCATCTTGATTGTTAGGACTTTACAACTTTCGACATTTCAATAGGAATTCTAACATTTACCGTTCCATGTAAATGGCCCATGTGACGCTTGCTTCGAAGTAATAATTATATACCTAGCTATGGAAGATAGATGCTAAATTAATCAGGCAGTCATCAATAACTGCTAAATTATTCGTTCGGCATTCACTCACTTTGTGCTTCACCTATACCAAAGGCGGTGAACAGCTAATGCTAAGCATAAAGATATCCCCCGCACTTGTGCCCGCACTAGCTGTACACAATAATGGTCACGTGCGGACAGCTATGCTCAATATTTCGCTAGCACGATAACTCCCGTAGGGTAATATGACAACGACTTAGTATTAAAAATCATGTAAATAAGCTCCATCTCAGAACATGAAAATACAGTGAAATAAGAATGAGATACCATCTAACGTCACAGAATTCAGCAGGCGTGGACGGGAGAACACATGTGAATCCAGGCCTGCGCCACAGTTGCAACTGTACTTGCGCGCGATGACGATGGCGAGAGACACACTGATCGAATCAAGGCAGATCATGTCAGTTTTTCCAGCTTCACGCGCGACCACACAGCTTTTGCAATTGAAATTCGAGCATACATCTGGATATATTTACACTCCTGAATCGTCTCCAGCTTCATCATCTCTCAAAATCTTCCGACCCATATTCCCTCCCCATACGTACGTTTTTGCGGTGTGAAGCTGTGGTCTCGCTGACCCGAGCTTGCGATTTCCTCGCTAACTGACCAGGGTACCACGGCATTGCGCTTCCCCAGCCATTTTGCGAAACATCATAAACTGGACATCTTTCCATTTCTGCCCAATCCTCGAAACACAGCATCAACAACACCAACCACTATCGGCGCTGACAGTCTATCCTTTTGACAGTCTAACATCCTCGAGTCTTCGTATATCCGCTCTATCATGGCTCCTCCACCTTCCGGCTCTCTGCCGCTCCAGCAAAGGCTGCTCCAGCTTGCTCAGACTCTTCAGTGTAGGTGATACCGAAACTCCGAATATTCGAAAACACGTTGCTAATAGATCTCGCAGTCGCATGGTTTGTCGGGTACGTGAAGCTCATCCCTCCCTGTTTGCATGAATTTCTGGTGTCGTTGAACGTGGATGAACGTGGCCATTGTGCGGGACATCATGGTCTCAGGGTGGAGCTTGCGCTTCCTTGCAACGCATCATAATTCAGCAATATTCGAACAATCTACTGACAGCTTCCTCCTAGGCATCTAACCCTCCTCTTCTGCATATTCAGATACAGTTTCTCGTACATTACCTTCAACTTCTACTCGCGATGGGCAAGCTTTTCGTACCGCACCGCATTTGTCTCAGCCGCCGTCACATACGGAATTGTTGTCTACAAGGCTTTCCGAGCTCGCTCAAGAGCTGGTAGCAGAGCTCAAGGTGGTGCTCTTGCTCTTGCAGCGGATGAGAACGTTCAATATTTGGGTACGTGGTTTTGCTGCGATGTGTCGGCCCTCAAAAATTAACACGTCATTAGCAATGGCCCTTGTTTGGCTCTTCTCTCCTCAATACCCTCTCGCGATGCTTCCATTCGGTGTCTACTCGATCTTCCACGTTGCGACCTACACTCGAACCAACCTCATCCCCACCCTCCAACCACCTCAACAGACTGCTGCGGCAGGAGCTTCCCCAGGGGCTAAGCCAACATACGCACCAAATGCCACTGCTGATATGATTGGTAAATTTGTCAAGGAATACTATGACGCATCAATGGGTCTTGTTGCTATCCTTGAGATCCTCCTCTGGGGCAGAATCCTCCTGTCTGCAATTGTTTTCCAAAAGGGATCTTGGATCTTGATCGCCATCTACACCGCTTTCCTCCGAGCACGATTCGCACAGAGCAGCTTCGTCCAAGGTCAATTCAGACAGCTAGAGGCTAGAATTGATAGCCTTGTTGGTGGTCAATCTACTCCTCCTGTTGCCAGACAAGTCTGGGGTGCGGTTAAGAACGCCTCGAGAACTTTCCGTGACACCACGGACATCGGCCACTATGTAAATGGTGCCTCTGCACAAAAGAAGGCAACATAAGTTCAAATTATATTCGACTTCGGCAGAATCTGTGGTGAAAAGGCAGTATCGCTAGTCAAATATCGGGCAATTGGGCCATTCATGCCAATTCAATTCTCCGACAAGGAAACTTCAATCGAGATCAGACAGAGACCTTCGGTCGGCCATGTCATTTCTTTGAGCGACACTTTCTGATGAATATATGAATGGGAGTCAGGGACGGGGACGACGGAGCGAAGAGGGTTGTAGTTGAACGCAGCGTTGGTTTTGGGGTTTTGCTCTGCTTTTTCACGTTTGTAGAATTGATAAATGAAAAGTGTGTTACGTCAAATTGTGATGATGAGATCTCGGTTGATTTCTTAGCTAGTGCTGGTCTATTAATAAGCTTATTGCTCGAGATATAATGCACATGACAACCGTCGTGGGCAACGAAGGACACATCTTGTTCATGATGAAGTTCTTTATGTCTACCATCACCGTATATTTCTCCGGCTTAGTGACTCCACTACCTAGATGACTATCTGTAATCTAGAAGTTTGGTAGTACATGTGCCCGTCGTGGAACATATTTACAAGTAAAGTCTGATCCTTGGCTGTGCTTCGTCAAGGGCCTGACACATCTCACGGAAATATACGGTCGCTCTGTCGTGATTGAGAGCCTCGGTCTCATCGACTTCGATGGACAAAGCGGAAAAGAGGATGGCGTTACAGGGTACAGTCTCTGATTTAACATCCCATCGACAATTTGGCAGAGAGATAGGAGACATTTGTTTGCTATTGACGATGACGGTTAAGGTGACAATGGTGGTTTTCCCGAGATCGTAGGTCGATAATCGAATTGGGGGGAAGGTTATAATTTGATCAGTGTCTAATAGAAGGGGATTCTTAGTTTCTATTTGGAAGGATTGTTATTCATAAATTTCTTGTTGTTTCTTTAAAGCTCATTTGTTAGCCGATTTCTCGTGGCTGAAATGCAGTATCTTTCTCAAATTCAATAAGATTCTTCTACAATTGTTGACGAAAGATGTTAATGCCTTGTTGTTCCTAGCACACTACCTCGATGACCAAATTTGTTTTCGCCTTAATCTCTGGTGGTGGTCTTATCACGCCTTCTTGTATTTTAGTATATTCTTTGCAAGATTTGCTTCTTTGCATGAAGCCTTTGTCCTCGGATTCAAATGAAGGAAAAGCCAAGATCGTGCTTCCATTTAAAGAAGTTTTTCTAATCTCAATCTTGGTGATTAGTTGTTATCCAGAAAGTACCCTGACTTATAGTAGTTTTAAGGCCTTGGCTAAGGGCTAGCCTCTCTTCTAGAGGTAAGGTTTGACAATCTTTTGACCCTACCACATAGGCGCGGTTTCGAACGACGTTGTACATCACAAATCTTGCGAAGTTGATGACACATAAATTTGATAGATAAAGAAACACTCAAATTATCCATGAAAACTTTGACGGTATTGGAGTTACTTGAATGAGTTTGACCAACTTCAATCTTTAGTACGTATTCGAAACTATACATATCTCGACTCAATCGACTTTGTGAGGTAGAATGGTAGGAAAACGTGTCATGCTACTTGGTTGAATATCTTGTTTCGAATGCGTCGACAGAGTTGTGTCTTTCCATGAGTTCTGCTGCTCTCAATACCCGTGTAAAATGTGATATCTCGATTTTCGAGCGAAGAAGCGAGCAGGTGAGAGGTTGAAACAGTTGCAAACTATCAAATGGACTGAAGTCGATAACGAAAATAGTCAGTATACAATACATGTTTCTTGAGTGCGTAGCGAGAGCCTTTCGTCCTCCTGAGTCACTGAATAACATACTGAAACATAATGCCTTGTTCTTCGAAACCCAGGCGTGATACTGGGATGCGACTACTCAGTTCTAATCACTCTATAGCCACATGATTTGAGCCACATGATTTGAGCCACATGATTTGTATTGCGTCTACCAACAGAACTATCAGTGTTATTAGAGAAACGTGTCAGCACCTCAAGTACAAGTCCTGCCAGCATCATTGGTAAAGTTCCTAAGTAGCAATATTGTAAACCACAAATCGTAAGAACTTTTCCAGACATAGAATAACTCTATCTTTGACTTTGAAACTCATTGAGATGGTAAGAAGATGATTCCGGCTGGCGCATAGTCGAAGGTAAACATGTCTAGCTAACGATTACCAGTGCTCGCGGTGGACAAGGTGAGTGGGATTTGCAACGAGATATTCTTGGATTCAGTTGAAACATTATCGTATTTCGTCAATAATTTTCATTAAATTAAAATTATCAAGATTCATCAAAATAACTTTGCAGCAGATAGTAAGTACCTTATTGAGTATACTTTGACTCGATATTCTATCACTTGTTTTGTCCTAAACAGGCTGTGAAAATCAATATTGCATGTTTGATCACAAGTCGAGGCTGTTTATATTTTCGGATTATAGAGGGTCAACGTATTGTTTATCTGGCTTTCCGTTGATTAACCAAAACCAGAGGTTTTTCATATGAAACTTGTTGATCATTGATCTATACTTGATACCTTTAAATAATAAGACCGTCAAAACGCTAATCGGTTTGTCCGCCTCGCATACCTCATTTTCAGTATGGGTTCCGTACGAACAACGATAGGATTTGTCAATCATACGTACCTGTCAATCATAGGTACCACATAATAAAATCAACACCCGCTTACTCCTTCCCAAACACCCATAACTTAAAGCCCCAGCACTCCTAGCATTCTCACCAGCCCTACCGCAAATGAATCAAGGATGTGAGGCTGGTTTGTGTTCACGATTTGAGTTTCGGTGGAGGTCAAGGAGAAGGACGCAAGGTTATGAGAACATATCTTTCTTATCGTTTAAATCGTAATTGTCTATTAAGTTTGGTATACCTTTCATAACTCCTCCCGTGTTTTAATTCCCTTCTTCCAATTTATCCCATTATTACTCAACATTATTACTCAACACCATCCATCCCTTTCAAAACCCCCCACCAATTATAAAGTCCCAGTTTAAACCGCAAACTTAGATCTCGCTCTCAACTTAGCACCGGTAGCATAAAGGGCAAACATTCCAATGATACCAATTACACTAAGTCCGCCTAGGACAGACACACCCTTTCCGACACCCAAGTTGAGGAATAGGGGTCGTCCAAACATGATGGATCCACAAGCGAAGGCCGATCGCAAGAAATCGTTACCTGCGAACAACGAAGCTGCATATTGAGGATACGAAAGAGGAACGTAGACAAAAATACATTGCATAACGATGAATACCGATGCAGCGTAAATGACGATCCCGATGGTTGGTGCGATCCAATGTATTGATGGGTTGGCGGTCCAAGCGAAGACGAAAAGACCTATCGTTGGACCGAAGCACGCGAACAAAGCTGGCACCAATCTAGACTCTTGAGCACGTAGTCCGTTCTTCTTGATATCTGGGATAAGAATCCAATTAAGGTAAGCGCAATAAATTGCGATGCCGATGAGACAAGCAACCAAGATGCAGGTGAACACAACACCAACCATCCCCAACGAAAAGCCATACATTGGAGGATAGACCACGGGGAAAGCCTCAAAGAAGCTGTAATAGATGCCATAAATTATGGCGGTATAGACGTTTACGAAGAGAATAGCTGGATCTTTAATTGTTATTTCAATTGGCTTGACAATTGCGTCGACAACGATGGCGGAAGGCGACAGTTTCTTCTGGTCAATTTCCGACTGGGACTCGAGCCGAAGATCTCCCGTAAGTTTTCGAAGACGAGCTGCACGACGTAGTAGAATGTTGGGTGACGAGGTTTCAGGAAGGAGAAGAAACATAAGGAGGAAGATTGGACCGGCCATCCAGAGAATTTCCCAGAGGGACCAGCGCCAGCCTTTAGCTGTGACGGCAAAGCCAGAAAGAAGAGGACCTAGAGCGGGACCACAGTAGGCAGCAGAAACCCAAGCAACAAGTGCATATGGAAGGTAGAGGAGCGAGTAGATGTCTTGCATGGTTGCCGCCCCGATAGCCAGACATGGTGAGCCGAAGAACCCCTGGAGAAAACGGAGAACGAGAAGGCCTGCGAAGTTATCCACCATAGCAGTAGGCAGGGAGAGTATTGTGAAGATTGCCATAGTAGCTGCGTAGACTGGAGATCTGCCGATGATGGGGATTTCAGAAAGTGGGGCCCATAAAAGGGGGCCGATTCCGTAAGCGAGGACATAGAGGGACAAAGGAAGTGAAGCTTCTGCTGGTGAGACTCCCCATTTCTCAATGACACCTTCGATAGAGGCAGTATAGATGGCTGAACCGGTGTAGACAACGAAAGTGTAGGTACAAATTAATATGCTGACTGATAGTCGCTTGCCATTGCTCCAATTCTGTGGGTTGGCTGGATCGTCGGTAGTATACCAATCCACAAGGATTTTACCATCGGCCGTCTTCGTTGGAGCAATTGGTGTTGTTTGTGTCCGCTCAATTGCAAGTTCAGCCTCAATCTCGAGACGATCTTCGGTATATGGTACAGTGTCTAGCCGACTCTTTGTTTTCTTCAGGGACAACTTGTCACCCTCAACCACCGCTGCTTCTGTCTCTATCTTTTCGAGGTCGGAAGGCTCATCACCACTGATGCTGGATTGTGTTGTGTCCGCACTGTCCCCGTTGCTTAATGCTGTCACACCTCTCGATACTGCCGGTCGCTTCTCTGAGGAAGTTGTGTTGAGGAGAACATTGTATGCCGCTGGAAGCTCGAAGTCTGGTTTCTCTTCTGGGTACTGAAGGATTCTGTTTCCCGTAACGTATCGAAGCAGTTGCCCCAATGGCGCTTCTCTGATGGTATCCATGGCAGGTCTTTATGTGGTTATCGCTTGTGATTAGGTATGGATTTGATAACTGATGCCAGCAAGCGAGATATGATTTTGAAACTTTGAGACAGCCCAAAGTGCTCAATGTGCGATGTGCGAGGGAGATGAAGTTGTATGATGAGAAGAGATCTTGATTGCGGGCTTCAACATCTCTATATAATTGGAATCACTCACTCTATCATTTCTGCCATATTATTTCTCCAAGCTATAGAAAGCCACGAAATGTAAGATGAAATGTAAGCCGGGATCTGACAAACATACCCTGCGATAAACTCCGACAGCAAAGCATGATTCGACCGAATGCTGGCTGAAATGAGTATCAGAGACGCCGGCTTGCCTGAGTCACTGCGTAAACAATTATTAACCAGACCTCTTAGCACGAATGGCGTGAGCTCTGGCAGAGCAGCCTGTCGAAAATGGACGAATGTAGTTAACGGTAAGCATTTTGGACAGCAGTCGTAGATCCAACCAATCACATCGACATGTAATTGAGAGGTGCATGCTGAATAACAACGTTTCTTGTCCAAGCTCAATAGTATCCTGGGCGTTGAGAGGCTCCTTGAGTCCTGGTCGTTGGTTCTTACGGTTGTTTCAAGGAGGGATAATGGATTTGTAAGTGAGATGCAGTGAGTGAGATGAATTCGGGGAACAAAAACGCTTGCCGGTATATGACCCGGACAATTTTGATAGGGCTAAAAAAGCGGCATTAATCAACCACATTTCCTTGAGCTTTTAGGGCGTTGCGGAAACAAGAGAGTGCCGCTTTTCTGTGCAAGAGATTCTTGCTGCTCGCTTGCGTCTTTGAATGATTACTGATCGTTAACGTCGGCGTTAGGTGGATTTGAGTGGTCCGTTCGTAAACGCGATGATAATTCTTGATTAATCAACAGTTCCGTCCTCCAATTCACGATAGATATATCAGGATACCCGGCATGTTGTTGGTAATGGGATATGTCCGCTTCTCGGCTCAAGAACGTCATATCGAAGGATTCATTCTCTTGAATTATGGGTAAGCAAATTCTTGAAAGCCTTCCAAGTTCTTCCTTCAAGACTCTCGCTTTCGCATAGTGAATGCTGCACAGCCTCTTGGAGATTCTGATGGTTTCGTTGATGAGATTTGCGCTGATAGGACGAAAAGATAGAATGAAAGTGGTTTTTAGATCAAGAGCCAGCAGTTATCTCACTCAGATGAGAGTGAGATTGACGGGATGGGATACGGTGCATTCTAGGTAACCACTTTCTTTGACCTCAACAACTCAGTTCGTCCGCAGAAGGTATGTTGCGATGTGGTTTACCTCAGCCATTTGGGAACACTAAGCTCTCTGAATAATACCTCTTTAGGACATAGGGATCCGTATGCTTTTAGCGGACGAAAAAAGGAGATATTCCCACGATTCCGACATGAAAGGAGGACAGACTATCAGTCACGTGCGGTCCAGTCCCGGCGTTATGAAGGAGAGACCGAATGCTCAGTCGCTGTACTCTGCATCTTCTTTCCCATCAACATCAACACTTCTAATGAACCATCAAGCCGTATCCTGTCCAATTCACACGCTTTCCGCGTATCTCGGTCCAACTTCCCCGCAGAATTTCGATCACGGAAACTGCCTATGTAGGACACCCCGGCAGAGCTTAGTCACGACCTGAAGCTCCTGGTGCTCGTCTACGTTGAGCTTGCCCAATCAGTTGCTAAGTCTCATTCGCATCCCATCATAGAGACTGCGATAGGCGTTGCATCTGACGGCTTGCCTTGATTCTAGACGCGCGAGCCTTGCTACAGCCGCGATTCTAAGGCAAATTGTCCCGGAAAATGGCTTACAGTCACCCTTCCACCTATCAGCCTCGATCCGCAGTTCGCTTCGTGGCGTCAAAAGGTACATCACGTAAAGTGCACTGCTCACCCCCTCTGCTTAGGACTGGATGATGTTATTCTAGACGTTAACATTTCATACGTCCTCCCGTACATTCTTCATTACCGTTACACCACGATGGATATGTCAAGACAGGCTATCTATCTAATTTGGCTGCCTATGGAATGCATTGCCCAATTGGAGCTCGAATTCGACTAAACAATTCTGGAGCTGAAAGGGAAGTTTGTCATCCCCTAGAAAAATCGCCGTTGAATTGTTTAAGCGAACAAGATCATAGCGGGTAAAATCCACATCACCCATCTAGTAGTGGACTGTGCGTTATCTAGCAGACATGCTTTGCCTCTAACCAGGTGATCCATCCATGAAGTGAGATATACGATGGCTCTGCATTCACAGTTACCTCATCCTCAGATATGTGACTTTTTGACCCTAATCGAGCTCAGCGGCGAGATATGGTTTTATATATATATATACATACACTTCAATCACTCTCAATTGAGTTTGTATCATCAAGCATCGGGGCGCGGACAGTTTCATATCTCCTCGCTACTACCAAAGACTCGTCACTCCTCTATCTCTTATTTCTCAAAACACCAAATCAACTCTCTTTCACTTCTGTAAAAACCTTCTCTCTTCAACAATCTACTCAAGTCAAAGAAATGTCATCTCGTTACCGCAGAGACGCCAGAACCACCAGCAGTCCCAGCTCATCCGCATCTCACCAAACAAGAACTATGGCTCAACCGCTCCAGCATATTCCCCTATCATCAACCAACAGCTTCACTCGAGGACCAGTTTCTCTCCGTCTCTTAAATAGTACAGCTCACCACATTCTCATCTCGCTAACTATCACCCCACAATCCACCGGTCTCCCTATCATATCCAATACCATCATCGCAGCAACCTTCCACGTCCTCCGTGGTGGCGTCCGATTCAGCACTTGCGCCGAGAACTCGACCACCGCTCCTATTGAAGAGATGGACGTCAGTAGCGGCTCTACAATTTCCGCACCTCCAACTTCTTTTTACGGAATTTTCAACCCGTTTGAAGAGGAAGCAGAGGTTTTGTGCGTATATAGCCCTGGAGGCTGGGCCCATTGTCTTGAGGAATGGGCCAGGTTTGTGGGGGACTGGGAGGCTGAAGAGGCAAAGGTTATCATGAGAAAGTGTGGAACGGTGTTTTTAGGCGATGAACCTAAAGACGATGGTGGCGATGGGGACGATGATGAGTTGGATTTCAATCCGCAATTGAGGTGTATGGCTTAAGCGACTTTTCTCGAGATGATGTTCTCGAAAATGGGTGGTTTTGCTTGATTTTGAAGGGAAACGATGGAGAAATGTACACGAGATTTGGACTTGAACTTGATGTTGGGTCACTGTTTTTGGAGTTTGGCGGGGGGGTTATTTGGACCAATTTTTTCTTCCTTTTGCTTTTGCTTTTATCACCGTTTTCGCATGTCTTTTGACAACCTTATACTGCAATATAGATACACAAATTTGCCTCTTCGAACTAGGAGATGTGTCAAATGACACGATTAAGTTGTGACTACGTGGAGTACATGAAGTAGAATTACTATCAGTGATTGTTTCGTTTTCAAAATAAAGGAGCTTTGAAGACGCCATTTCCAATTCTCATTAGTAGTTTTAATTTCATGTAGACATTCTCAAACACAAGGAGAACTAAGTTCAAGCAGGCCAAATCTTTATCAGTTAACTGACCACTATCCGTGTCCCTTTCTCATCGAAACTCACTTCTCACAACGCAAAGCCCGTCATCCCACCACTACCATCCTGTCACCCTCAAAGCCCCGCACAAAAACCTCCGCGAAACCGAAACCGAAAACGTAACCCTCCACCCCGATAATCCGGTCTTGTACGAGCATTTCCAAAAACAAGGATGACGAGATACGCAGCCGCATCCTTCCCGTCTGCCATGCCTTTACTTCGTAGTGGCTGAGAACATACCCCGGGTCGGCACTAGATAAGCGAAAGAATCCTATAAGGCTGCTATGTTAAGCTTTATTACTGCATTGGGGAATTGTCGAGGTGTGAGATCTACTTTTGTACTTGGTGATTATGGACCGAGGTGAGTGGGTGGTTAGGAGAGGGGTATAGATGAAGACACAATTCGGTATGGATTCTTGATTATAATTTCTATGCTACGATACTTTCAAATGGTGCAATGAGTTGTTTTTTGTACATCTTTCTTCGCGCCATAATTTTCCCTTTAAATCATGTTGTCCCAAATCAAGCCATGATGTTTATACCTGCACGTCGGGTTATTGATCGACTCAAACTTTTTTTTGGCTGCACGTACCCACTTATTATATCGATAATGCTCGACTACCAAAGTATTGCAAGTTCCGTGCAAGGCCTTGCACTCCTTTAAAATATGGGTAAAGTAGTAACGCTTTGTGCGTGACAATCAGTCCTTGGGTTGTGTTATCAGGCATTTACAAATTATCTGAGTCACGGACTAGAAGTACCTCAGACCCAGCTAGAATTGACTCAGCCTATACGGCTCTGATGGACGCCATCCCCAAATCGAAGTTACCTTAACACCTTCGATACCTCCCAGTAGATCTGGCAGTGTTGGATCCTCAAGTTCATGGTCTCCACAAGGACAATCACCAATTTCCTCGTAAATTTCCTCAGCTGTGTAATCATCAAAACAGTGGCCACAAGCACACATGGAGCCCCCAGTATTCATCATCCTCAAATGATCCTCCAGCAAACCGGCCGGCCAGGAATCGTAGAGTTTAACAGCACCAGCGCCCTCGTGATAATTCATCTCCTCAACACGAAGGCTCAAATCGTTCACGAGTTGTATGCTTCGCAGCGCTGGTAACAAAGGCACCACTTGTCTGATTAGATCAAAGGTATTGTCTTCAGATCTGATGCAAGTAGCCCAATTCATGTCCACGTATTCGCTAATAGCAATACGCTGAATACGCGCTGCCTCCTGCGGCTTAAGGCAAGTGAGGATAAGGGTGACATCGTTTTCGACATTGTTATCGAGGTATATCGTATCGATCGAGAAGTTGAAAGGAGTTCTAGGAGAATGGATGAAATTTCCGAAACACATCTGGTAGGCATAGATGACAGCCGAACGAGAATCGGGACATGCTCTAAGAGCAATCGGCGTAATCGTTCGACTGTAAAACCCACGTACTGGTACGTAATTCACTTCGACCGTTCGCGGTACCAGGGTCATCTGCCAGACCATGGCTCTCAACTCAAGAGGGAGTTTCTCGAACAAATGAAAGGATGTGAGTGGACTGGATGGGTCTTTTTGCTTTGTAGCAACTTTCTTGTTCTTACTCTTGGGTGGCTTTCTCATTTTCGGCGGCACACATCTTGGGGGAGAACCAAGAATCGCTGCTCGGGCGCTGGCAGACCGAGTTTGGACCATGGCGACGATTTTTCTGGGAGTGTATGAAATTTTCTAGGTCGAGAGAGAGATGAAGTGGTATGGTACCGAAGGGAATTAGCTATGCCAAGCCGAGTCAGTAAAAGCCTCACGATATGTGCTCCTAGGACCGGTTCATGACATTGTCCAACCAAGAATTTCAAGATTAGAGGCAGCTGGGTTGTGTAACTGCTTGGCTGCAAATGAATGGCAAAACGTTCATCGATGCAGGAAAAAGTATGAAGACGGTGTTACCTACACTGTCGTGGCAAGCAGAAAAACGCCTTCGGTACGAGCCTCGTTTGGTCCTGGCACTAGAGGTGGAAAAATGCTGGAGATTCAAAGTCGGTTTTGGAATTTGAGTGTGGTCGAGTCTTGTGAGGCAGATAAGAACTCGTATGGAGAATGGGACCGAAGCGTAAACATTCAATGAACAAGACAGTTCGTCCAGAAGAGATGCTAACAACTAGCAATAGAAGCTGGCCAAATCGACAATAATTTCTGTCACGAGACTTCCTGCTAGTTGGTGTCGCGTCAGCAGCTTCAGTCGAACGCGTGTGCAGGTGCTTGCAGATCAGATTACTTACAGAGGCACCGCCGCGCCACGGGCTGCAGAGGCACGTATTCGGCTGTGACTGTGAGACGACACTCCTTATGATGGCTGGAAAGAGACCAGATTCGACTGAGAAATAGATAGAGGAACAGAAGACGTAGTCGTCTATTAGCCTCCAGAAAATCCCCTCCTAGATGGCTTGAATACCATGCTAGTGGTGATGCGGTACTTGGTGGTGTTGAGTATGAATCTGCACAGACGAATTCAACGTCGCTCCAGCTGGTCTGGCTCCGAGTGGCTCCCTCTTCTTTAGCTGGCCCAATAGGGTACCCGTCCTTCATCGCTCTCCGTCGTGTGCTCGTCCCCTTGGAAAGCGTGACGGGGAATAAAAGTCGAGCTATATCCACTATCACGTGAGCCACTAGTCCCTTCCGGGCCGGCTAGTGAAGACCCCCTTTCGAGCCGCTTGGCGCAGCTTTTGCGGAGTTGAGCCAGCACCACCACCATTTAATTTCGAGGGCGTCCATCAATCCTCTCACGAGTAAAAGAACACAAAGTCTGACCGTCCTACCCTCGTTTCTCCCTCACCACCTCCTCCATCCCGGACGACTCAATTGCCTTCGTGTCCTGCTCGATTTACGGTACGTTGTCCTCCCTTCTCATACACCTCCGTCGCATCACGTCCCGGACACTTTTAAATGACAGCTTCGGCACCCCTGTCAATATTTGGAGAAACCCCTTTTGCGCTCGAAGATCCACGTCCAACCTCCAAAACTTTTGTTGCTCTGTTACATTTCTCCTCCTCACCCGCGTACTGACAAGAGCGCGCCCGACAGACCGATCCTTACTGCAAGCTTTTGCGCATCACTTTTACCGCGGCGACATTGACGAAGAAGGCACGAGAAAGCACTAAGGAACATTTTTGGTACGTGGCTCCGGTATTCTCCTACTCACCCAGCAACCACATCCATCTTTCCCATCGACACCAGAGCGTCGTCGCCCATCTTATCTTTGGAATACTGTGCATCAATACGCTCTCACGACCGACTCGTTCGCTTGCAACTTTACACGAAAGCTAACGAGAACCTTTTTACATTTAGACTTATTTCGACGCTTATCCTGACCCTCTCCTCCATCGATCCTTCTTCAACGAATTCTACACAATGGGTAAGCTCTCTTTTTCCTTTCAAGCAGCAAGTACCCGCTGGCAATGCTGGACCACCTCCACAACTTCCGGTCACGAAAATACCTGCAGCAACAAACATCCCGCACGCCTTCGATACGAATCCGCTGGCAGTGACATTGAGCTCCGACGGCCGTTTAGCTTTGTGTCTAGAAGACATTGCATGAACCTAGGCATCCTTTCGGGTTTGTCTACGCACGCTATCAGGCGAATTGAGCGCAAAGGTTACAATTTCTAGGAAGTCGTTGCGATGACGACGTCAATCGCTGGTCTCCTTGCCCAACCTCGAAGAAACAGCCGTGCAGAGAGCAGTCCATTGGATCTGATGTCCATCGCGGCGAAGAAACTCGAGATTGCTAGCAACCTCAAATCATACCCTGGAAGTCTTGGTCGTCGTCAACAACATGCAGATTCTCATGTCCAATATCGTAGCATGCTCGATATCGATGAGGCACCGAGCTTATGTCCAATCGATCTCAGGTCCGAGGAATCGATGGAGGATTGCTTTATGGAGAATATCCGCGAGAAGGCGCACAAGCATAAAACGAATGATTGGGCTGACATATTATGTTTCTACACAGCTACAAATGGAGTTGCCCAAGCGGCGGCACCAACACGAGCCTCACCAGTACCAAACGGAAAGCCTACATCCCCAAGGATGGATATTCCACAGAGTGTGAGCTCGTCGGATCCCAAGATCGCAGCTCAACAAGCCAGTGATATGCGAAATATTGTGCGACGGAAGTTGACAGGATATGTTGGGTTTGCGAATCTACCCAACCAGTGGCATCGCAAGAGTGTCCGAAAAGGTTTCAACTTCAACGTTATGGTAGTCGGTATGTACAGGCTCTAAATGAAGAGACTGTCTACTAATCATTCGCAGGTGAGTCTGGTCTCGGAAAATCAACTCTAGTGAACACCCTTTTCAACACTTCACTATACCCACCTCGCGAGAGAAAGGGACCAAGTCTCGACATTATCCCAAAAACCGTTGCTATCCAGTCAATCAGCGCCGACATCGAAGAGAACGGAGTCCGCTTACGATTAACCGTCGTCGACACTCCAGGATTCGGAGATTTCGTCAACAATGATGCTTCCTGGCAGCCAATCGTTGATAACATTGAACAGCGTTTCGACGCTTATTTGGATGCTGAGAACAAAGTCAACCGTATGAACATTGTTGATAACAGAGTCCACGCCTGTGTCTACTTCATTCAGCCAACCGGCCACGCCTTGAAGCCGCTTGACATTGAGGTTATGCGAAGACTTCATACCAAGGTCAATTTGATCCCTGTCATTGCTAAGGCCGACACCATGACCGATGAGGAGATTCTTGCATTCAAGCAAAGAGTAAGTAACTCATTCCTTAAGCGTCCTAGCGCACTCCTAATAATAATCAGATTCTCGCGGACATCAAGCATCATGCTATCCAGATCTTCGAAGGTCCCAGATACGAACTCGATGATGACGAGACAATTGCTGAGAACAACGAGATCATGTCCAAAGTACCATTCGCAGTTGTCGGAGCCAACTCTGAGATTACCAGCGGAGAAGGACGTAAAGTCCGCGGGCGTCGTTACCCATGGGGTATTATTGAGGTTGACAATGAAGAACATTGCGACTTTGTCAAACTCCGCCAAATGCTCATTCGCACACACATGGAAGAGTTGAAGGAGCACACCAGCAATGCGCTGTACGAGAACTACAGATCCGAAAAGCTTACCGGAATGGGTGTTGCTCAGGATCCAAGTGTCTTCAAGGAGGTCAACCCAGCCGTCAAGCAAGAGGAGGAGCGAACTCTCCACGAGCAAAAGCTGGCAAAGATGGAGGCCGAGATGAAGATGGTCTTCCAACAGAAGGTTGCCGAGAAGGAAAGCAAGCTGAAGCAGAGCGAAGAGGAACTGTACGCTCGACATCGCGAGATGAAGGAGCAGCTCGAACGCCAACGAATGGAACTAGAAGAGAAGAAGTCAAGAATCGAGAGTGGCCGACCTATAGAGAAGGAAGGAAAGAGGAAGGGTTTCTCTCTTCGTTAAGGCGCCTATTCTCCCAATTTGACGGATATACCCACAAAACAGCGACGCGACACATAGCTCTTTTTACTTTCAATTCTTGTCTCTTTAATCACTGATCCTTAATATTTCGCGGAATGACGACAGGGAGCGGAGGAGCAATGGATGGGCATGGCATTTGATATTCCGGCTTCTGTGAGGCTGAGTGCCTGGTTGTGTACTAAGCGGTTGAATCATCTGGGCCTGTTGTACACAGGGTGAATGGGAGCAAAGGCTAAAGAAAGCAAAGACACCGCAAAAACAATTCGCGGTGGAAAGGAAATCTTAGCGACGAAGTTACTTGTTTCTTCGGCTTCAGACACGCCGTATCTACAGCCTGTAGTGTTCAGCTGCTCACCTCCCTTCTTCCTCGGGGTTTGATTCATCCTGTATTTATTATGATGGCTTGGGATTCTGCGTTCCTTTGGCTCCCTTTTTTTACTACTCTTTACTTTGTTGTTACGAAATGAAAAAAGGGAAGTGTTATTCTCCAGGCGATAAAGACTGTTGCTGCTGCTAGTTGTTTTTTTCTTTGCTTTTTTCTTGCTTGTTATTTTTGAATGGAATTCGTTAAAATGGGATGATTATGGGTAGTAGTAATACACGTAGTTTTTGAGATGTTTTTGACCCTGTGTTTGTGATATGTGATGCCTTCTATTATGGCGCACTCTCTCATTTGCTTTCTAATAGCAGAGTAGACTTCTGAAACTTTCAACGTTAGACTTGCCTATCCTGTTATTTAATCCCATGGTTCTGGTTCCTTAGGGCCTAGTATGTTGGATGAGTTGCTACTAGGGCAAACAAGCTTTTCACGAGGCGTGTTGTACTTTAATTAAGCTAGTGATGCTTGGCCCATGTACCAATATACTCCATTGGCCGAGAAACAGCAAAAAGTGAAGACTAGTGAGGCTTTTGAAGTCACTCCTGGTTGACAAGCTTGGTCTCACTTATTTACAAGGCAAATTTACCTTCCGGACAGATGAAGATCAGTTTGATCGCAGACTAACCTCAAAATGGGGTTTAGACTGTGCAGTAACAACAGAGCAGCTATCTTTCACATGAATTACACGTACTATCCAAATTACCCAAATACTACTTAATCCAAGCATCAAACCATCTCACAGCCTGGAAATACGCGCTCTCTTGCGCGAACTTCTTCTGCGGGATACTGAGGTCCGTTCGAACGGCGAATCCGTGCTCAGCGTTTGAATACAGGGTTGTTTGGAAAGTGAGGTTTTTGGTGGTGAAGATGGCTTCGGCAGCTGCTCTTTGTGCTGGGGTATTGGATCCGTCGAGGGCTGTGGCATGTCAGAGCTGATATTTGATTTGAAAAAGGGAGCAAATTGAAGGTGTCTACTTACTACCAAAAGCAATACTCAATGGTCCTCCCACCGCCGCCCACTCATCCGTCGTCACACCACTCGGATGCGCAGTAAAACCCGCATCCAGACCTCCCCCAGGAGCCAAAAATCTAGCTACATATTTTCCGCCAAAACAGTATCCTACAGCACCAATCTTCTTGGCTCCAAATTGTTTGCGGAGAGAGGAGATGGAAGAGGCAATGATGGCTTCGACTTTTTCTTGCGTGTGGACTGCACGCCATTGAGTTATGTTGAAGGTGCTGGGGATACCTCCCATTGCTGAGGATGGCACGGGATCGCCCTCGAAGAGATCAGGCATTAGAACGAAGTAACCGGCGCGGGCGAGGGAGTCGGCGAGGCTTGAAGGTGTTAGTCGAGGGGTTGAGCTGGGAATTTTGAAAAGGAGGTTTACACTCTGTTGTTTACTAGTTGGACACCGAAGATGTCTGTCAGGTAGAGGATTGCTATGTTGGTTTTTGGGTTTCGCCCGGGTGGGTAGGCGAGATATGTGCTTGCTATAAGGCGTGTGAGGAATAGTTCTACTCATCATTGGTAGGAGAACTTACTTCCATTGATATCCGCAAATCTTCCTGTTGAGTTGCCAGTGTTGATTACACCATCTACACAACATGTAGATCCAGATGAGGAACTGAAGATTTGACCCGGATGTTCATTCTTCAACGGCGCGGGGTCTATGTATGTTGCTATAGTACTCTTGAGTCCTAGGACTGCTAAGAGGAGATACGAGAATTGAGAACGCATTTTGTCAATGTTAACTTCATGTAACCAAAATGAAATTTCAATATGAGATTGTGAGAAATAAGTTAAGAAAGATTCACTAAATAAAATATCCGGGGACCCCTCTTTATGAACGCATCATTGCGAAGCAAGCCAAGAATGGCCAAGAGATCTTCTCGGTTCCAGTCACAGACCAGGAAGGAGCTTGATTGAATTGTGCCTGATATGCAGATTGGATGGGAAGAAAAGCAAAGTTTATTGCAGAATTCCGGGGTTGTGGTGGGTGGAGACAAGGTGGATGGGTAATGCCGTGCTGGTATAGTGAAAGGTCGACTTGACACGCGTGAGAAACTTATCTATGGACGCTAAGATCTGTAATATAAAACACAGCTACACGGCAGCTATAAGTGACAACGGAAAAAGTCCTGCAATGTGGAATCAACCGTTCCTAAGCCTGATGAGCTGTGCTTCACGGACACCTATCTGCTCCATAGAGAAGTACACCTTCTTGCGGACACAGCTTTACAGCAAGCATGCACGAGCTTGCGCAATCAATACCTAGGTACATCTCAACCACGAAGGTTTAGATGACGTGCGGGGGAAGTGGATTTACAAGCAAAAGACGGCAGTCCTTGGCTGCAGGAACTGCACCTGCATAGCAACCGAGAATCGACCCGGCATCGAGAAAACAGCCAGAAAACGTGCTGCGTTTATATGTTGGCATTAGCCGATACCTAAGATGTCTCGCTATTGACGGATTGGTACAAGGTAAGTATACAAGGAATTGATGGAACAATCACGTACTGCTATTGGGGAGAGGTGTATATGCCAATACTCTTGATGTTGGCAGTCGTGCCTCGTAGGAAGTGGCCTCGGAACAAATTTGTCATTGGCGGAGGCTGGCAAGTCGACAAATTGGAGAATAACATGGAGAAAGAACGACAGGATGAAGGCAAGAAATCAAAATTGAAGCGGCAAAGATATTCCGTTCCAATTCAATATAAGTAATTGGTTTGTCGTTTTGCTTGTAGAAGAATCCATGGATAAGAGCTTCCAGGGGACCTTGGCGCGATGGATTCAGGGGAGATAAGCGAACATTTCTTAGACAATATTTATAACTCGTGATTCGCTCACAAAGGTGTGGTAGCCCGGGCCCGGGCCCCACCGACCTTAGCCACACGAGGCTGGAATACAACCTGGAAGGTACCTATAGCTACCCCAGATTTTAAAAATACCTAGGTTTTGTTGATCGTTGATTCTTTCGCCCGCCACCCATTCAGATTGCGGACAGAGATGCCGCTTTTTGATATTCCTCTCCCGGCCCCAGTACGTCGGTCTATCACCTCGCGAAAATATGCCCTCGACGGTCCGTCGACAAAAAGGAAGCGGAACAGAGTGTCTTCCGAGTCCTCCTCCAGCGACGATGATCTCAACCTCTCAGCAAACAATGACGACTTGCTCGTCCAATCCACAAACCCGTTGAGCTTGACGCCAGATGAAATAGCTCAATATCGTTTGGCCGGTCTTTCTTTGAACAAGCAATTACCGCAAGCGAAAGGTCTCGTCGATTGGCCTCATCGAGGTTTTGCGGCGGAGGTTGAGTTGCACAACACGCAGGATGAGGGAAAATCTGGAGCCGGAGAGCACAGCGGAGGAGCAACACGCAGTGTTGAAAGTGATTCACAAGAAAAAAATGGCGATGAATTCCATGCTTCCCAATCTATACGGACACCCCATGGCCACCGGCTCCGGCTACAACATCTCAATGTCTTGACAGCAGTGGTTCATAAATGTCTGCTAGAAGGCGATATCCCACGAGCCACCCGGGCGTATTCTCTATTGATTCGGTCGGAGCCTGCTGGTAAAGCTCTGGATCTCAAAACTACCGGGTACTGGGGAATAGGTGCAGAATTGCTGGTACGGAGCTCTCAGCAAGGAAAGTCGAACAAGTTCCATCATATCTATGATTCAAATTCCGATTCCGATTTGGATGATGATACAGAGAGGGTACACAACACCAATACCGAGAAAGATATCGGTGCAGAGGGCAAAACATGGGGATCAAAGCAAGGCTTTGAATTGGCAAAATCATATTATGAGACTTTGATCATTCAGTATCCTTACAAAAAGCAGAATCATGCTTTTGTCAGTTCGCTTGATTTTTGGTCAGCTATGGCTGCATGCGAAATTTACGGCATCCAAGCTGAATATCGCAAGGGCTTTGAGAAGCTACCTGAGAGGTACGACTCTGAGTCGGCTACCTCCTCGGACAACGACAGCGACCGAGAGGATATATTTGCTGATGCCCACGAATATATCGGAGGCTCAGTAACCGGATCTCCGACAGCTTCAAATTCTAAACAACGGGCTCGGAAGTATCACAAAATGGATAAGATATGGGTACAAAAGAGCAACATTCGTGTCTCAGCGCTGTCCGCTTCAGAAGCGCTATCAGCCCGAATGGATGAGATAATGAGCCGTCCTCCGTTTGACAGAGATAGATCTATGCTTCGCTTACGGGGAATGCTGGGCTTGTATATTGGGGACTTGAATGTTCCTGTAAAGCCGGTCGAGCCACCTGAGGGCGATGATGATAGAGAACGAAGATTTCTTTTCCTACAGCGTAAGAGTGAGTATGAGCGCGGGGTGATCAGGAAGCTAGAGCTCTGGGAAAGTACTCGAAAGGTCTTCGACAAATGTAGAGCAGAAGGCGGGCCGGACATCGACTTGGACAACCTCTTACAAAGTGAAATAGTCGAGGAGGAGAATTTGGATCAAATTGAACAACATTCGCCGGATGAATACACGGAGGATTAAGACGATTGATATGAAATTCGCTGAACGCAACGCTACGCTATGCTAATGTACGCCGAAATGCAATATCAAACCACATTAGGTAAGTCTCTTCGTCCACATCATGACCTTTGCGTCCCCGCTAATTGCAACATCCTCCAGAGTCTCCCTTTTCCACATCCCAGCTGGCTTCTCCTTTCATGCACTGTAAATGCTCCAATCGATGCCTGCAACATCGGCATAGCAGCCACTGACGGCGGCAAAGGGATGCTCCACCCCAGTGCTTTCTGCGCACTGTGCTAGGAGGCTCACATCTGCGCACCCGACGGGGGTAGTTTCCTCAAAGGCCTTCGTGAAGATTTGTACCGCAGGTCCAGCTGGCAGCGTCTTCTCGCAGGCGTAGAATCCTGCTTTGCCGACAGCGCTCAACTTGGAGATGGGATCTGGGAACAAAGCAAGGTTGACACCGGCGGTTCCAGTTCCTGCATTGATGGAGACGCTTTCATCTCCGTTGATAACCACTCCGAATGGGAAAGGCGGCGATCCTCCGTCTGTGAGGATGTTGGAGCGTCGATAGCGAATATCTTCGGCGGTACCATTTGTGTAGAAGGTACGGCCTGACGTGGCGGATGTGTTTGGTACGAGAACCGCAAAAGCTTGACCAGCTCCAGTGTGGTATGATGTGAGGACGTAGTCGTTAATGGAAGGAGTCAAGTCGTTTGCAGTGACGTTGGCAACGAGACGAAAGTCTGCTGCAGACGAGCGAGGTGGGAATATAGGTGATGAGGTTGGGGCGGCTTGGCTAGTAGCGCCGAGAATGGCGATGGCTGTGGCGAGGGTGAAGAACATCTTGATGGTTTTTAAGTTGTTCTTTGGACTTAGAAAGAGCTGTGGTATTTAAAGTTGAATTGTTTTGTTGGTTGCTGTTTTGTATTGAGAAGATTGACTGATGATGTGTAGAAAATGAAGTCAACCACGTCTTATTTATACAAGAAAACTCCTCGTACCCATTTGAAATTTATCATCTCATCACAGCCACCTACGAACATCACCACCATGCATCACACGGGGATTCTTCGTTAAGCTGCGCAAGTCGCCCTCCGCGATATTGATACGAGCTGTTCAGCATCTGTGCTCGACATACACGGCGAATTCAAATACGAGGTCCACAGCCGGTAACCACCAGACTTCCCGCATATGACGATGTGCCACCCCTGACTCCATATTTTAAAGGCAAAATCTTCCGAATTGCTGGGGAAATAAGGTATCCCGCGGAACCAGGGGTTTGTCATTACGAGGTATTGAACGAGGACATATTACTGAACGGTAGGTTGGGATTACTAAGTGCGCCACTTTTACGAGTTGCAGGTGCTTCGCGGGTGGTACCGCATTTAGCCACCACTCTGCAACGGAGGAGCCGCATGCAACTCTATTTTGGCAAATTTCTTGCGTCATTTGATTGGCTATTGTCGTGTCAATAATGGTTAGCTTGGCCCCTTCGTGGATGCTTGATCAACTGTGGTTGTCGAGATGTTTCTTCTGGAACGATCCGTACTAATTTCTAATGGTCCGTTTCTCGAATCTCTATTCGGTGTCATCCGCATAACTTATCCATTATGTTTACGAATTTTTACCAATAATATTTCTACACTCCCTTCGACTCAAATAAAGGGTTCAGAAGCGTGTGCCGAATAGACCTCTATGACGATAAACCTAAGTTGATACCATAGAACAAGTATTACATAGCTACCTACCTATCGTTCTTGAAAAAATAAATTCTAGAGATATTTCGCTATCGTTGCTGCGCCATAAAAAGATGTACTTCCAATGTGGTGGGCGGCTAAATTTTCCTAGCTGTGTTGCAAGAATACGAGAAATACGACACCATGCGTGTAAGCACATAGTGAGAGTGCCCAGTAGATGACCGTTATGCTACAAAGCTCATAGCGAGGGCACCTCTTCAGTACCTTCACAGAGTTCTCAAATTCTTTGTTATTCTGTCCTCCCCACCTGACAACTGTACCTTCTGGGTTTCAGGGGCGTCGTCCCGACCTACCTACTCGCCATCGTCTCAGCAAAACACGGGACTGCCATCTCGTGAGTCGCGGTGGTTGTGTTGCATCAACTTTCCTCCGAACATAGCACAACCTTTGAATGTGAGTCTAGGCAGGCTCGAGCGTGTGCTGGACGCTCGGCAAAGCTAATTTCATTCTTTCTCGGAGTTTGGAAGGCACTACACTTGGAAATTATAATAGAGCATGGTACGCATTGTAGATTATTAATTATTTGACCCTGTCGTAAAATAACTTTCAAATTCCCGTATAATCGACGGTCTTCAACTACTCTTAGGAAGCTTCTTTGATACATGTACCTCGTCGTTCTAACACTCGCTGTTTATGAATGAGTGTTATGTTACTGTTACTTCACAGCAGACCACTACTACGATAGTGTTTTCCTGAATCGTTTGCCATTTTACAAGTGAAATTTATAAGAGACAGAAAGTATGAAGTGGGAGACAGTACATCTGAGGCTTCATATATATGTATCATCTTTGCGAGCTGTACGGACTTCACCTAGGTATTTGCATATGTAGACGGGGTCACCAGAATACAAACAAATTATTACAATGATTTTTCTCGAATACAGAGTAAGAGCATTTCTTGGAGTTTTCTGAGGTCGCAAATTCCCACACTTTTGATGGACGAGACTCACATCACATTGTCGTCGAACAAACAGTATTATGGCGAAACAAACACTTTAAACCTCTGGGAAAAGGCTTGACTGAAACAAACTGGACCCCACTAACAGTGTGCCTGTATTTTAGCACAAAAGAGGAACCACCGCATGCCAAAACCAAATACTCTAAGATTCTTTTCGATTTTCGAAACGGCAAAAGCTGACAGCAACACCACCAGTGTCGTCCTAGTCTCTAAACAGGTTTCCCCGTTTACTTTGTTAGGATGAAATTTGACTGACCATTGGGATGGTCCCAGTCTCTACGGGTAACCCCAATATTTGTTTGAGGGCACTTTTTCTTTTAGGATGCCGATTTGACGTTGTTGCCTTCGTTTTGTCGAATTGATTCCCGCATGAATCCGGAGCCCTTTTTGATTGGGCGGGATAAATTGGCGATTTGGACTTTATAAAGTTAGGAAATGTTGGAATGTGGCGGGAAAGGGGGATTTGGTGAATTGGGTGAATGAGGCCTGGTAGAAAACTTACAGATAGACCGTGTCGCCAATTCAGTTTGCAACCTTTCATGAGCTGCGTTTCCATATTCCGTTAACATTACGTACATCACACTTACTTGAATCTGCTAGTTGGTACCGCGATTATAATCCTTCACGGCCTCGTTAATTGGTATGGTGAGCGGGTCATATCACCGAGCTCGGGTAGTAGTGTATAAAGTTGGGGATCTGAGATATATCTTCGTCATAGCTTCAAGATAGGCTAAAAGTAGTTAATACCCAAGCGGACATGCATGGAACTCGACTTTTTCCTCTCGAGACTGTTTATAACTGTTATGACCAGCTGATGTAGACAACGGAACCTTTAGGTAACTAGGTAACAATCTGTCACAGTCTCAATCAGCCTTGTGGATCGAAACTGTACTACCACAGTATCTGTAGTAGCAAAGTGTTATAATTAGAAGTATAACACTACTTGTATGACGTAGTCATATTGGATGGCCAATATTTATAGAAGTAGACATTTTGAACCCCTTCTGAAGTGAAGGTGATTCTCAGAGTCGGAAACCCATTTTCCCAATACGGTCGAGATTCTTTTCTGATCCTGTTAATTAGATACGGAATAAAAGCCCCAAGCGAATTCCCAAGGAATTGCCTGGGAAACGTTCCTACCTCATGAAAGCAGGGTCTTTAAGGAATTTATGTGTACTTAATTAAGCTTTGAGATGACACAGAAATAATGAGTAAGCATTATGTTTCACGACCTATAAACATGAACTGTCGCAGAAATTCTATGTATGTATTGCCCTTTCTAGATATATGCTCTCTAACAAACACACATCACTTCAACCCAGCCGCCAGCTCGTCAATGTTTCTCGAAACAGCTTCCATAGGATCGAAAGTGGCCATCTCAGCCTCCAGCTCCTTAGATCGCTCTTTGTACTTTGGATTCTTAAGGATCTCATCAACAGCAGTACTAATAGCTTCAGGAGTTGCAGTCCCTGTTCTCAAGTTGATACCGACACCAGCCCATTCCGCTCTTGCCGCGACTTCTGGCTTATCTTCAGTAGCACCCGCGACGACAACTGGTGTACCGTTGGAGAGAGCATGTTGAAAGCCTCCGTAACCTCCATTGGTAATAAAAACGGAACACAGTGGCAATAACTCGTCAAATGGGATGAAATCCGAAACAAAGGTATTCTTGCCAACAGGAATACTCGCGTCAAGAGTTGCGCCCTTCTTTCCAAGAGCGACCACCAAAATAATATCTTCGCGGTCCTTGAAAGCTTCGATAGCCGGAATTGTAAGATCCGAATAGTTCAAAGCGACTGAGCCTTGGGAGACAGCCACAACTGTTTTGCCTCCTGGATTGACAATTTGGTCCCACCAGCTAGGTTTCTCGGTAAAGCCAGCTCGCTTGCCTTTGGGAAGTCCTCCAGCAAAATGGATGCTTGCGGGCGCGTCGGATCGTGGGTATTCCGCTGAAGGTGTGCACATTTGCAAGAATCGGTCAGGTGCAAGATACATCAAATCGAAGAAGTGCTTTGTAGGGGTTGCGGCGCCGGTCTCTTCGACCACACCCGCGAATTTCTTTTGTACAGGAGCGGCCCATCCCTCGTACACTGACTTGACCATTGCTGCGTTGCGAATTCGGCCTTCAGGCGATGAATCACTAAATAATCTTCCATTAGCAAGGTTCTCTTAGAAATGAGTACAAGAAAAAGTAAGAGCTGTCAGTAATGGGTGCCCGATACAAGTGATTCTGTCTGGAGATGCAAACCGAGTTATGGAGAGTGACAGACTACACCAGAAGCAACAACTTCATAATTAGAGAAAGATTTTACTTACGGTGGGAGACCAGGACCAAAGGCAGGAAGATCAATGCTCGACAAGCAGATTGGAATAATACCAATACCAAGTGTTCCTGCTGGCTTGATCCCCTTCGCACCAAGCATGATAGGGAGTGCTCCCATAAACACAGACTCATTAACCTGAACAATCGGGCGTCCAGGGTATTTCTCCGTCATGCTTTTCATAGCTCTTTGAAGTGCTTCGTATTGAGAGGATATACAATTGACAAAAGCGTGCTCAAGATCATAAGCCAACTGCTCTGGCCCAGGAGGAAGCTGATCTCTCGCCGCAAATTTGGTTTTGAGATCTCCTTCATAAAGATCACCATATCCTAAGATAGGAACAAAGGTTGCTCCAGACTCTTCAACAAAACCCTGGTAGTGATTTGAGCTAACCCAGGTTACTTCGTAGCCTCTTTCGACGAGATCTGTGGCGATGGCACGAAGTGGTGACATATGTCCGAAATATGGTGTGCATCCTATTAGGACTAGAGGTCTCTCGTTGGAACCCATGTTGATTGTGGTAAGATTTTATTGAAGTTTTGTTGGAGAGGGAGAGAGGATGAACAAGGGAAAGAATGTTTAACAAATAATCATAATTGATGCTCTGCTAGCAGTCTCTTAAATACAACCCATAGCCTGCCTCCTCGACCGCTTAGAAGAGAAGACCCACCCAGATAAGCTCTTTTGGGCGCCGTTGCTGACTGCATTGGAATTATTGTAAAAGAAGTTGGGAAACAGGGTCTCAGCTGGATGTCCAACAAGGGCATTCAAGCTGACAAGGAATATGGAGCTAGATCCCTGCGTGGAGCTCCTTGATTACTACTGGTAGCATGAACGACGAGACCAATAAAAAGATCAAGGCTCATGAAAAAAATATCAGTTGGATTTCAACCCAGCAATGTATAATGCAGGGAAGATATGGCTTTCCGGTTGAGAGCCGTTACTTGTACGTATGTCTAGCAATGTACGTCAAAGATCTTTAGCATGGCGATCTAGCCAATAGGAATTTGAGTGTTGGTCCTATGTTGGAGCCAACGCTCAACTAAGCAAGACTTCGGTTAGCCCTAAATTATTGACCTCGGGAGTTCAGCTTGTGCGCTTAGGATGATGGTTGGTTCCAACTGTTCTCGGAGCTACGAAGTAATTAATCTTATCCGCTAATTGTGAGAGAATGGCGTATGACTTACGTACATTATCATTTTAGCAATAATAGAGGTGATTACCGCTTGGCAATATATCGTGAGCTTGTGTTGTCTTCTTGATACCTATCAGATTGCAGACAAATTTCCAATTCTGCTGTCTGCAACATCTAGGTGGAGCTAGGAATCAGTTGGTGCTCAAACCGCTTTAAGCTTTCGATGTTATCTGTGCAGTAAATCGATTTGGAGTCGTCATAAAGAAACATCAGGGGTCGAATTGCAATGAACAACTTCTGGGCACCAAATCCGCCAAGGCAGCCCACAAACTGCAAGGAAAGACTCCCTCCTTGGGCAAGCTAGCTCATATTCCAACGTATGGTTAACAAGTAATATTCTTGAGCCTCTTTCGAACCTTTAGGACTTTGTGGCAGTAGCTACGTCAAGGCGCTTTCAACCCGCTTTGAAGTGCAGAAACGACTTCCACATTGAAAGATTTTCTCGGCCATACTAGTCGTGATTGACGCACACACTTGTTTTCCCACACAAGAACCAACAAGACTTGATCACTCGATTCGTAGTTTGAAGTGTAGAACAGGGTAACTTGCGGTCTGGCGTGGGGGCTCAAATGAGCTGCATGAGACGTATGCCCCTACTGCGCCTTACAAGGCGACTGCATGCCTAGACTCTCATCGGTCAGAAGCTCCAGTAGCCTCATTATCATCGAGTGATAGACTAGTAATCATGTACGTAGAGCAAAGTTCTGTTCAATTGAGATGCAGCTCATAGAAAAGAAAGCGACAGATCAGCACGGCTAAAGAACTTGAATTCAGAACTCAGAAAATGCATTGAACGTAGTCCAGCACAACTCAGCGGCCCTTGTGCGTTTGTATGCCCATGCTATTGTACGACCTGGGCTCTTTTCTCTTACATGAGCGAATACTCAGTAACATGCTCGATCCGAGCGAAACGAAGGTAAGAGAATTCCGCGTCTCAACTGACCCACGCAGCTGCGTACCTTACAAAAGACAAAGCTCCGAGTCACCGCTTCGCTGGCGACGGCGGATATCATATTGATTGGGCGAAACGTACCTGCATTGCGAATTGCTACGAGGACATGTTTGCTCAAGTCGTATTCGTGCTCATGCAGGAAGCCGTAAAAGAACGGTCAGCATGAGCGCAGTGTGCAGGTCTTCGCCGCAATGCTGAACGAAGCACTGCTACACTGGTGAGAGGTCTTCGGCTTGCTCCGGATCTTTGCGATTGATGGAGTTGGAGTTGGAGATGGAGATGAAAAGGGAAAGAATAGAGAAATGATGAGTAGGTGTGTGATTGATTAGGATTTCCTGGGCACATAATTGTGGTGACCCTTGGATTCGGCTCTCGCTTCGGGCTCAAGAAACACCAAAACATTTCGAGAACTCGTCATCCCCTGAAATCCCACGTGCGTTACACATAAATGATACCTAGGTAACCCAAGCTGTGAAGGCTGGAATAATCTGACGTATCACTCACCCAATGCGGGGAAATTGTTTGCTTCACAACAAACACCTCTAGGCAGCCTCACTTCTCCTTAGTTCTACGCCCGCCGTGATCCTGCAGATATAAGGCTGTGCAATGAGTAAGACGAGCGATGTGGTGATTCGTATTGTGATTGTGGGGTAAGCTGCACATCTGATTCCTATTGGGAATTATTTTGAAACTCGGGCGGGGTGGAGACTCTTACAATTGTGATATGTGGGATGGGTGGTGTATATATACTCGATTCTACCCTTGAGGTCAATTGGCTTATCAAGTCTATCCCCAAACCAAGCCTTGACATATCCAAAAATAAATCATCTCCCCAATTCTACCTTTATATGACTAAATAAATTTCACCCGAAACCCAACTCATATCCAAACATCACCTAACAACTATCACCCTCAATATCTCACCCCATCACCAACACAACTACACAAACCCCTCAAAATGTCAACCCAACCAACACCCCTCATCAACCACTGCTGCGGCTACTGCTGCAAAGTCGAAGAATACGGATCCCATGATCTTTGCGGTTGGTGCGAGGTCACCGATTGTCTATAATGCCTCTCATCCGGCGGTTAAACGAAGTCCGGATGGACAGGAATAGAAGGGTATATTGTGTTTTCATCTAGGAGTTTTGCCTTTCGGACTTGGTTTTGGAAACTCTTTTATGGATGGCGATATGTTTGGATACCCATGAACAATTTGAGCGAAGCGCTGGATGAAGGACCAGGGCAGGTGTGATGGGATACCCGGATGCGAATGAGTTGAATTTTTCCGGTGTTTGGGGTATTGGGGAACAGGCTTGAGGATGTTTTTTGTTTTGGATTTAGGTGCCGTCAGATTGCAAGGCACATCACAGGAATAGGTTAAACAATTGTGCCATTCCATGCAAACATAACCTTCCCAACGCCTTCCGCATGTGATGCGTCTAACAATATACAACGGTATACATATTTATACACTCCGACATACTTGATAATACAAGTCGCTCCGCAACTCACTTCTTACCCTGCTTAACCTTCACCTGTGTAGGTCTCGTATCCTCCAACGCCTTACTCTTCTTAGCAACTAATTCCTTCTCCATATCCGGACTGCTGAACTCCAATTTCGCCTGCATAATCATCATGTCGTCCATGGCATCCAATTTGTTCAGCGTCCTTCTCATAAAACTAACGATCATCGCCAGTTTGACGATATCAACATCTTCTGATGCTTTGAACACATTTCTCCATAGGGCACCAGCGAGCACGGCATCGTTCTTTGCTAAACCCTCGTCGTAAGCGGCGAGCACGCCGCGCCATTGGACGAATACATCTTTCAGGTATTTATTGCGCGTCCCGCGAGCGTGCATACCGTGGCTGACAGCCATTTTATTCTCCATATCGTAGAAGAAGTGATCGAGGAGATGTTGTTGCCAGATTCGACAAACGTCTGGTTCGAAACAGCGGAAGCGGGAGGACAGGATGTAAATATGGAGCATGGTTACTTGGGACCAAGTGCTGAAAGTCGGTTTTAATCCCAATTCTAATAACCACAATATTAACAATCCATCCCTTGCTTCGATTTTCAGATAGAAAGTAGCTTACCATCATGCCACCAGCCCCCACCAACCCCTAAATCCTCTCCGTCTTCTGTCTTCGGTACCTCTGCATTATCTTGTTTTGCTTGTGGAATTGAATAATCGGCCTGTCGAGAGCATTCTTTGTAAAGAAGCTCAGTGGCTCCGTATGCTGTATATGTCTCTGTTATTCCTCCTACTTTCCTATTCTGAAACGCGGCTGCGTGAGCGCTTTTCTCTGCTGCGGAAAGAGGTTCGGGGGTCTTTGTACCGCCTTCTGCGCGTTTGGGTGTTACAGGTGGAATGGAAGAAGCGACTGTGGCATTTGGTTCGGGAAGCTCGATAGACTTCCGTGGTGTTGTTGCAAACGTTCTGACTGTAGGAAAAGTAGCCTTCCTAATCTGAAATAGAGTTAACTCTGATCGATGCTCGACATTTGAAGATCTGACCTGGGGAATTGTTCGAGATTGTCTTTGAATCGCACGTAGGCAGCTTCCACAGGTTTTGGAAGCCATTGTCGTTACGGGACTGATATAAATGCTTTCCTCTCTTTGAAACGAAGCTCTATCATGCGGCTGTCATAGATGTCATGATACTTTTCCGACAGGGTTGTCTCGGGAACAACTATGATCCGGTATTCAAGACGCGGGACCCCACTTCATTCTTGAGATTACGAAGTACAACTGCGTCTTGCGAACCAGAAGTCCTACCTGTAGTTTTTCTTTGGGCTGTTTGGTTATACTTATTTCCGAGTAACTTTATCAACTATACACTGTATAATCAACCTATCCACAATTACCCAAAACATGCGTAGAAAGAGACCAGCCATCATCGAGTAAATCGCTAACAAATCCCCCCCAGAGAGACAAAAGACCTACGCGATACCAGAGTGCCAACAGCTGGGACCTAAAAGTTGAAACTACTTGTCTTCTTATTATTATATACTAACGTCCATATATGAAGGTAAATCGCGAAACGCCTAAACAACCATGGTATCTAATGCTCAACTCCCGCAACCCTGCCGTAACAAGTGCCCTTGAAAGGAATCCATACCACCCATCCAGAGAACCTATGCCATACTTAAAAATACCGCTGAAATACTACTCTTATCGTATTTGACATACTTTCCTTTACCCTTGTCTACCTCATGATATCTATCCCAGAACCTCGAGTATAACGGCTCGATCATCTGCCGTATTTGTGTTCCCATAATCTCCCTAATCTCCCTTTCCATATGAGTGCTCTTATGTTTCGCGACCAAATCATCAAATGTAGTATTAAAAATGCGGAATTTCTCCTTTATGACATCTTTTTCTTTACTGGACATGCCTTTGAGAACAGCAGCAGAGTCAATGGCAGCAGCTGACCCAGAAGGCGGGCGTTGGGAGGTACGATTTGTATAGGTTACGTCCATCAGGTTCCGAGATACTTCTGCCCATGGTGTGGTGTAGAATTTCTCGCCCTGCTTGACCCACTTCTCAATCGATGGCAAGCGGCCCTGAAGCATGGGTGCGAGGTCGGAGTTGCGGATCATACGGTCTACGACCACTGCGTTGTTTGCAAGAAAAATCCCAAAGACTGGTCTTCCTCTGAGCAGAGGCTTTGCTTTGACCTCGAGAGTATTGAAAAGAGTGTCGATGGTATCGATACAATACTTAGCGAATATGAGTTTGCCGTCTGCTGAAACGTCGAAAGATTTCAATGTTGGAATTTGGTCAGAAGAACTGGCGGCTGATATATTCGTTCGCCAGCCTCCGTCTCCTACAGAAATCATGATGCCAGTGATAGGACGCAAGAACTCGACCATGGTCTGAAGTCTCGTCACGGTCTCCGTGGTGATTGGGACAGGAGCCCCGTCTTGGGGAAGAGTTTGTAATGCGTTGATGCGACGCCGCGTGTCTTCCAGGAGTTCTCCCAATGATGCTTTGGCGGTTTCCTTAACCGGCTTCAACGCGGCAGCGAAGGATGGCTTTAACTCTCCTGTCCTGGTCTCTAAATCGGAGGATAACGTAGAAATAACTTCAACGATCTCATAAGCTAAAAAGCAATCTGTCGGAAGATTGTTTTTGATGTGTGTATTGAGTTCCCGGATTGTTCTTGCGAGTTCGGAAATGGCGCCCTGGCAAGTTAGATTAAACACTTTCTTCCACTCATCTCGCGAGAAAAGAGCGCATATATTATCGTATTCAGCTAAAAATGCACCCTCCATTCCTTTCGCGTATGTTGCCATTCCGTTGGTGCCTCGTCGATAAATCGCATCCGCATTCGTTTTCCTTGCAGTATTGACAGACGCTGATGCTAGATTTTGCAAGGTCTGGGTGAGATAAGGACCTCGAACATTGGCATAGGCCTGCAAAATTGGAGAATCTCCGGTTCGATTCTGCCGTGACACTGCCGCAATATGCGAGCTGATGAGACCTAGCCTAGTTGTTTTGTCCTGGGAAAGCATGGGGAACGGCTTGTCTTTTGTAATGAAATACAATGGTTCCACTTTCTGAGAGTCCTCCTGAAGCAGTCGCTGGAAATGGCCTTCCAATTGTGTGTTTCCAGCTTTCATCAACCTGCTAAGATCAGCAGCAGCCTGTTGGTTCGATCGTAGATTCGTCTGCTGCATCTGAGCCAGAGCTTGACTGACACGCTTTACCGAGCCTAGGAACGCAGACAGTCCGGCCTTTTCTGGCCTACATATACGTCAGTATGGCTTTCCCCACTTGTGAGTGATGAATACAGACCCTCTCCTGATGATTTCTTCTTCATTGCTCTTGATGTCTGATGGTTGGCGGATCCGGTCAATTGCGGTTAGGATACCATCGATATCTGAATGTACTTAGTAGCTATTACAAGTATGGAGATTTTTTCACTCACTGGTGCCAATAATCTGTAGTTTTTGGGTGTTTCCATAAAGAGGCCCAACAGCATCTTGGACACTTTTACCGGAAGCCTCCAGACGACCCAGCGACGCTTGTATCTTCTTGGTCAATTGACTAGTCTTTTCGAGCCTTGAGTTGAGGACTTCCACCTCTGCACGAGCTTCTTCATCCGCGGCGTGCCTTGAACCTAATGATATTGCCATTTTTTGTCGTTGTCTCCAAGAGTTCCATTCGGAAGCATATTCGTGCTCCATCGTCACCAAGACGTTGCTACACCTGAGCGGTCAGCGCCCCTCTCTGTTTCTGGACTAGCTCTCAGGCAGTAAGGTCAGGGATGCGCCTTGCCGTTCCCAAGAAACATTTGCGAAAATACGGGTCGAACGGTGGACGGCGCAGCGTAGAAGTGGAGGTTGGCGATGTCAATCGAGAAATCGCATGAATAATAGATCGTTCTGTTTGGAAGGCGATGACTGCTCGAGGACTCGAGGAGGAGCTTTTTGTCGCGAGTGAAAACTATTGAAAATGGAAGAGAGTGTTCTTGGACCTACTTGTACGGAGCAGTACCTGGTTCTGTAGTTCCAATTTTGACCGTGGTCCAATGAAAATGGTAGGACAGCAATCACATGAGTGAATGTTCCATCGGCCTGGACACTTTTGCAACTTTGCAGCTACAGTACCCAATGGAGACGATGCTTTATCTACGTTAGCTGTGTTCTTGACTTTAAGGGCGAGTCTGTACTCCGTAAGTACTTTGTATCATATTACGATGAACGGACGGGGGGAGTAGGTACGGGAGCTGCTGCAAGGTACCTCGGAGCCCCACCAGGAAGCTATTACTATTCCACGATTCTGGACCCGGAATATTTAGGTAGACAATCAACAAAAAAAGACAGAAATACTCACAAATAGTAGTTGTGGAATATTTATAAATTCCCTAAAAATAATAATTAACCTTAATCATTTCCCTCTCTTTACAAACACACGGGCAAAACATCCGCTTCCAATATGGACATTTCCCGGTTTCTTTCCATTCCCGGCGCCCGCGCGACGCGACGTCACCAGCCACACCTCGAGCCACACCCGTCACATGGAAAAGCGCCAACTTCCAACTTTTTGTTATCAGACCAATTTATTTCATTCGCCCAAGCCATGGCCCATGCTATCTGGTCCCGTACTCAAGGCCATTGAGCCTCTTAATTAAGCTTCTTCCTCTCTTTTTTCCCTTCTTCCATCATGCCTCTCTTTCGTCAGTCGAGGAGGGTACTCGGTCCCAAGCAATCCTTCGCGAGAGATCCTTACCTCGTATATTCACGAGCACGATGGCGCGCAGAGTCACGCCGGACACCCTTTCAAGAAAGAGAACTTTTTACCAGGAGATCTAAGCCCACGACAAAGATGTCCAAGATCAACTCGACCCTTATCGGAGCGACCTCCCTGATCATTGGAGGTGGCCTTTTTTACATCCTCTTTATCAACGATTATGTCCAACCACTTCCTGCAACTAGGCTGCGCAGTGAGATTAGAGCAGATCGCTTGAAAGCAGAGGCTCAAAAGAAGAAGGACGAAAAACTCGCTGCGGGCAATGCTCAGCAGTTATCCGCACTGCCGTTTCAGCAAGATGGAGACCCGTCAATTAACTCGTCCGAAGATACTGCATGGGGGTCATTTACTGCAAATTTTGCCCTCTTTTCATCTCTTACCAATCAGTGGAATGCTGTAGCCGGAAAATTGGTAGACGCTGTCTTGCCTGAGTGGGCAAAGCTACTCCCGGAAAACATTAGCAAGCTTCAGCGTGAGCTTTCCATGGCTCCTGGCTCGTTGGCGGACGACATCTGGAAAGAAGCACATGATCCGTATATCAATCCTGAGATTGAATACTCAGCTTCTGTCAGAGTATCGTCAGAGCTTTGTGACGAGGAGAAGGACTTTTTACAGAAAAGGAAAAAGGTCACAACAATGGCGCTCGCTAGATATCTTGGGATTCCAACAGAAGAAGTACATCCTGATGATGTGCCTACAATCGCTATGGTGGGATCGGGCGGAGGTTTGAGAGCACTTGTTGCTGGCACCGGGTCACTCCTGGCGTCTGCTGAGGATGGCCTATTTGACTGCGTCACCTATACTGCCGGTGTATCAGGGAGCTGCTGGCTTCAATCACTGTTTCATTCATCCATTGGTGGTCGACGACTTGATAAGATGGTGGATCATTTGAAGGCACGGATAGGTGTACACATCGCCTACCCACCTGCTGCGCTTGGTTCTCTTAACCAGGCTCCGACGAATAAATTCCTACTGAGCGGTTTTGTCGAAAAACTGAAAGGTGACCCAAACGCTGAATTCGGCCTGGTTGATATATATGGTCTTCTTCTAGCAGCAAGACTACTGGTCCCTAAAGGCGAAATAGGCGTTGATGACAAGGACCTCAAGATATCCAATCAACGTGATTTCATCAAGCACGGGGAACATCCAATGCCAATTTATACTGCCATCCGCCACGAAATACCAATAGACGAAGAATCTTCAGAACTGGAAAAGGTGACCCAAACGCCCTCTGAAGAGACCAAAGAGAGGGCTAGGCGGGAGGCGTATTTCCAATGGATGGAAATAACACCTTATGAATTCTTTTGCGAGGAATTCAACGCTGGTATTCCCACATGGTCACTTGGCCGGAAATTCGATGGTGGAAAGGACGTTCCAGCGGATGAGACTGGGGCATACTTACCGGAAATTCGGTTGCCCTTGTTGCTTGGAATCTTTGGAAGCGCTTTTTGCGCCACTCTTTCCCATTACTACAGGGAAATCAAACCTTTGGTTAAAGGCATGACTGGATTTGGAGGAATCGACGAGATGATCGAGGGCAGAAATGATGACTTGAGCAAAGTTCACCCGATCGACCCCGCAACAATTCCTAATTTTGTATACGGCATGGAAGGCCATTTGCCAGATACAACGCCGGAGCATATCTACAAGGACACCCATCTGCAACTCATGGATGCTGGAATGTCGAATAACCTTCCTATCTATCCGCTTTTACGGCCAGGTCGTGATGTTGACATTTTGATAGCCTTTGATGCATCCGCTGACATCAAGACCGAGAATTGGTTGTCAGTCGCAGATGGGTATGCGCGTCAGCGAGGTATTAAGGGCTGGCCTCTTGGCGTTGGATGGCCGAAAGAATCAGTCTCCCCAGAAAGCGCAGTGAAAGAGTTAGATGATGCGGAAAACAGCACACAAGCTGAGTCAGAAGCCAAGATAAATGAAGCAAAAGAGGAGCAGATAAAAGATGCAACAGAGTCTAAAGAGCCCACTGACCTTGGATATTGCACTGTCTGGGTAGGCACAACGCAAGAAAGATCGGCTTCCACTGACGATGTCCCGTCGAAAGCCGTTCAAGAGGATTGGGAATTGATGAAGCCAGATGCTGGTATCGCGGTTGTTTACTTCCCATACATGGCCAATCCCAAAGTGGAGGGTGTGGATCCAGTCACGAGCGAATATATGAGCACCTGGAATTTCATATACACGCCCGAAGACATCGATAAAGTGATCGCTCTAGCGAGAGCAAACTATGAAGAAGGACGTGAACAGACCAGACGCTGTGTCCGAGCCGTATATGAGCGGAAAAAGAAGAGGAGGCTTGAAGTTGAAAACGCCGCCAGAGAAGCGAGATGGCGGAGGAAAGTTCGCTTGGGGATCGTGGGCAAGAAGGGGGAGGGCGATCATTTCCACTTGACATGATGAACTCTTCCACTTTCTTTCTATGTGTATGAACAGTTTGCGGCGTTAAGGAAACGATGGCTGATAGATTTTGTCACGATCTTATTGGGGTTATTTACTTGGTTTCTGGAATGTAGCTCGAAAAGACCTGCGGCAGATTCGGGAGGTTAGAAAACGCTCTGGTCCAGGAGCGTGGGGCTGACATAGCGTGACAGTTTTTTTGTGTCTAATTGCCACCACTGCTTCTGCTCGGGAGTGTCAAAGTGTACTTAGCGGTTCTATTCAAAGTTCGAAGAGTCCAGATGCAAGATGCTCAAGTTGAAAGTCCACAGAATAATGCAGTGATGTCCCTCCCGCTCCTCTGTCGGAGCGGAAAGCCCACCAATGTTGTACCAAAGTGTCTTACAACAGGAGAGACATTTTTGCATGAGACTAGTGTATCTAGACGTTTCGGTGCATATTCTTCTCTTCGCATCGCGCCATCAGCGATTACGACGTGTCCTCGTCAGTGCTTTTCCTCTTTTGGCGCAAGGCTCGAAAAAGGAATGCTTCTTCTCTAGGGCGGCTCGGACTGGCTCGAGGCGAAGCGTCCCGGGTGCTCGTATTTGGGAGAAACAGCGACTCATTGCGAAACGGTAATATATCGTGATCTTCGTTCCTGACTAGTAAAAGGATTTTGATGAAATTATATGTATGTAAAAGAAGTCAGACAGACATGTACGTGACAGGTGTGATTTCAATAGCGCAGGGAAGCATTTCACATGCGATGTTGTGCGACCAAGTAACCGTAGACCCTGACGCCAAAATGCTGTCAGCTAATCAGACGCCGTCATGCGTGTACGAGAGGGTACCGGGCCAAAAGACATCAATGTTGAAGATCGCATCATTCTGCTATTTCGGCTCCCTCTCCCTCCCTCTCAGAATCCGGTTATCCATCTGCATCAATGGCTGGGCAGACGAACATGCAACAATGGCCGGCAAACATGTCCCATCCTCGCCTTTGTTGGCGTTGCGGCGGGTCACCAATCCTCTGACGCTCTGAGCTCGAGATCCAATATATCGCCTAAAACGGATTGTTTGTTGCAGACTGGCAGGATTGTAGGCAGCACGCTTTCGGAGTGAATGAGGTTTGTATTCAGCCTCTACGAGCTGCTTTGTACGAGAAGGGTTCCGTGTCTCACCGTTTTCTCTCTCCAGGCCAGGCCAAGCGTACCCGCAACATCACCGCTCTTCTGCTCAGTGCTCGACCACCCCCACCACGACCAACTCCTTCTCCACTCTCTCTCGTACCGCAACGTACTCGGACGCACACCTGGGAACTACATATACAGCCTGGTGCCCCCTCTCCGGTGGAAGAAAATGCCGTCCACCATATAAAAATACGCCCTATATTGTTTTGGAAGCACACGCAATCACGATCGTTAATCTACATTCGTTTTGATCTCCTCGACGAGACCAACCGACCCCTACCACACCCACACACCATCGTCGACCGGATTCCCATGACAACATCCGCCCTATGAATGGATGTATGGTCAATGGAAAGGTGAATTTCTACACGGGCTAGGGAAAACACAATAAAGCAATCCGGGATCCCACAATTATTCTGGAGTCATAACAGCCGGCTCTTTCTTGATTCAACACATCAATTCGTGAATTGTTACTTGTCTCTCTTCTCTATAAAACGACAACTCCTTCCCATCTTGAGCAAGATGGATAGCACAATGTCACCGCCACTGAGCTCGCGATCACGAAGCTCGTCCCTCGATTCTGCCTTCGATGAAGAGTATTTCTCGAAAACCTACGTACCGTTGTCGAATTTACCTACGCCGCCCCCGTCTTCACATTCGAATGTTCCAGGGAGAAGTCAAGATATTGGAGATGCCCTTTTGTATGAGGAGAATCTGGATCCGGATCTAATTGGTACGCATGCATTTTTATGTCCAGAGCAAGGAGGAAGATTTGGCTCGAGGTCTTGATGCCCTGCCTGGCAACGCATTTGGGAGATACAGATATGGCAGACAAGTGTATACCATACTGTCGTTGAAACAATACCGCGCTCAAGAGAGTTGTTCTGTCTTCCCCCATCGTAATTCAGTTTGTCTGAATTGCGCGACAAGCGAGCGGCTTTCTTGGGATATTCGCTGTTTGGAAGTCTCACATCACGACATGTCCAAAATTTCGAGATCATAGATGTCGTGACAGCCTCGGTTTTATCTTTAGGGGGTGTGGGAAGCAAACAGAACTCAGGCTAATGAAAATTATATTAGGTCCCGCAACCCACCTGACGAACCTCATACCCTCCTCAACCTCTCTAACGGCAGCATCCGTTCCGCTCGTCCATTCCCTCCTAGCTAGAGCCAAACTACCACGGGAAACCGTCGCTCTAGCATGCTTAATGCTTGATTCGCTAAACTGCCGTTTTGCCATTCCATGGAGATCAGGATTTCCACTACATGCACCTTTAATTCCATCTGGATTATACTTCTTCAGGGGCCCTGAACAACATATTGATACCATTCACCCCGAGATTATAGTTTTTGCGGCATTGGTTTTGGCAGTCAAATTTCTGGATGACCAACAGCAGAGCACGCGACACTACATGACGGTTTGGGGGAAGGAAATGTGGACATGTGACCAACTCAACTATACCATACAAGCCATTCACGAGAATCTTGGGTACCGGATCCAACCATTATGGAGTGAGGGGATTATCGCGGAGGCTTTGGAGACCATGGATAGAGCTGGCCGTAATTCACAGTTACAACGGGTAAGTTGAGAAACTCATACTGTCTGTCTAAAATATTGTTGCTAATCAAATCTTGTAGGACAAGGAAGTCGAAGACTGGGACACAGACACCTACATTGGTTCCTACGAAAGTACCTTCCGCAGCAGCCCGAGTAGTGGCAAAGCAGTAATCGGAAATGGCTCGTTAATCACACCTCTGGAAACCCCTCGATCGGGTCTCGTTCGCGAAGTCAAAGGTGTACCCAGTCACAGAAATCAAACCGAAAACCAACCGTACGAACCTATTGTCTCTACACCCGACGAGGTCAATCCACTGTTTGAGGAGAGCATGCTTGAATGCTTGGGTTATGGGTTTAGGTAATTTGGATTTGGAGTAGGCTGCAATGACTGTCGTGGAAAACTGGTTATTGATGAGAGGCGTATGTTGCATAGCGCGGCGTTTTATACCATGATTGATGAAACAGTGACAGGATGGGAAAATTTTATTCGTAATTCCTAATGAATATTCATATATCTCTCTCCACAATTGTTCGTCGTCAACTTGTGATAATGGTCTTGATACATGGAGCCAGAGTCACGCGACCACGTGTGTTGCACTGATCGATCACCCCTCACCTAGGCTGCTCAGTCTGCAGGGGCTGAATTATTTCCTACATATGTCTCTTCAGAAGATTGCACTAAACACTCATGAAACAATATAAATAGGACAATATCCATTCAAAATTGTTTTTACCTTTTCACAAATATTGATTCCAAGAAACATCAAAGTCAGTTTCCTGTTTGGTACTGTACACCCCTGCTGATCAAACTCCAGGTCTGATGACGTTGTTGGTCCCGACAACAAATATTCAAGGCCCGCCAAGCATCTTCACAATAATCACTCAGCCTTCCCCCTCAACTCTCAGCTTCCATTCGAATTCATATCCCCCAAACCCAACTTCGAAATGACATCCATCCTCCGTCAAATCGTCGCCGGTCCCCGCAGTCGGCACCCAGAAGCCGGCCTAGATCTCTGCTATGTAACGGACGAAATAATAGCCACCTCTGGCCCGTCTGGCACCTACCCGCAACGCGCGTACCGTAACCCGCTCAAAGACCTCGTTAAATTCCTAGACTACAAACACGGTTCCGAATGGGCGATATGGGAGTTCCGCGCTGAGGGAACGGGATACCCAGATAATGAGGTTTATGGGAGGGTATGGCATTATCCGTGGCCGGACCATCATCCCCCGCCTTTCCGGCTGGTACCTGCTATTGTGGGGGGTATGCGGAATTGGATTGTTGAGGGGAAGGAGAAGGGGAAGGAGAGGGTGGTGGTTGTGCATTGTAAGGCGGGGAAGGGGAGGAGTGGCACGATGGCTTGTTCGTATTTGATTGCGGAGTGTGGATGGAGTGTGAGCGAGGCGCTGGCGAGGTTTACGGAGAGGCGGATGAGACCTGGTTTTGGTCAGGGAGTGTCGATTCCGAGTCAGTTACGGTGGGTGGGTTATGTGGATCGTTGGACGAAGAATGGGAAGTTGTATGTGGACAGGCAGATTGAGATTATGGAGGTTCATGTCTGGGGGCTGCGGGATGGGGTTAAGGTGCAGGTTGAGGGGTTTGTGGATGAGGGAAAGACAATCAAGGTTTTCCATGTTTTTACGAAGAAGGAGAGGGTGGTTATTGAGGGGAATGCGCCGGGTGGGAGTGGGATCAAGGATATGGTTTCTGATATGGCGGGGTTCCAGAATGATGGGAAGATTCCTAAAGCTAATACAGAACCACTTCCTACGGATGTTGCTTCGTCGTCGAGTGCGAAACCGGCACCTCAAGTTATTGACGCCAATACCTCCACACCAACAACAAACTCCAGCAACGAGAACGAAGATTCAGAATCAGGCGGTACCGCAGTCATCTTCAAGCCCTCAACCCGAGTAATTCTCCCCACGAGCGATGTCAATATCGATTTCGAGCGCAGAAATAAAGCATCGATGGGCTGGACCATGGTTACAGCTGTAGCACACGTGTGGTTCAACGCGTACTTCGAAGGACTTGGCCCCGAACAATCCGGTAAACCTAACTCTGACGGCGTCTTCGAGATCGAATGGGATAAGATGGATGGCATCAAAGGATCTTCTCGCAAAGGCACGCGCGCATTCGATCGTCTCTCTGTCGTCTGGAAAGCGTACGGCGATGAGGAAATTCGTGAACCTGGTATTGATTCTCCTGTTCCTCAAACTAGACCAGCCGATTGGAAGGGCGGAAACGAGACGGCTCCTGAGCATGGGAAGTTAGGATTACGCGCCGAAAGGGAGGGGAGTGCAAATGTCAGCAAGGCCAGTAGTTTTATTGCCGATGCGGATGCAGATGGGGATAGTGAGGAAGGCGTCAAGGCTTGTGGACCAAGTGGCGAGGATATGGTTGACTTGGTTGATGAGTTGCCGACCGAGAAGCCTCAGATCGAGGGAACGTATCCGTTGAAGTGAGTGTGTACCTGTTCCAGGCAGGTTTTCACGTCACTGATCTCAAGTAGTACACAATCGCCTACATCAGGTAGTGGTACTCCAATAATCCACACTGCGGATCTTCCAGGTGGTATTGCGGAGGACCAGATGAAGACGCCGCATGAGCATAAATTGGGCCATCTGAAAGCCGCGAGGAAGGTTGTGGATTCGTGATCGAACTGAGGGTTTAAGTGTATAATTATCGATGGAATGGGCATGGATGGGATTCGGATGCGGATAGGATGCGGTTAGGATGGGATTAGATATCATATGGTGCATTAGCGGGTGTGGGATTTGTTTTATGACTTTATGGTGAGGATGAATGGAAGGGTATAGAGATAATGTTGAAGGATTCAATGCTGGTAGCATTGAGGGTACATTAATAAGACGCTAAATTTCTTGACTTTACAGCTATACGACTGAGCTTGTGATATGGATCTGGACAAGGAAATCCATCACTTAACAGACTAAGTTTTCATTCAGGTATCGTGAACACTTTTGGATATGGGAACACTGTATTGTAGCTGCAACAAAATGCCATAAACATCTCGTAGCAATTAAATTTTAGGTATATCTACTTCATTACTAGTAAGTAGTTGGAAAAATGCTTTTACCTATTTCGTGATTGAATCTTGTGAGACGGTTAATCTTTCGACCAAGTCCTCACAGGCTTGTAGTAGGAGAGTTTAACATCTTTTCTCATAAGCAAGAAACGTGTAGAATACTACGATGATGATTATTAAGACATTTGGGTGATATTGAAGTACATAAGTTGAGCTAAGTTAGGGACGCCAGCCGGACTCAAAGTATCCATATGTGTAATTCTGGGAACTTGATGGCGGGAAATCTTGACGCGTCGAGGAACAGTATTCGCGGCTGATTTGTATTTCCTTGGACGTTTCGCGTAGGCTGGTCCTCGAACTCAGACTAGGCACTCATCTCAATTCAATTAAACTTCAATCCTAAAGACCTATGTTCGGTAAGATTACTTTGTGTGATCCTTAAATCTCACTCTAGCAATAATAAGTGGTTGAGATATATGATTGTGCTTTGACAGCTTAAATACTCTTACCTACTCTACCAGGCAGAATTTCATTAACCCTGCCAAACGTCCGACCCAACCGCTATGAACCATCAAGACTTTCATCCCCATTCATCAAGGCGTCTCATGATAAGCTTTAGCATGTTTCAACCACCAATTCAGATTCCGCTGATAGCTGTCCACGCTCTTCGCCGTCTTCCTCACCTCACATACCAAGCCCTTTTTCTGATCCACTCCTTTAAATCTATCCGCAATCCAATCCATCCACATCCACTGACTAGCCGGCAGCGTTCCATTGTGCGACGCGCCTTCGAATTGTATGTACTTGATACTGGCGTTTGTATTCATCTCTGCCGTTTTCTTAACGGCTGACGTCAGTTTGTCTGGGGATAAGAGCTCGTCGCATTGGCCATGGATGATGAGGAGCGGTCCTGCTACGGGTTTCCCTCCGGTTTGTATTGTGTCTTGGTGGGTTGAGAGGAAGCTGTTGTTGTGCCAACCTGACTTCATAAGATCTGCAGTGAACAGCATGGGGGTTGATGCACCAAGAGTCAGGTGGTATTTCCGTACGGAACCTAGTATCTCTTTGCCCCTTTCCGTCAAAATGTCATCAGCGTTGAAGCCTGGAAAAGCTGCTTGAATGCCTGGTACCATCAATGAAGTAACGACGGTGCGGGCCGGATCTGCCTCGTCCATGAGCCGTGTTACTGGAGAAATGGGAACAGCTCCAAGATATCCTGGGATATGGTCCTTGGCCTGTCTTTGTGCTACTGCCAGTGTTGCCCCTCCGCCTTGAGAATGGCCGACTGCCACCCACGATCTTGAGAGTTCGGGAAACGCTTCTTGAGCTGCGAGGACAGAGTAGACGACGTCATTTGCGTGAGCCGGAAGGGCAAGATATTCATGAACGATAGATTTTCCGTCGGCAGTTTTGGAGACACCTAGACCGGCGTAGTCAGTAGCTACGACTACATAGCCCTGACAAACAAGCTGGTAGGGAGCTAAAAAGTGTTGCCATAGGTTTTTGGTGTGAGACGGTGCATTTTCTGCTGAGATACCGCTGGTCCCATGGGCCCAGGCGACGACTTGAAAGCCATCAGGGGATGTGCGAGGACTGCTGGGCCAGAGCACGTAGGCTGATACAGGAACCAAGGAGCCGCTAAACGTCTTGGACTGATAGACAAAGCGTGAGAGAGTTGTGGCTGCTGGAATCGAGTACAATGAGACGTCGCTTGTCTTCTCGACTTTAAGAAGAGCTCCAGGTCTCGCTGAAGCATCGAGACCTTCAACGGAATAGAAAGGATCCTCGTAGACAGAACCAGTTGCCCATTGACTCTTTTCGAACTCGATCGCTTGGACAACTTCTTCAGGCAGCGAGGTAGTCATCTTTCAGAGCGTGGGTTGCTTGTGTGTTTGTGATGTAGCTGGGTAGGAGCTGTGAGTACAATTGAAAATAATGAGGGTTCTACTTATAACTTGCACTTGCGTCTAGTCTTGACTTAATGAAGTCTAAGATGTGGTCAAGCTAAGGCCAAACCCCTAGCAGAAAGTCTTGCCGAATACGATTGGTTTGTATCCCATGGGACCCGGATCTGGCTAATAAATGAATGCTGCAGCCATGCATCAGACAGTCAGCTCTTTCATATATAAGTCTTCGGGTAGATCGTTAAGCAGAGGGAACAAAGAGGCTGGTAGCAGACAGCATCAAATACTAGGCGTCAAACCACAGGTCGTTGCTCTCCGGGGACGTTGTGAGGGTGAGGTGAGTGACGAATGGCGCAGCTCAAGGCTCCGAAGAAAATCCGTCCCCAAGCATTTTCAGCTGAGATACCGGCCGGCATAGGCGATGGCTTGATATCTATTAAGGGATATTTGTGGGCTGTTGCGTAAGTTGATACTTGGACTTAGAAGCCGCTAAACGTCTGGAAACAAATGCAGCAGGCGAAACAGATTGATATTTTCTCTACCGCATTTATAAACATATAGAAAAATCGGAAAACTCTAAGTCTCATGTCGAAATCTGTCCAGACATAAAGACCACCGCTCTTGTTCTGTGTACCACACACCAAGCAAGAAAGTCAGCGTAATACCACAAAATCACAACGCTGCCACCGTGCAAACATTAAATACCCTTTCGTCTCTCCAATCTATCCTATACAAGAGCAACACACATGTTTTGAATGCCAGATCATGATATCATACCTTCATAATTACCAAACGCCATTAATGTTCCCCACAAACTCCCCTCTCAATCATACATATTCTCTGCTTCTCACGACCTAGACACTCTCTCCTTATTCGCTTCCCAGTTATCAAGCATCTTCTTGACGTCTTTGAAACTGACCGGCTTCGTCAGGAACAGGTCAACGCCTAGCTTAAAGGCCCTCGATTGGTCCTCACTGCTGGCAAGTCCAGTGAGCGCAATGATCAATGCTGGAGTGAAGGCTACATTGTCTTCCGCTGCTTTCGCCTTTCGTGACACTTCAATATTTCGAATCTCTTTTGTAGCGCCAAATCCATCGAGAAGGGGCATCGATATATCCATAAAAATAATATCATAACCCTCCTGTCTAGATTTGAATTGACTGACAGCTGCAAGACCGTCCATCGCTGTATCAATAACCTCGTGCTTTCGCCTTCTGATAGATGTGCTCAATAACGTCAAGTTAATCGCATTGTCATCAACAAGCAAGAAACTTGGAGGCTTGCTTGTTGGAACAGGAACAGTTGCCTCAGGTCTCAAATCGACCGCCCGCTCCTCCACTTTCGACGATTGAACGTTTATAAGCGGTGGTTGGAAGAGTTCCTTTGCCATTGGAAGTGTTTTTGCCTTGCCTGGTGTGGGAAAGGGAAACTCGGTTCTTTTTTCACCTGTGGGACCAGCGTTTGGTGTTGGACTCTCTATTGCTTTTCGGGCATTGTCGCTATCCGCGGCCATTCTACTATTGTCCAATACCTCTCCACCAGAAGAATTCAATGTCATCTCCTCAAAGACGTTGGTCAAGTCATTGCTCTCGGGGGTCGGGGGTACATCCAGCATTCCTGGTGTTACCGGTCGTGAAGACTCGAAACACTGAGCGATAGCCTTTCCTAGCTTTAAAGGTCCAATTGGCTTGCTAACATAACCAATGTTAAGTTTGTTCTCTGCTTCAGCCGCTGTGCGATCAAAACGTGAAGCATGTGAACACAACACTACTACGGTCGGATTAATCTTCCATTGTTTGATCGAACTTCGGACAATTTTTGATAGCGTGGGGATTGACCCATCATTAGAGATGATAATGGAGGCTTTTTGATTTGATGGAACAACAATCATCCCGTACCAATTCGTGAGAAAGTTTGATATGGATGCTTTGAATAGTTTTGCCAATTTCATAGTAGCCGGAATTTCTATCTCAGCGTCAAACCCATGCAATGAAACTCGCTGCCCAGCGACTAGGGATCGCAATTTGGCAACTGATTCATCTGTCTCTTTCGTGAATGATGTCATCGATTTTGGGGTGCTAATAGATACCGACTCGGGGCGTTTGATTCCACCTCGTAGGAGTGGGAGACTTACGCGGACCTCTGCAAGAGATTAGTGGTGCTCCAAAATTGATTTCAGATACGTACGCGTTCCACGACCGACCTCGCTGTCTATGGTAATGTCACCCTCTAAAATAGAGACAATACTTTTCACAATAGCAAGTCCAAGTCCAGTCCCACTAGAGAGAGAGTTTTCTTGAGTAAACGGTGTAAAAAGTCTCGAGCGTAAAAATTCTGGTGAGATTCCTTGCCCTGTATCCGTTACTGTAAGATGGAGCATAGCTCTTGGAACAAATTCCCCGGTCTCAGCATCATGAAAGTCATCCATAGGCGTAGAAGCTAGTTTGACCCTAACATAGCCGTGCGCTGTATACTTCAACGCGTTGCCTAGAAGATTCATAACGATTCTGCGGAAAGCACCGGGTTGAGTCGTGAAATTAAAGTCCTCGAGGTCGACATCAAAAACAAGACCAACTTGTTGTGGTAGAGTTGTTGTGCCAGTGAAGCTCTGGGAAGTCGTGGGAACCTTTGCAACCATGTCGAAATTGGCAGCAGCAGTACCGCTCTGAAATATATGTCCAGCGTATACGCCTTCCACAACCTCCTCACATATGACCGAAACATCTACATCTGCGTAGAGGTTGATCATCGGTATATCTGATTTCACAGACATGGCCGATCGAACATTACCGCTTCTGTTTTTGCGCCATGTTCTTTCGAAATGATTGATCTTGGAAAAGTCGAGGACGTGATTCTATAGATAATTAGCATTGTGATAACAATTACATTGCTGTGCTTGACCTACAATGGTGTCAAGTAATGTTCTGCCACAGCTTGAGATCGTCTCCACCAGACCCTTCTCATACGTCGTCTGTACCTCCTCCCCGAGAAACTCTGCGCTCGCAAGAATGCCATGAAGGGGCGATCTCAACTCATGAGAGATACTGCCGATGAAATCACCCTTCTTTTGATTCGCGAATTCAGTGTCGATTCGAGACCACTCTGCCATGACGGAATTACCAAAGGCGGTCAAGAAAGACAATTCGCTTCGCTTTGATAGAATACGGGTAATTTCAGTGGACCACACAAAGCATCCACTAAGCCAACGAGATCTTCCGGCATCCCAAAGTGGTATGAACAAGAGCTCACGCACTCCTGGGAAATGCTTAGCCAGAAATTTGGCGTCGGTCTTGAGCCTTGCATTTCTCGCTTTCCTCTTGTGCAAGTCTCTTTTTCTCTGGAGAACGTCCTTTCCAGAAGCAAATCGATGATACTCTTCCTCGGAGGACGAAGAAACCTCGCCATCTGAGTCGAATGTCCACAGCTTTCCCGTTGGGTATCGTCGCAGCAAGACATGGAGCGCCTTTTCGTGGAATGGTCGGAATGAATCTGGTCCAGGGACAGGATCCCCGTGAATAGATGCCGCGTTAGGGGTAGAAAATCCTAAGATATCCACCAGTTTTCTGGAAGCAGTAGAACTACGGGTATATGCCTGTCCTGACGGAGTGGTTGTTTTCTCCCCTGGAGAAGTTCGAGCTTGAACACCACTAGCATTTACTGTATCCTCTGGCGAATACAACTCATCACTGCTAGTAACATGACTATCGGAATAACTGTGTTCAGACGTCGTCTTGTCAGAATTTTCCGCCTGTTCAGACTTATTAGAAGCAGAACCTGCTTGTGCATCGTAAAATATGCACCCACCATCGACCTCGAAAGTTTCTCGAATGAGGTTCGCGGCGCGAGATGTCAAACGTCGTTGCGATGATTCTTCTGAAAGTTGACTGCCTGGGGATTCGTCACTATTCTTGTCTTGCGAACGTGGTGACCATGCACTTCCAGTCGTCGTACCAATAGAAGCATGGGATCCTCGTTGAGATTCAGCCGCAAGGTCGGGGCGATGATGATGCAAGTCTATCTTGCCAGGAGATTCAACCATGCCACCTTCAGTGGTTGCTAAGACAGGCTGGAAATGCTTGCGATCAGTACTCGACGATGATCCAACGGTCGAAGGTATGGATGTCCCCTGAGAATCTCGCGACCGAGTCTTTGCAATCGGCGTATCAACTTCGAACCGGCCCACGATTCCTATTCCCTCTCCGTCCTCGGCATCAGCATCTGCCTCCAATAATTGGGAGCGGCCTTGCACAAATGACGCCAAACCGCGACTCATCTTCATTCCTCTTCTCCGCTCCTCCACTTCTCTTGATATCTCGAGATGCGCCATCACAGTCGTGGCCATCGTTCCCATAAAGTGAATGTCCTGCTTTGAAAGCCCATGGCGTACACGGTCATCGACGATAAACAAGCTACCTATAGCAATACCTTTCTTGGTGATTAGTGGGACGCCAGCATAGAATCGCAAGTTTGGAGGCCCGGTCACGAAAGGTAGTTGGTTGAATCGTTCGTCTTTCTCCAAATCATTAATAATGAAACTTGGATAGAGATCCTCTTCACCCGGAACCGTTGATCTTTCTACTTGAATCGTTCTATAGCACGGTAAGTATAAATGATCTCTCTGGGGCCGCCTCTGGGACTCTCCCACCTCTCACACAACTTCCCAGCTTTAGCGACAGAACTACATCCCATCCATATGTCGTCCCCTGGAGCATGCTTGGCGGCGTCTACGAGATCAACGGTCTTGGTACTTTCCGCGATGAAATACTGTGTGTCGGCATCTAGAAGACTAGTACGTTCAGTAAGGCGCATGAGAAGCGAAACACTGAAATTCATACCCGATCATAGCTCTTTGTGCGCCCAATCTCCATGTCAATAGCTGGCAGAATGCTGTCAAGGCGGTATCTGGACTTGATATCTTGGACGAGGTGATGTCTGACTTGACAGGAATGTTTCGCGGGGGTTCATCTTTTCCTTCTGCTTGACCTTCTGAAGGTACAGCTTCCGCTGGAAAGGTTGGTTCTGCTACGAGGGGAGCATTTGGCTGGTAGTATCTGGTGCAGCGCGATTAGTTCTCTCGGGGACACTTCGTCGTCGACGTGGATCGGTAGCACGTTTGACATACTTGTATACTTCTCTTGCTCTCGCGTTGTCTGTAACTCCTGCGTCTGAATTGGAAAAGTTGATGGTGGCTTCAACAGGTGCCATCTGACCTTTTTACCTGCTCAAGGCCGTGCTTGATACGATGAAAGAGGCCACGCAAAACGAAGATTCCAACCAAGTGTTGAAGGCTGCAAAGGAGGAGCGCTCTTGGTAGCAAGAAAGACCCAATTAGCATTGTTTGCTGTTCAAGATGGAGTATATGCTCACCTGGATTCTGGCTTAACCCAACATTCACATCGCCTGCTTGCCAAGTGGACCAGTGCCACGGAATGGTTGTCGAACGAGTCTTGGTGGGCTTGCGGCTGAAAATGAAAGTATAGAAAAAGCTGTTCGGACGACGGAGAGACAACCGCGGTATAGATAGCGACGAGATGGTGTGCGGGAAGACAGGACCCCAGGGGAAGTAACTCGTGACTTGTGTCGTGTGAGTGGCTGTCTAGTTCGTCTGTCGAATGGTTTGGCTGTCAAAAGGGCTTGGATCGGGACGCAGCGCAGCGCAGCGCAAACAGATTTGTTTGCTGCAAAGTGGAGTTTGGGGGGGGGGATGGTTTCCTGGTAGGGGCGTACAAAAGTGTCAGTATGGAAACGGAGGGAGCATCCCAGTGACGTCAGTTTGGACCCTGCCTCGAGCCTGCCTACTAGGCCAGTGGGAGGCGGGTTCGCTTCGGCGCAGGGGAGAGGGGGGACGAGAGCTGGGCGACCATCGAGTGATTTTAAAAGATCTGGAGGTGGGTAAAGTCCGTCGACTTCAAATCTTTGTGAAAAACTCAACAGTATAAACTATATTATTATCGTTCTCTCGAGCTATTTTTTGTTCATTATCCGGCTTTGATGTCAGAGTTTTCAGGGTCTTCGCCATGCAGCTTAGTGGTACTGCCAGCTCCCTCAAACGGCGGCTAGAAGCCTAGAACAGATTGGTGTATGGCTATGACTCGCTAGATCGGGTTGGTCTCCCACTGAAAGAATATATCGGAAAATATGATTCAGTAGTAGCCAGCCCCGATAAAATATTACACGTGCTGTCGGCTTACGAATTCCGAAACCCAGACTATTAGATGAGAAGGTACGTGGAAGGGTATAATGATATTGATTTCGGTGTGAGTCTCATGTTTCTGTACTGGGGAACTTTCTTGAAGGAAATCAGCATGACAGCGCATGAAAATAATGGAAACCCCCATTGCCTGTCGAAAAAGCTACAAACGACTTCTTAGGCTATTACTAGTAAATATGGAATTTTACGTGCTTAGCATGTCCTGTTGATTGAAGACCGCTGTATCACAGGATACTAAAATACTTCCAAGTAACAGCGGCCAAACTCTATCAACAATAGCTGATAACTTGCTTTGAGCGCTGAAACAGAAAACCCATGCTCTTCCTATGGGAAAATCCCACGAACTCCTCGACGACACACACTAAGAAAGCATTCCCGGAGTGGACCATATTCAGAGGACTAATTGCCATATACTAGAATTCACCGTGAATTCAAGATGAAACAGGTACCTAGGTACCTACCTTAGCTAACATGCGCTCCCAAATTTAAGCGAGTTTTGTGAATTGCAGGTATGTTCTCCTTACATGAACACTTATCTCTACAGCCTCTCAGGATTGCTCGCAGGCGATACTTGCACTTTTGAAGTAGTAGATGCTTAATTAATCATCTTAATGGGAGAACTAGGAGTATGCCAGTCGGCTGAAGGCCATCAATACAAGACGTGACGGAATGTTGCACACTAGTCAACGACAGTTTTGTTGCTAACTGAGTCTTCCTCGGTCTGCTGGTTTTCTCACGGCGTAGAGAGTCCCTGCACTTATGACTGGCCCTCCTGGCCTGTGAAAAGAGCGAACTCTAGTGTCCTCATCGATATCTGCACCCGCTCGTTAAAGGGTCGAAAGAATCCGTCACCTTGAGTCTTGAGTATTCTTACGTCCTTGTCCACCACGGTTGAGGCATGCATGAGGCAAGAAATTGACGATTTGAGCACTCGAGATCGAACCAGCATTTACTCATTAAGGTTGAGGATACCGTATAAGATGACCAGATTGACCTAATTGAGTTGATAGCTTCCAGGTTTGCTGAGGGTGATGTGATGGAATGTCAGGAGCTTCGGCATTATTCATTAAACCCGACGCTAGTCCCAATTAACGACGACGCTGATTCCACCTACATACAACCTGAGCCAACCTTGATCAAGGAAGTGCATTAAATGAACCAGAAAAGAAACGTCTATAATGTTGAGTTCGAGTCTGCATTAACAACATTGTCATCCAGACCTGAGACCAAAGACTAGCTGTTGCGGTGCAGGGTGTTGTATTTTCTGCCATCATCCATCCTTCTGGTCAACGTTTGGACTCCATATCCCTCTATCTTTATTCCTCTGTCACTCCCCCCACATGAGAATCCAACCCTCCTTCAACACCTCCAGTTCCCACCCACAACCATGAATCCAGCCACCGACGACGCCCCTACGCCTCCAAGTCCGATTAAAGCTCCCCGGAAAAGAAAGAGAATAGTAATATCGTGCACGGAATGTCATCGTCGCAAGCAGAAGGTTAGTAACCCCTCGTGCTCGAGACCATCGGGGAATCGAATTGTCAAGGTTCAAATGTCGACGGGTTGTCGCATCCCTCATAGACAGCAAGTGGCCTTATGCTATCGAGCGTACAGCTCGTGGATATATAGTTACATTACTAGACGGCCAGCTAATAGGCATGATAGTGTGATCGCGCATCTCCTTGCTCCAACTGCATCGCAAGAAACAAACGATCCCTATGTCACTACGAGAACGAGTCAGCCCGGAAGCAACAACTCCTCGAAGAGAGAGTCAATGCCGCCTCGGTCAATGGAGGACAATTCAGCGTGATAAAGCCCAATGATGGGGACTCCGACACGGCGGCGCAAATTACAGGCCTTGGATATGCAAGACCGAACGGCAACAACAATACTACCCTGGGTATCTACCAGAAGATACAGAAACACGACAGTGAGACAGGATTGTTGATGTCGAGACCGATGACAAGTGATCGGGAACAGACTGGATTACGGGAAAAGTACAAAAATCTCATCAGGCAGCTACCTTCGAAACCATATATCGACAAGCTCCTAGTTACGTTCTTTCGTGAAGTCAATTATCAATATTACTCCATAGACGAAGGGATTTTTCGGGATCATCTGCAAGACTGGCATAATCTGCCATTCGCAACTATAAATAAAGGACCTTCAGAGTTGCCTCCGGATCTACAGTTCTTTCCAGCGCTACTATTCCAATGCCTAGCGCTTGCACTACAGTACCAACCTATCGAATACGATCAGAGTCTCGACGCATTGAAATATGCTGGCGGAATGTCATTCGATGATTTAGCAAGTGATTATAGCGAGTCGAGCCTTTCGATATTGAATCTCCTAGGCAAGAGACAGACGACCTTGGTAACGGTTCAAGCTGGGTTTTTACGGACGTCATATTTGAAGAGCGTAGGTATGATTACAGAATCATGGCATTCGTTATCATCCACAATTCGCGATGCACAAGAAATTGGTCTGCACAGGGATATCATCAAGAGCAGGAAGCCAGACGAGAAGCCGGAAGATATACTTGATGGCTTGTGGCATGAGCAACTTCGAAGAAGAGTGTGGTTGATATTGTCACTATGGGATATCCACATGGCAGTTGTTCTCGGTCGACCGACGACGATTGATCCTCGCGACGGAAAACCCTCATTCCCGATTGATGCACCGGTCCCCAAGAATCGGAGAGAAGCAGCACCCGTTCCAAGATCAAATTCAGATCCTCCAACACCTTTGACGATGCTTCTGTGGAGTGTGGAAATCAGTGCGCCTTTGTGGGATATTTTCAACCTGGAAAAGGAGGATCCGAATCAGAACAATACAGCCAGAGTGGAAAAGATGCACACCATGATCAAACAGATACAATATCATTGTCCTCCATTTTTTAGAGCTCAGAATCCAGATACATCTTTTGATGCCTTACCTGAATGCTACTGGCTACCGAACTGTCGAAACACGTTTCAAGGTTCCGCCGCATTTACCATCATGGCTCTCCACCGTCCATACATCTTCACCACCAGCACCAGTCGAACCTGTGCATTAAAAGCTGCATTAGACGTACTTCGAGCGCAGCGGACCCTGTTTAACAACTTGAGCTCTCTGCACTACAAGATGTTCTCGTTAGTTCTCAACACATTCGATGCCATTGTTCTTGTGGCTGTGGTTTACATCTTATATCCGTATGAAAATAGAGAAGATCTAGATGACGCTCTTCAACACTTTGAATGGGGCATGGAGAGGTTCCAGACGATGAGCGAACGAAATTCGATGGCGAGGGCAGCATTAGGTGTATTAAAAGCAATTCATGTTCGATTGAATAAAGCATTGAAAATCCAAAAAGGGCCAGGGAAACTTATCCCATCATCTCCCACTTCTGCTACACCAGAAGCCTATCCGAACAACCAATTCGCGCCACCGTCTTTGACACCTTCGAACACATCGCTCAGATCCGATAGCAACGGCGGCCAATACAACGTCCCATCGATAGCCAATCTCACCTCTCCAGCAGAAAGCATACCCAGTTCCGCCACGGCATCTGGTTGGGACGCAACTCCGCAAGTAGATTTCAGCTCCATTACCCCGCTACATCCGATGCACGATCTCATCTACAACGATCTCGGCACTGGAATGGAGGACATGAATTCGAGCTCCTATGAAACTGGGACGTGGGATATCAATAGTCTTGGTATTGGATCTGGAGTCGGTGCTGTGGGGCCAGTAGGCGCGCCATGGCAGTTTGCGGGCGATTTTGGGAGTGATAGTTTCTGGGGTGTGATGAATACTTATCAACCGTGATTTTGGTTGATTACGTGAAAAGGAAGGGAAGAGGAGGGTTTTGTAAATACTGTTAGGTACATATGTGAAAACGAATTATGGGAAAAGCGTTTGTGTTATTGAAATTTAATCGACCGGAATTTTATGGCTGGAAGGAGGTCTAGACTTGCTATAAGTATCGCATTAACTTTCTGTACATAGATTGACAGAGAGAGTCGTAATTTCATCAAGACGAAATGTGATAAGACGATTTCCGAAAATTGTGGATGCAATTCAAAACCGAGTCTAGTTATTTTGCTGTGATGCGGTCCACTGGGTGGATGGATCTGGAAGCCACAGTGGAATGATGGGATCGTTACGGTTCCCGGATCACCGTCAATGTTAAATTGTTTGCGCTCTTGCAGGTCTTCATTCGGAAGTGTTGTAATAGTTGTGTGGTCGGGGACTTAAACTTCATCGATCAAAGATGCTCAGCCGACGCATGATTCTATTTAAAAACTTCTCAAGGTAAGAAACAAGAGGCATTCGAGAAAGTGACATTAGTCACAGCACGCTGAATACTAAACGCTACATTTGTACAAAAAAGTATACATTGAAGTCACCGCCCTAACCACTAGGCTACGATAATACATGGAAGCAAAGTCTCCTTTGGCATCTGACCCGACTCCCCGGGAATCGCTAAGTTTGTTTCTCTCCTCTCATCCCCCTTTCATACAGCCGCATAGCCCCCTCTACTTCCGCCACCTTGCACTGTACTGACAACCCTTCGCATAGCATCTTTAACAAGGTAGGGTACATCGCGAATCGTGTCGCCATGGGGAAGAAGATCCCATCCACGGGCACCATAACGGTTGTAGTTAAGCCAGGAACCAAATATCAAATATGCGGCGGTCGATAAAAAGGCACTGCAGACCTGTTAGCCCAATACTCGCCATGAAGGATCGTGAACATACATCAAAATAAACCATGTGAAGAATCCCCAGTGTTTACTTTTCTCAGCATCTTGCTTCTCTTTAGCATCCTCACATGCGACCTTGGTTTTCCAGGTCAAACGCAGCAAATCGGTCCCCTTGATCGCCTCGGATTCCCCATAACTCACGAAAGTCAAGCTAGGAGTTGAATCATCTTTTGGGGCTTCCTTCTCGTCTTCTCTTTTCGCCTTTCGCTCATAATCATCCTTCTCATCTGGCATATTCTCTAGGCCCGAATTTGATCTGTCGCATAAGAACTCGATAATAGCCATCTGAGGTTGCTTCTTCCCAGCATCTGTCTGTTTAAACCCTCCCTTCAACTCCAGCGATAATCCTTCCTTTTTCGAATCTTCATGCCCGGTCGAAGCCTTCAGTCGAGACCATTTCGCATCCAGATTTGCGCCTCCTCTTTCACTAAGCTCGCCCGCTATAGGATATACCTGCTCCACCATATGTGTATTGTCATTCTTGTTGACAAGATTGTCAACCGCGCAAACTAACATTTATTAGCAGCAATTCCACACTCTGCCACATCTCACTCACTTCTCGAACTGTTCGGACAATCGGTGCCCTCAGTATCACCGCTGTGCTTCTTCTTCTTCAGCGGCTGACATAAATCAATTGTGTATGTCGCGTTCCGCTCTTTCGTATCTCCCAGATCAAATGTATGTTTCACAGAATGAGGACCACCCAGCGAGCTGAGGTCGAAGGATATTTTATCGACTCGTATATGGCTGCAGTCCAAGTTTCCAACGGCAGCCGATAGTAAAGGAAAAAGTAATGCGGAAAGGATGGCCGCATCGGCGGACTTTTGAGGTAACCGCATAGCTTCAAATTATGGATTTGTAAGGAGGAATGGGGGGTCTGCGGACTCGCAGAGGGGTGCCGAGTCAAAAGTGGAAGAGTCAAAACTATGCAGAAGAAGAGATTTCAAGAAGCAAGTGAATGTCTCGATGTATCAGGCGGCGTGGATGACTTGTGTGTTGATTCCGCCTTGATCAGCCAGCAAGACAAGGCCAGCATATGACGATCCAGAGTGAAGCTGTGATTGGTGATGAGCGTTCCGCGAACGCTAGATGTTTGCGGTTAGAATGGTTCGGCACGTGCTTGTCGCTTGTCGCTATCACATGATTCACCCCCTTTCTTGCTACATGGATATTTGATATTTGAGATTTTGAACATAGGTGTTTTATTAGTATGAAGACATTCTTATTCAAATTACAAGACCCCATTTCGGTTCTTGTACCCCGTCATACAGACAAATTATAGACGTTTTAGATCTTTTATCTTGATTTTGTTTTTCGTGTAGAAAATTTACAGTGAAAATGCCATCAGTACCTAGGTACCTTGGAATCTTGGATGATGTTGCACACTCTTAACGTTATACCGGGTGTATGGAATGGTACTCGAAAGTATCTGATGACTGACAAATGTATAGACTATTTTCGATAACTGTATAAATTATTGACAAGTGTCAAAAGTAAAGAGCGGACCTGTCGCAATATCTTACAAAGTATACGAAGAATTATTAATTGGCCCCAAAGCTTCGAACTTCCAACGCTGACCAGGAAGCGAGCCATCGTTCATATACAGCACCACCCCACTCCCACGCGAATCCAAATAAAAGCCTGCCCCCTTAACTGCATTCGCAACCCTCCAGGTTCCTGCCCCCCAAGCAGTGATAAACCATTGTTGTCCCAAGCTTGTCGAGCTAGGCGCAAGATGTGGAGTGATCTCAGACACATCGAGCCGCATATTTGGACCTAGGAATTGCGTGCAGAGCGCGTATGATTTACCGTCTGCCAACTGACGTATCTGCCAGTATTGTCCTGAGACTGCCTTTGGTGTTTGCATCTGAAGCCTCCCGCTTGAAGCGATGTCGTTATCGTTTACGACATCCAGCGCAATTGAGGTGCCAGGATCTTCGTTTGTCAGGCGGTACCAGACATTCGAATCGAATGGGCTGGAGCTGGAGGTTGGGATGGCTGGATTCGTTTGAGTAGCCGATCCCGCTGATACAGTGGTGGTTACTGTTGTTGCAGAAATGGCAGATTTATCTGCTATATTAGCAATTGAAGAAGAAGCTGCGGAGCGAGGAGGAAGCTTTCATCAACTTACTTGACGATCTACGTCGAAGACCGGCAACTACTCCTCCTGTAACTCCTCCAATGACAAGCAAAACGCAGGCTACTAGTATCATCCATATCGTACGCTCTCGCAATCCACAGAGTGTTGTGCTTTTCTGCGTTGGCAAAGGCGCTGCGAATGGCTGTTCGATTTTGAACTGATCATTGCCTCGTGCGTCTACCTGGAGACCTCCATTTGACATGTTCTCAACATAGTGACCCGTGGTTGGCGCGTTTTGTGAAACACTATGCAATCCGTTCTGATAGTTCGTCTGCTGCATATTTCCTCCTGGCATTTGAATATCGAGATTTCCGATAGTTTAAGCTTTCTATGGTTTGACAACGGCAAGCACAAGAATCTTACAAGAGAGCGTGTAAGGTCGGGGGAATCTCTTGTCCGCCATGATTGTTGAGTCGCGCTCTTATTAGGTGGTATTTCAGCTGGTGGATGCAAAATATCAGCCATAAAAATAGGCGTGCAGGTGAGAATCTGGGACGTTGAGCTGGCCTCGGTGTCTAAAAGACATGGTTTCTCCTCGAAGAAACAAAACATCGTAAGCATGGCTGTTATCGATTGTTCCTGCCCGTAGGCGTAATTGATGTGCTGGAGTGACGAAGGAGGCATAGGATTTCATTTATTGCGACAGTTACGTATGGTGTGACATGCAGCGTCCAGGCAATTCCGGTGAGGCTGAATCGCTCACCGAATCTAACGAAACTGATGATGACAAGTCCGAAGAGAAAGGACACTATTTTCACCAAGCATAAATATATTTATATTTTGAAGTCAATATACATGTTGATCATAAATGTCATTCAATTAATTTGCACTTTTTCATATTATCATCATATGAGAAAATCCTTGTAAAGCGATTTTAGTAAAAAGTGTGCTAGAGATAATTTCCCCGTACCGCCAATCTAAACCTTTCATTTTCTTTAGACAAGGCAAGGACTTGACTCCTCAGCTCGGCGATATATTCAACAGCTTTATCAAAAACTATTCCCTATAATCCAAAAGTAAGCATTGAACAAGCATGTGTGGGTATAACTTGGACAAAATCCATGAGAATAGATGAGACATACCTTGTTACACTTCTGTAATCTTGTACCATCGCTGTCGTCACTTTCCATACCGTCGTTCCCGCACTCTTTCTCCTTAATGCTCGAAAGACATGGAATGTTGTTTCTTAAAGTGTTGATTTTGCTATTGAGATTGTTCCGATATCGTTTCTCAATAAGATTATGCTCGTTCTGCCGCTTAGATCGGGCATATTTGCCTCGAGCCTTTTTTGAGTCCTGTTTTCGGGATTTCTCTGTTAGAGACTTTGATGTCTTTTCTGCCTTGACTGTGGGACTGGAGTTGGTCCCAAGACAGCTGTCAAGAGATGGTGAGTGTGTGGCATCGGTTGAACAATTTTTCTTCGATGGAGTTGCCGCTGGAGTAAATGGATCGTCATGAAGGTGTCTGGATTCGTTCAGAATATCCCACACATCGTCGCGTGACTCTAACAGACCGTCCATATTCATCGATGAATAATCTGATACTGGCGATGGTAATGTGAATTCTGGTAAGATTTGGTCAACGGGCAGTCCGGCGAGTAACTCATAGTCGTCAAAGTCATAGGACAATGAATTGTATTCTGAATAAAAGTCAGTTTGATCTTTTTGAATTCTAGACAAACCTACGGTCAAACCAGGGAGCGTCGGGCCACGAAAGAGAGGTATCGTTGCTGTCAATAGCAGAATCTTGATTCTGTGAGAAACGTCAGTCGGCATTCATATATTTCGAGTTGCTAGCAGGACAGGCACTTACCTGGAAGGCCATGACGTTTGTGTGAAGAGTACTTGTGGAACGATCGATGTCTCAGCTGATTGTGTTTATCAGGTCTGTAAGATGAGCATAGACTGTTTGTTTGACTAGCAAATAGCGGGATGGTGGTCACTGTAGAACTAATAAATGATGTTTTGGATGCCCCTTCAAAACGAAGCGAGGCTCGGAAGCCCCCGCTGGCATGGCTACCGACATGCCGAGAGAATTCACTATATTTTTTTTCGCGAGGAAACTGAAGTGTATTCCGCGCTTGGGAGAAGGAAATCGCAACGGTTGGAATAAGGCTGAGTATCGAAGACGGGCTGAGAGGTTTGGCTTCACGATCACGATTCCCCGCAAACCGAGACGAGTGTTATTCCCGAGGAAAGCCCTGCCCGCGGACCGTCCCGTTGGCTCGTTGGGCCCAATGCCCCACATATATTCCGAGGAATATTTAGCTTATCCCTCGGGGCTGGACTGCGAGGGATCCCTCGTCAGACAAGATAACAAGATACCGCGAGCAAACGAGCAAACACAAGGGAAGATATCATGTCTAAGCCGAACGAATAGGTCTCCCAGACCCTCAGCCCAATGCTCGTTTTCTCATCAGTCGCGGCAAAGGCCGGCACTCGATTCTGTTCGTTCCAGTTTCCGTCCGAGGACTCGGGAGAGCAGACGTGACTAAGCCTGCGTGACCCTGTAGGTTGTTCAAATGGGAGATGGAGGGTTGGAACCTAGGAACCTCCAGAGTTCCCCCAGTCTACTTGATCTGGGGCCGTCCCGCGGCCTTTCTTTGGCAGACATGGACCAAGTCTACCAATATGCCAGTGTCAATCTCTCAGCATGTCCATTCCGAAGGAAAACATCATTATCATAGGTATGAGGCGCGCCAACCCATTTGTATCCTGTGTCTCCTAACGGACCTTTGATGCAGGAGGAGGAATTATAGGATGCACCACAGCGTACTACATCACCCATCATCCTCGCTTTGATCCGTCTTGCCATACGGTCACTCTCCTCGAAGCTTCGAAGTTAGCAAATGGAGCGTCCGGAAAAGCAGGCGGGCTCGTCGCGGCGTGGGCACATCCGAGTAATCTTGCTGGTCTAAGTTTTGACCTTCATGGCCAACTTGCCCAAGATCATGACGGTGCTCATCTCTGGAGCTATCGCCGTGTTCGATGCGGGCAGCTTACGGCCATTTCGACCCAATCCAGCATTGTCAGTGCGGATGCGAACACTTCACCGGCTATCGAGCTCGGGAAGTGGTGGGCACGGGATAAGAAGCAATCTTCCCTCCTGCCGGATGACTTGGACTGGTTCAACCAGCAGAGCGCTCCTGTGTATGAAGAATTCGCAGATACAACCACTGCGGCACAGGTCCAGCCGTATCAATTTACAAACTCCATGGCGCGGTTGGCTGGGCAGCGCGGGTTGAGAACCGTCCTGGGTACCGTGGAACACATCAATTGCTGCGATGCTGACGTATCGCGTGATAGTAGAGTGGAAGAGCCTCTGACCTCGTTCGAAGATTTCATAGGAAAGAAAGTGTGCTCCGTGACTTATGTGGACAAATCAACAATGGAACGACATACTCTGCCAGCCACTCATGTGGTACTTGCTGCAGGACCATGGACTACTTCCTTATTCCCGAAAATCAAGATCGTACCTCTCCGAGCCCACAGTGTGACAATCAAGCTCCCTCGACCAGCGTCTCCTTACTGTCTATTTTCTGATATCCGGCAATGCCAATCTCCAGCACCCGGCGAGACAGCGAAACCCATGCCGCTGGAAATTTACGGGCGTTCCAACAATGAGGTGTACATTTGCAGCCCTGGTGATCTAGAGACGTCTTTGCCGCCACCTAGTCAGCACGTTTCCATCTCTTCAAAGTTCTGCCAAGATATGATCAATGCTGTTACAAGTGTGTCCGATGAGCTTCGAGACGGCCAGGTAACAGGACGCCGAGCGTGCTACTTACCTACACTTGGCGCTGGGAAAACCAGTAACCCCTTGGTAGGGCAGACGGAGTTGGCAGGACTTGTCGTTGCTACAGGCCATTCATGTTGGGGCATCTCCAATGCTCCCGTGACAGGAAAAGCGATTAGTGAATTGTTGCTTGATGGGAAAGTCACTTGCATGGATATCACGAATTTGGACCCGATGGGGCATAGTTGAAGCGGATGGAGCAGTAATTCTTCTCCGGCTTAACAAGTTCAGCAATCCTTCACTCACGGTGGTGGTCAGTCAGCAGGCTGTACTATCATGTCTGCAGAAGTGATAGGTATACAGCTGCTTTGCTTTGTGGGGAGTTTATTAATTCCTCTTAACCACTGCTTAACACGTGGTGTGTTGAATGGAAACCATACACACTTGGACCGTCTGTTATATTGTACCATCTAATAATGCACCTCTTAAGCTAACATTCGCGTTGCTATCCTGCTCCCCTCAGGCCATCCATATTCCGAAGTTGCCACGGTCGTACTGTCTTTGTTTTGGATTGCCTTTGTCCACATTTGGTGCAGGTCCTGGCCTATCAGCGACTGCATGACAGTCACTGTCGGTACCGTGAATCTGGGCGCCGTAGAAACATTCCCAAAATGGATCTGTGATCGAGATCGAGGCGGGTCAGAATGGTACCAACACCACGTGAAAAATCTCGAAACCTCCCGAGGTCGTAGTAGATCTGTGAGTATTTTGCGCGTTGATCCCTTCCCGATTCGCCGCAACAACACCACGATGTCTGGTCATGACCCTCACCGGGTTACCAAGCCGAGACAGAGAACATTGACCTGTGACACGTGCCGGAGTCGTCATCAGAAGTGTGGTGGCGAACAACCGCGTTGTTCGAATTGCAAGCTGCGCAGCATCGCTTGCTCGTACCGTAGAGCACAGCTCCCACTGCCCCTCTCACTACCTCCAACCCCACGACAGCCACAAGAACAACCTTCATATCCTCAAGCACAATTGCTATCTCAATTACAATCACAACCTCTACCAGCTTCTGATAACCAACGATCCCCGATTTCCGAGTCAGTAGTGCCTCTTTCTTTACTTTCGTCTACCATTCGTACCAATCTTTACACTTCCTGTCCCACATCCATTTATTGATCAATACAATTGAACTAATCTGAGTCGTGTACGGTGCAGGTCTACTAGGACGAGTCAGAACTCCATTTCAGATGCGGATTATGATCGCCTCTATTCTAAGATATATGGCGATATTGTAAATCCCCTCTCTTGCGTCTTATTTCGGGTCTAATCATTGGCAGATTCGACGTTTGGATCTGGACTCAGATCGGGGTCCGCATTCTCCTGGAACCATAATACCAAGTGCGCCCTTAAGTAACCCCAGTCTACCAGATTTTCATCGTGAAGTAACCTCCATCGTGGGCGACCTTGTCTCGGCTGATACGCAACCGTTGGTAGAGTTGTCTCTGGGTCGAAGTCCAGATCACGTCCGGGTGATATTGAAGGACTCACTTCCATCGCAGGATATGGCCCGCCATTGTCTAGATTTGTTCTTGGATTATCAGAACTCAATCTTCTATATCTGCGACAGAGAAGAAGTGTATTCACAGTTGGCACAAATGTACGAGAGCCCGAAACAGGTCTCAATCGCTTGGTTTTGTCAGATGTTTTTTATTTTTGCTATTGGCGCTCAGTTTGACGATATGTACGAGATGGATAGTGAGACGTACCACGACATTGGTCAGAGGTATATGGACGATGCAATCGACGAAAACCCACAGAGCACAATATGGGTAATACGGGCAATGCTTCTCCTCTGCATCTATCAGCCACCAACGAAATGGAATTCCGTGTGGATGCATCTCGGTATGGTCATCGCTTTCAACATCGTTCTGGCGCATTAAAAGCTTACTATGTACAGATGCAGCTATTCGGGGAGCCCAGAAATTTCAATTGGATACCGGAAAAAATCTTTTAAAAGAGTTGCCGGACAATATATATCATAACTGGCGACGCTTATGGTTTAGCATCGTTACGTTTGACCGGTATGTTTACAATGAAATACACGCCAAGTATCTGTCTCATAATCGCGATAGCTTGGTTGCAATTTTTCTTGGACGACTTCCGCGCATTAGGGAAAGTATTTCCAGGGATCCAATCTTGAAGGTTAGTCTCGTTGCGTTGATCATCTTCTCATCTGACACTGAAACAGGATCCTGATTCCCGGTCAGGTTTGGAAAATATCCCTCAGAACAAATTCACCACGCTTTCAATCATATCCGGGAACATATTACGTGACATGTATTTCTCTGGCCAACCCAGTCTTAACATATGCCATCAATACAAAGGAGAGCTCCAGAATTGGTTATCAAGCTTGCTAGCTCCCTTACAGCAATACATTGAGTCAGGCGACATCACTGACTCCCCAAAGGACCAGGCTGAAGTTATTGTAAGTGTGACGCTTATGATGTAAGCGTGCTTCTGACAATTTAACAGTTCAATTTGCATTTTATGTATTTTGGCACATGCATTCTGGGCACAAGGCCTTTCCTATTACGGGTGCTGAAATTGAAAGTTTCCAGCAGCTTTGCTAGTCCCATCGCATCAGCAATAGCTGCCGAGGCAACTCTATGGTACGTGGAAACCCGATAAAGCTTCAAGGTCTCCTTTGCAAGAATGAAGCTGATGTTGCTCCTAGTATTGGCTATGCATCTCGTCTAATCAATAGTGCTACATCCCTTTTGGCTACACCTATGGCACCCAAAAAGTCATTCATACCAGTGTAATTACAATCTACCCTTTGAAAGTATACGAACTCTGGGACTGAATATTTACAGATTTTTCTTAGTAAACGCAGCTCATATTATGATTCTTGCCGCTGTCTGGAAGTTGAAACAAAATGAGCAAACGCCGTCACTGGACATTTTCGATCAATCCCTCGAATTGGTCTCGATTGATTCTGCGCTCCGAACACTCGAATTGTGTGGTCATCGAAGTCCCTTTGCTCGGAAATACTGGCTCCTGATTAAATCTCTGAAGCAACGATTGCTCTTAAGTCTATCGGCAAAAGAATCAGATAGCCCCGCACCTCCTCTTTCCTCCATGTCATCCTTAGGCGCACTGCCTGACGGAAACGCAGTCAATGAGCCCACGTGGCTACAGAACTTTGATACTTCGTTTGGCCAAAATCAAAGCCCTGTGCTGAACATGTCAGCAGATTCTTCCAATCCACAAGTGTCTTATTTCTCCAATCATGCATTACCCGATCACTCAGAAAGTTGGCCACCTACTCAATTTGAATCGCTGAATTTAGGTGATGTTCAGTCCTATGGTAAGTTTAATCACTAGTGATAAGTCCTTGTAAGTATTGCAACGAACACTTACCTGTAAACAGATCCCACATTTCCCGTGCTACCTCAGTCCGATGACCACAACTTCTGGGGTGAGATGAGAGAATAGCATCGTGTTTAGACAAGTCAACATGCGGATTGTGGTACGACATTCGGACTGTGATACCCCCTTTTTCTTTCTCTGGGAATATTCAATATCATTAACTAGATCGTCGCAAATAATGACTTCTCGTGACCGTTCATAAAGATAATTACTCTTCTTCTTTCGATTCATACTCTCGTTCTCTTCAGCAGAGATATGAAGGATTTTGCCCAGGGTCGAAATCAGGTCACTTTAATCTCACTACCATGTAGTTAACGCTTCGAACCCCATTATTATGTACGATTCATTTGACGACCTCACATCAATCAGGCTACTTCAAACTGCAAATGTAAGATTGCATTTGTCATGAGTAAAACAAAAACACATCACCCCTATTTCTCGTCATCTCTAACCTCGCTATGAGCCTTCGCATCATGAACCAACCCCACCGCCCCAATGACCGCTTCCACCAAATGCGCAACATGATGTCTCTTGTCCCCCATCATTTCCTTCCCAATTCCATATGCCCCAAGCACCTCTTCCGCAATATGCCGAAAATGATGTTTCGGCGACGGACTGCGTGATCGACTCGACGAGCCCCGACGCTGTACCGAAGAACTCCTACGTCCCACCGACGAACTCCTGCGCCGTACTGAAGAACTCCTACGTCGTCCCCCTTCCTCCTCTTCTCGACGTAGCAGCTCAAAAGCTCCAATCGCTACCGCGGTGCCGATGGCGGCTTTGACTGCGTGTTGGGTTTTGTGCTCTTCCGAGCTGAAGGTTTTCATGATCTGGTCGACTGCAACGACGGCTCCGGAGGCACTGGTGAGGAGCTCGGCGTCGGTGGCGATGGTGTGTTGGTTATCGGACATTTTGAGTTGGTTTGAATTTTAGCCAGTTGTTATGTCAGTAATGATAGACTCGGAGGGTTGTATCTCGCTTACTTGGTAAATTGGTTTTAATGTGTTGATGTTAGACTTGATACTTGCTGGTTGTCGTACCCATGGTGATAAGAGTGCTGTTTTATATATCTCTCTCCACCTCGCTAGCATTTCCACATCGTATGAGTCGGTCACGTAGTCTCTTGAACCATAACGTGATGATGTACTGGTGGCTCAATATCTCCGCGCCAATTCCACGGTAGAGCAGCCTCACTGTCTCATAATACTTTATATTGCGCATCCGAATACCAGATCCAGCACAAAGCCACAAGATTTTGACGTCCACGGAAAGTTCATATGCACAGAGAAATCGAGCTTTAAGCGAGATGGAATCACCGCTACACAATCTAAGGGTCGACGCTCTATGTGGGAAGGTGTTGCGATTGCGGACGACACATACTCAGATGGAAATGCGAAACGAAACGCCAGAGATTATACTGCAGCTTTAATGCAGAATTTGCAGATGCAGGTGGAACATTTGATCTGGCTTACAGTACCAAGGTTTTGTTAGGTCTGTCAGTCCTGAGTCCACCTATGGAAGTGGTCTGATCCCGGATTTTATGTGGTGGTGTGATACTTTTTTAGAAGAAATCTGAATTGTTCGAAGGTTTTGGAGCGAGTGGTATGATACATAGGTACTGTGTGGAAGAGTCAAGGCTCGCCAGTCATGAGGCTCATGTGGCTGACTTGGTTCGCTTGAAACACCTGGGCAGTTTTCACAACATACGTTTATCAGACCACCGGTTTAATATAAGCGACCAATTATCCTCCGATAAAAAATGTTTAAAGATCAAGCCACGGACAGAAAAGTGTATCTCATTTGGCAAGAATCCAATAGATTCTTTCTGACAAACCAAATAAAAATTTCAAATCATCCGCCAAAATGCCGTTCCATCCCCTCCAAATTTCCTCGATCCTCCGCCCTATACACATAACCCTCACGCCTACACACCAAACCCTAAGTTCGCTGGTTCACACCCTCGATGACCAATACTACAGCGACAAAAACCTTTCCCATCCAAAAGCCCACGACGTAACAGCGCCCTTCTTCGACGTGCGCGAGTATGCCAAGACATTCATTCTCGAGGGCGAATTCCCAGGCATAGGCGACCCAAAGGATATTGTGATAGACAAACTCGGGCCCAGAACTCTGTTGGTCGAAGCGAACACCGTGCGCTTTGCATTGGATGACGAATGGCGGGATTTCCAGGGCGAGCATGGACTTTGGAAAGAGGGAGAGGAGAGAACAGAGGCGCATGAGATGAAGGACGGGAAGGAGACGGAGGAGCCGTACCAGGTGCGGTTGAGTGAGAGGCATGTTGGGTGCTTGCAGAGAAGTTTCACTTTTCCGACGGCGGTGGATTTGGATGGTGCGAGGGCGAAGTTGAGGAATGGGTTGTTGATTATTAGAGTGCCGAAGTCGCAGGATATTGCTAAGCATGATTCGAGTAGGATTGCTGTTGAGTATTCTTAGTGGATGGATGGATTTGTTCGAGTAAAGGATCTCCTATCAAGAACAAAAGCTTTCTAGACATCATAAGCGCAAATGATGATTGTTGGCAAAGTTCTCTCTTGCCTCTTTAAAGTCAATATACTGAATACAATATCCCATCGAGTAGATGATAAAATTTATCCCAAAAACTTTTCAAAGTCTGTCACCCATGAGGCAAATCAATTTCCAACTTTCCGGCCCACTTGTGGATACTGTATTTTCTCCAACGTTTGATCGTACCCAAAACATCATGTACAAATTCTTCTTTGATAACCGGTACGGAGCGCGGCTGATTATCGTCAAAGAATGAAAAGTCCTTTTCGGATTCTCGTAAGAAGCCGTCAGCGTCATGGTCTTCACTCGCTGAACCCACGCTCTGATTCGATAATCCTGTATCTTCCGCCATAAACTCGAGTCTTAGTGTGTGAAGACCGGATAGTAGTTTTGGTGCACGACGGTGCCTGAGCCCCACTGAGTGTGCGGCGTCACGGAGCACACGCTCTTGAGCAACGCAATCATTTAAGAAGTCGATAAGTCTGTGAATGACCGGACCGAATGATTTGGTTGGAATATCGGTAAGCGTAAGGTGACGGAGATGATAATTGTCACGCGGAAGAAAGAGCTTCTGCTTCCCTGCCATTTTTGCTTTCTCAGCATCTCTGAGATATGCAAGAGAGTACTTTAAGGATGACAATGAAAATATTGGAGTATTAGTACCGGTCACGGCTGAGTGATGAATGCGCAGAAACTCCGTGCAGCACCCTAAACTTTGGATTAGTGGCAGGGTGTTCTGTGTCGTGGTGAGATAAGAGTATTTCCTCCCTGACTGTGAGGGATGGACACGAATGGATGCGACGTCGAGTACCTTAAGGTGAACCATATACGGCAAAATTATGTCGACTGCGGAAGCATTGAGCTTGTTTCCTGAAATGTGTAGATTTGTTAATCCAGTGGCCTTCAAAAGATCATCCTTTTCGTCAAGCACATATCCCAGTGGTTGCAAAAGATTGCCTCTGACATTGAGATATCTCGTAAAGCTCGCCTCGTCATCAGGCCGACACGCTATCGAAAGTCTCTCGGTCTGACTTTGATGGTCTAGCGTAATATCTCGCTCGTATTTCGGAGCAGCTTCGACGAGCTCCAGGCTAGTAACATCGTTTAGCTGCGGTGGTAATGGTTGTAGACAATTGTCTATCAATTGTTGGACGCCGGCAACTGTCAAGAGATTATCCCGAATATCTAGACTCCATAATCGATGACCACTTCGAAGTATAATATCCGGAAGCATTGAGTCTGTCAATTTGAGCCCTCGCAACTTCAACACCCTCAAGTTTAGGAACCGACCCCCAGAGAAGATCCGTTGGAACCCTTCGGGACGGATGGTATAAGATAAATCGACAAACATCAAATTACCAAAAGCATTATGCTGAGGTATTAATCCGCAATTCAATGCGCGAACACCGCGAGCATCTAGAAGCAATAATTGACGCGGTCTGTCGACTCGATCCTCCGTCTGCCACAAGGGTCTGTCACGATCAATAACCTGCAGACCTGCAAGGTAAAGAAAACGTAAATTTGGTAGATAGGTGGAGCACATCACGGCTGTTCGCGTACTGAAATACATTTCGTAATGTTGAAAACTTTCATTATGAGCAGGATCATTTCCAAGTGCTAGTAGCGGCCGGAAATCCAGAGCCATAACGAATCTGAGAGTGCGCGCGGTTCTTTCGACTGGTATTTCTTTAATTTTGCGTATAAGTTGCATTGCATTACCTGTGATATATTAGATCCGGATTTGACGACAGAAATGCATGCTTACGAAATGGATGTGGACGACTGGCGACGAATGCGAATGGGTCCCGCCATAGTCTTCTATTCATGGTACTGTGCCATTTGGTACATACACGAGAACTGTTGACTAAGCATGTATCATCAAAGTAATGGCATACAAGTTGGACAACATCCACATCTGCGATTGCGTCCTCATATGATGGTGGATGAGCCATGGCAAGTGTGTTGTTTGCCAGCGGCGGCGTAGGTGAGAATTGCTTCGAATTTAACAATACGGATGACAGTTAATCGCCCTAAACCTCAATAGAGTAAAGCCAGGAGGCCCGCGATGCTTGGTGACCGATTCTAGGGGAGGAGTCTCGCCCATTGCAGCTTGCAATTATCATGGCCGAATACTTTATAGCCACAGAAGGTGAAAATGGGCAAACGACGCAAATAGTCGCATCGCAAACAGTCGAATCAGAGGCATCGCTACATATCAGAGAAGACTCGTGTTTATTGGATTGTTGATAAAGAAAGTGAACTTTAAAGTAACTTAATGACTTGATGTGAGGCAAGATATCCGATTGATCTCATTTAGCAGCCAGGGGCGCATCGAAAAATGGAATCTTGACTTCGGGACCGTATTTACTGGACTGCTCCAAACATCCAAAGTCTCCACGATGAGCCGAATGAGGATACGATAGCGGTGTCGAAATTATCCGGAAGTGGACTAGGTTTTACCATCAAATGAAGATGTAATCAAGTATCTGGTTGAAGATTAGCTCTCATATGCAATAATTATAGCACCGAGTTTGATAGAAAAAGAGCATCTAAACACCCTAATGGAGCACCATCTCCATCCAACTGACAGAACTTGTTGGCTTTAATGCTCCAGGATTCAAGAGTTCAAACACCTAAATGACTTGATTCCGACACCAATGGTATTGCAAGACAGAGAAGTCGATGGTAATCATATTTTCAAGGGCAATAGGGGCTTAGAGATCGGCGGACTAACCTTCCAATGATTCACGGCTAACACAGATCAAAATTGATTTCCCAAGCCTCCATGTATGAAGCTGGTGTTATCACACGGGCAACGGCCAGCGGCCAAGAGCTTATTCATAAGTGACAAGAGAAGTTTCTTGGAACCTCAGAATCCCAATGAAATGGCCCGTTTTCTCGATATGTTGGTTCCTTGTGACACTTGGTTTGGCTCTCTTTGTAGGGTTCGGCTTCGACTTGATACCATGTGAGACACAACCATGGAAAGATTATTGCTTACTTTTCATGCAGGTCAGCCAGACTGTCACAGTCTTTGCGATGGAAGATGTCAAGTATGAAAAAGCGTTGATCGCGCGAGGAAGATTGGAATGTCGTCGTCGAAGTTCGGCTCATCGGTATCATGTGACTGAGACGAGCTAATCGGAGCGTTGAAGCACTCGGCCGCCGACTTTAGCCGGCCCTGGAACACGAGCCCACCAAACAGGGGTCTTGTTGGCTTCCTCGCTTGCAAACGTCCACAACATCAATGGCCTTCTCCAGATGCCAAATCACGCATTCTATTGAAGTAATACACATGAGCTTCAATCGTGAGTATTCTCGGTAGTCTTACCAGAAGCTCCGTTCTCGGAGTTAAAGAAAGCCAGGAAGCAGACCCTGGCTCTGACTTATCGCTCCCGGACAACGATATCCTTCCTATGATTATATCCGTAGATGTAATCATTTCGACTCTAACCTATTTCAGATTATTACCAAGACAGTATCCGACTGGTGGAACTCGTCAATCAAAGGTTGATAGGCTGTAGATGTCCTGACAGTTTGGAAATAATGACCATAGTGTCCTGGCACGCTACTTGCGTGACTCTTCCAGCAGTCAGATAGCTGACAATGATTGTATCAACATGATGGCCCGGGGTAAAAATATTTCTTGGCCCATAACATGTCAGCTGTGTTGGCTAGCTCTGCTTTTGCATTCGCACTTTTCCAAACTCACAGTCATACCAACTCTACCAACGTTTCCGTATAGCCCGCATAGACTATCTTTGTCAACAAAAGGCATTGCCGAACTAGGCTGCTCGTTCTTGGATTTTTAATTCGAATTGGAAGCCAATAATATCCTCTCATATTGTTAGCATCTTCCCGAGAACACATAAGAGCGAATGAACCTTACCACAAAGTCGAACCCAACAGATGGTCGTACTTATTGATAGCAGCGGCTCAACATGAGGAGTCGAATATCTCAGATCGAGGGCCAATATCCATTCAAACGAAGCAACCCAGCATATCCCAATAAGCCTTTTGCAGCACGTATTAACCAATGTGCCGAAGTAAGCCGAATGATTCGAGTTCGAATTGCTCTCGGTTCAAAATAATGCAGTTTCCAATGTAGAGTTTTGGCTGAGCAAATAGTCTACTACGGATAAAAAACCCGACGGAACATTGTCGGAGAGACCTTCTCCATATATGATGAACACTCATGGTACCTATGCTTTTTTCGATAGCTCTTCAATATTGTCGTCGAGACAATAGGTGGTTGCTTTTTCTATGCAAGTACTATTGCGCAACAGTACGAGCCGCTTGTTTCGGTTGGGCTGAGATATGATCAACAAATGTGCAAGTAAGGAGTGTTAGAACACAGTAAGAGGAGCTGAACCTGGTTCATAAAGTAATCATCTAGCCTCCACTTTTACTGATCTTCGTACTTTGCATTTGCATATGCGAAGTATTGCGGATATGTGCAGTACAAGCAGGTCCGGAAAGCGAGACTCCCGCTGTAGTCATTTGTACATGCAGGACAATTGATGTCTGTTGCTCACATCAAAGTCAGCACATCCAGTAAAGCAAAAAATTAGAAAGAAAAGGATTCAACGATTCAAGATATCGTTTAAACGTATTCAATTTCATAATTCTGCTAACTAAGTACGAACTTGATGAATCCTTCTTTGGGCATTTCAGCCTAGAATACACGCCTGAGCGATTATCTAAATTTCTCCATGAAAGAATGTGCCCAACCCTCATAAAATATCCTAATAACTCCAAATCTTCTGCGTGACTAACCTTCACATATCGTGAAATAAATGAAGTCCTGTGTGGTAGCCGGAAACACGTTACACAACCCGCATTTCCCCAAAGCCCTCAACTCCATCTAGAATTCCTGAAACCCACATGCGATAACTGTGTGCTAAACAATACAAATGAAGAGAAAAAAACATTAAATAATCAAGAATTCAACAAAAAAGTGTAGTTGGGCGGCGTCGGACTTCAGATCCGAATCCGCATTTTAGCGTCGCGGAAGTAAGCAAGGGAATTTTGTTGATCTTAACCAAGACCGTATCATCTACATCACCCTTCCGACATTTCATCATTAACAATGTTCTGCTCCACGGCGACTTTTTGCTCAGCTTCTCGACGCGAACTTCCTGAACAGATATAGAACCGAAATACGTGACGAATATCACGACCACGACGCGTCGAAGAACAGCGGCAATGACCCCACTCGTCACGAAAATCAGTCCTGCCATTCTGCTTTTGGAACTGGCGTTCGAACTGGCTTTCTCTTCTTCGTGTTCATCCGATTGAACTCCAAAATCGCCTCGGGGTAATAATCTGTGCGTGATGCCTTCTTCTTTGGTTGGCAGTGGATCCAGACGTGCTGTTTGAGGTTGTCACATCGGTTAAATACTTTTTCGCAAAAAATGCACGGAAACGCATCTGTCCCGGCATGTTTTCTCTCATGTCTTCGCAGGTGTTCTTTTCTCTGAAATTTGCGATCGCAGTTAAGCCACATGCATTGATGCTTTGCTTCGGGGTGGACTTTCATGTTGGGAGGAATATCTTCCCTGACCTCTCGTTTCAATTTTCGCTTCACTAAAGCAGTTGTCTCTCGCTTTAGACTGGGAATATTTGTGACTTGTCGGAGAGCTAGGGAACTTGGAAGCCCACTGCATATTGGCTGACGGAATTGGGGCTTTTGAGGTGTTGCGGAAGCGGATTTGTAGTCGAAAGACTGTGGCATGAAGTAAGTCATACTGCTGGCTAGGTTGCCTGTTGGCGAATTATCCATTGGAAAATCCGATGCGAAGTGAGATGAGGTTGGACTGTCATACGACAAATCGAAGTGCATGGAACCGACAGCCTTCATAGGTGACTGGAACTCCAAAGCGTTGAGGAAGGTGGTTTGTGATGGAACGACAAAGTCTGCTGAAGCTTGGGATGAACCGGAGCCTGAAGGTGAGTATGGATCCATATCCAGAGATGGTGCTACGCTGGAGAGTCCCTGGCTGCCGGTTGTTCCTGGGAGTCCATCGTACTCCAAAGTGTTATACATCATGAAACTGTTGTTCGTTGAAGCTTGCATATCTCTGGAAAACTCTATAGGTACGTTTAAATATGCCGACATCGAATCTTCTGGTATATGAGATAACTGAGAGTACTCCAAACTAGCGCCAAATTTCTCTGGAGTGTTGTAAAACGATGATGACGATGTAGCATATTCATTTTCGAGCTTTACACAATTTGACGATCGTGGTGGTGTCGTTGGGGTCATGATTGCTGCCTCCCAGGGCTCTGAGAAGGAGGAGGCCATTGAGTGGCATGATGGAGGGGTGTGAGACTGTGTACTCGAAAGATATTCCGGCTTATGTTCGACAAACATGGTGAGCTTTGATAGATGAATAATGGTAAATCTTGTTGAACGAATGTAAGTATGCCTTCATACTCTTCAGCAGAACACGAGCAGGACTAACAATATGTTGATTTTATAAGGCATGTGCGTTGAAACCCAAGCGTCGGAGAGGAATGACGATTCTGAAGAAATTTAAATGAGCGAATGGTCTTCAAAGACTTGTGGTTACTTTCAAAGTGAGAATGGCTACCATATATCACTCAAAGCATAACCTTGGGGGATAACGACAGCCGAGATATTGAAGTTGAAGGTATCACCACATCAAGGAGTAAGAGTATCGAGACAAACTCACTGGGGATCTTCCAAGTATTGACTAACGAGGGGCGTATGAGTCGCGATGTGAGTCGCGTGTTGCTTTGATAAGCGAGCTCTAGAGGAATGCTCAGTCGCGGTAATTCTCAAGAGTAGGAAGGCGACTGTACATCAATATCAGTTCCCGTCAATTTGTTCTGAATCCGATCTTACATGTTGGTTGTCTAACGGCGACTAAGCTACAAGGGCCCCTGGACGCTATCTCAATCTTGGTAGGTGGTAAAAATGTCAGCACAAGACTGCGACGGTGAGGTTATTCTGGTGTAAAATTCTGAACCTTGCAGATTTACCATTAACCCCTTGGGAAGGGCGATTGAGCTCTCTTAACAATACCTCGATACCTCGCCTGCAGGCCTGCATAACGATGGATGGCTAACACAGACGCAGGGCGTAGACAGGATCAGCCCAGTACCAAATTACGGGGTCCCAAAAGCAAGAGTGTTAGTGACCGATCGTGCTATTTGGGGAGATAGGGGAAAGCACGAGGTAACCACGAGGTAACCACGAGGTAACCACATCGATCTTGTCGCTTCAAAGTCATTTTATCAGAGATCTACCTCAGCCTCAACAGCTCAAATTCCACGGAAGATCGACGTGGTTGATAAATAAACAGTCCACATTCCAAGGCCTGAAGGCTGGCATGTAATGGGAAGCTTCTAGGAATGCTCATACGTTGGGGGATGTACCACTGGAACGTCTATTTGCCATGTCCTTCCTCCGTTAATGAGTCGAGCGTCAACAATCAGATAAGTCTTATTTCAAAGTCTTTCAGAGAGCCACCAACATCAAGTCGTCTAACTCGCATAACTTGGCGCTGTTTCTTGTTCTATGAGGATGAATGCTGGCGTTTGTGGCTGACTGTCCAAAGTCAAACTAGATTGAAAGTTAACGTCCACTTTGCTGCACTCTTTCATACTGGAGAACACCTACCGAACTGAGAATATTGTTGGAAATACTCCATACTCTATAACAATCATCAGCTTTGGAGGTCAACTCCGCAATCTCACCAACAACCGATGGCCGCCTAGCGCTGCGCTTAATACGCTATCATTAGTCTTTGCTAGCACAACTTCTTACCACGAGCTGATCCAGAGACAATTCTTTGTTAGACACAAGGTCAAAAAGTGGCTCAATAAGTTTTGCCAGGCGACTCGAGGAGATATCCCCTGTGAGAGTATATCAGATCTGACAAAACCCTTCGACCAATGATACTGCACCGCCTCTTTCGATGCAGTATCCAGGGTGGCGTCGCCCGACACAGACAACCCTGATTCGTCGCGCTCTTGCACATATGAGCATATCAGCAAGGCCTGGAGCTCTTGAGCTATCGATTGTAGGTGGGACACCTATAGCCAACAGCTCCTTTCTTCCAATGGCCGATTTGGTGGATGATGCCGCGAAATATACCCGATTTTGACTGCATCGATTGTACAGTCAGTCTTCAAAAGCACAACCCATAAAGCCGGCGACTTCCCTTTTCAAGAGTTCCGGTCATGGAAAAATCCTGGTCCTGCCGTTTATAGGACTACTATTGGAGTATCTCGCGCAACACAGACCCTCTTACCCAGGCTCTCGGTGCAAATGCTGCATTTTGGCTCGGTGAAATCCGATGCACAATAGCCACTATGTACAGAAATTTTCCATCGTCCACAAAATACTAACCGCTACAGGACGTTTTTGCCGTGGAGTTGTCTATCCTTTTCTTTCCTGATGTAGCTGCGTTGGATTAGCTAAATATCAAATTCGACCCCTCTCCGCGGCAAGCAAAGACTGTGGTAATATTGCGGATTGGCACACTCATCAGATGCTCCGGGTATCTCACCATGCCGCGCCAGTCGCCGAGGAAACCCACGCCGAAAATTACTTCGGCTTCTTGACGATCAGCATTGCGAGTCTGGTCGAACCGCTCTTTAGCTCCTTTCCCTCTCAAAATTTTTGGAGATGGCGTTTGTGTCGTTATGAATTGATTCCGCAACCACCGGTTCGTTCAATCGTTGTTACATTTTCCTCTATATCATTAGTTGGTTCACTGCACTCTGTCGGTTCAGCCGTTCTCGCACACCTTTCTAGCAATCGAACCATTGATCAAGGATCATATCATCCAGCAAGTGCGAAGGGAAGCCGTCTCATTGGTATTTTATAGACGCTTTAAAACTTACTTGCCTTCATTGGAGCATGATGAGCCTGCGGGCCGTGTTCTTTGCAAGATCATGCACGGATATTCGAACCTCCACTTCCTGACCCATTTACCGAGTTTCAATTTTTGTTGGCTTCTTCAGCGCGCGAGTTATTTACCGTTCTTGTTTCTCATTCGACTGCATCATTCCATGTTCTCTAGGCAATTCCACTTTCGTCTCCTGCTCCTGCACGTCTCCAATGTTGTGAAGAGCTCGGAAATATAACCATTGCCAGATGTATCAGAGTAAGCAATATTGCCACGCTGGTCGCCAATGATGGCCAAACATGTCAGAAGCTTTCCCGGCAATATTGCCTTTAGGATTGATACTGTAACTCTACACTCAACATGTGCTTCGATCAGTGACATTTCCTGCAATTGTGATACGTTATGGCAAAGGCTAACAGGCGTCCTGTTAATGAATATAAGGTTGTCTACTAGCTCTCATTTTGCACCCATCAGTTGCTGTAGTTCGAATATACCCTTTTAAGATTTCAAAGTTGCTCAAGTTGTTCTCCAAAAGAGTTCTCCACACCCCAGAATTTTGTCCAAATGTGTTATCGTCGAATACATTTGTACGGTGGAAAGGAATGTCGTTGTGTCTGGTATGAGGATGGCCCTTGGGGCTGCGGACAGGAGCCGAATTGCGGCCATGACAAATGGTCTGCTCTATACGATAATGGGGGCTGTATCATACAAGAGGAAGTGATGCTTCAAGAGTGCCCATATCATAGCCCAAGCCGTGAACAGCCAACAAATTTACCCGCTTATGACGACCCTGAAGATTATGACGACTTTCCCACAGCAACTTCGAGGTATGTCTGATTGTTCGATGATGATCAGAACGTGGAAGAGTACTAACATCTTTCAAAAGTAAAAGCAAGCCTTCTCAGTCGCAGTCGAAGTCCAAAAAGTCTACCAAACACAGCTCATCAAGCCGCAAGCACAGAAAGAGTAGTGGCTCTTCTTCCAATGGCACAAAATAGAACCTTGGATTTTGATGGTTGGCCATCAACCTCGACCGCAAGTCCCTGGATCTAATATGTCTATGAGATTGTCGTCAATTTATCTCTTCACTTGTGGAGTCGCATCAGACATTTCCGATTTAAGGCTTGCGGCATTGCTTACGCGACGTTCTACGAGATCCTGCACGTCAATCTTTAGACTTCCAAGTTGCACGAGGAATTTGGCAGTTTCAGGGACGGAAACCATGTTTAGGGGACCGGAAGCAATCTCAGATCCAGTCAAATAACTATGCAACCCACCACAACATCAAACGCGACGGCACTACGCAAACATTGACGTTGTGGCATGAATTTCCTGCGAGATCGATAGCTTATTTTTATGATGTGTGGACCCCCATTTTGGAAATTTCATGCTTTTCGTGTCTGGCTTCATGATTTTGCGGCAAAGCTTTTGATTTAAGATCTATTCTGTTACACGTACGTTTGTTTCATGGGCTCATCTGTCAACTCTGGGGACTACTAAGACTCGCGATTATCGACCTGATGTTCTGATCTCTTATGATCTGTCGACTACTTCAGCGGATTATAATCTTTCATACAGAAAAGGTGTTGTGGTCATTGTAAAATTTACCAATATCAAATGTGACGGAAGTACCTCCGTTGTATCTAAATCTTCAAATTGCACGGATCTTTTCTCCGATCCATACTCTTTCCATTAGTCTCAAACACCACACACTTTCTCAGCACGCCATCGGAGGAGTTCCCGTGCATGCATGTTACCCTATTCCCCACAATCTCACTGGCGGTTATGTTCGGATTGGCAGATCGAGGGGATTATGGTGGTAATGCAGGCAAATTCCGATGGCGTAAATTCGAGAGACATTCTAGTCGCCATCCTATGAATTACAAAGACCTCCTCCCGTTTTCCAGGATTGTCGAGGCCGGTTCCCCGCTTTCAACATGAGAAGAAATGACTGGTCAAAAAGACAAAAGAAATAACATTTTGCATGCGAAACGCCATCCACCCCACCTGATTTCCTAATTCGCTGAATGTAAATTCGCCCTATTCTATCATCACCGCAGACAAGCATATGGTATGAAATGTACTCATGGGGACACAAAAGAAAATGGCACCAACATTATAACCAACATCGCATCCACCGAGGAACTATTTACGCCCAGAACCAAGACGAGCGCTTTCGATTCCCGGTCATGCCAATTGAAATTCTCTCCAACGTGTCGGTATCCAATGTCAAGATGTTGATGAGAGTCGTGTCAACCGTGCGTTACACGAGATCTGGAGGACGTCGTTACTGACTTTTTCGCGCGACCCCACACTAAATCACTAGTTTCCGGGGTTGAATCCAGCAGCCTGTCGGCAGCCATTTCAACATCTCCTAGCTGAGCTTGAAATGCCGGGGAAAGAGCTAATTCTCGGTACCAAGGGACGTATGCTTCGAAGGAGAGATATACGCTAACACAATACGACCAGACGTTGCTGTAGATAAATAAAGTTCTCAGCCCTGACTGGTCGCTGCTAATCTAGTAACTATGGCTGAAAAGGATATATACGACGGAGGAACTGGTGTGAAGGTTGCGATTGGACTTTCAAAAGCGGGAAAAAGCTGTCGCGATGGAAGCTAGATGTGAAATTTCAAGAAGAAAATCTTGTGTTACAAAAGCCTAGGTCAACGATCTGACAACCCGTACGATTTTCAAAAGAGTCTCAACCAAGCCGCACATAAGCGAGAATTCGGGCTAGCTATGACGGGCAAGATTAAGAGAACAATAGCTTTGTTAACGTGTGCTAGGCTGACTGTAATACGATCATCTGAGTATGCACGGATATCGAATGAACGAGATGGTGAAGAGTTGGCCGAGAAAGCGAGAGAGGGGTAATGTTGGTGTCGCTCACCCGTTTCTGATTTCATTCGAGGATTTGAAAGGGTCCTGCGCTAACTGGGATATAATCAAGGGGAAGGGTCGAAGACTAGAAAAGGTCATTAAAATGGCAACCATACCGGAAGTGTCTCCGGACAAGTTGAATGCGTTGTTGGAAGGTTCAATAGCATGGGACATATGCATGTTGGGTGGCTTTTTCTAGAAGTGTTCTCCCGTGGCGGGGACGTTGATGCTTGTTTAGGTAGCATTGAGATTGAAATTGAAAATGTTCTTATCACAACATGCATCGCATGTGGGTGACGGCGAGGTATCGGACTGCATGTGGTGCCTTCCAATGAGTGAGAGCGCATCGAATCTGAAAACGAATGTCCGATAATCTCATCGGTGGCTGGATGTGCTTACAGGGACGTCGCGTAGTTCGAGATGGGAATTTGTTCACTAAGCTTTGTTTGTATGACTTTATGATCTTCTCCTGAACCCGAAGATGACTTTAGAGTTTGAGGCTTTTTATATCCGGTATTAGAGCAGAAGCGGCTGCGGTTGAGGGAAAAGTGATCAAGCGATACCTAGATTTGATGATGCGCAGGAATAGCTTTGAAAAGATCTAATTGGCACTAATCTTGGGCTGACACTCAAGATAATTCGCGACTTGGCGCCCGATATAGAATAGCGGATGTTTTCCCATCGTTCTAGAAGGCAGGAAGATTCTTGAACGCTTCTGAAGCTGAAGAGTGGTACACCGAGCAAGGTTCACTCTCTTTTGATGGCGCGGGAATCCATTGAGGTTGAAGCCGGTTCCATGGCCCCTTTTCTCTGCTATCACATCACACATAAATAACGTTTCTCATACGTAGGACAACCCCATCTTACCACCATGTGATGCCACATGAGCAAGCTTGTGGCGCTTGTGATATGGTCTCTTTCAAGATTGCTGAAAGCAAAGTCTAGAGAGCAATGAAGTTTAACATGTGCCCAACAATGGGAAAGAACGTGCTGGCCCTAACCAGGGTATCATATCTCTTTTAGCGTGTGTTGGAAAGACTGCTTGCATTCAATTCTCATCTGACATTGCTTCCTCTTCGTCACCCATGCCTTCATGAAAAGACTCTTCCATCGCATCTGAGCTCATGAATTTGTAATTCTTCTCGTCCGCTGTTGGCCACAAGGTTAGTATAGTTCAAACTGAGAGGCCCGG